GCACTATAAAAAGGGGTGTTTGGGTCTGCTTTTCTCACCAATTCACTTCACAACATCCATACTTTCATTGCATTCAAATATCATAATTTTCCATAGCTTTCTAGAGCCATTTGTGTGTGAAGGTTGAGTTGTTCTTGAGCGTACTTAGTTTACTCATAATCTACTCTACAAGAGAGTCTCGTTCTTGAGTGTACTTGTGTTCTTAGACACGTTGAGAGAAAGTATTTCTCTCGTTGATTCAAAGGAAGGTCTGTTTCCTTTGAAGGGTTCGTTGAGGTTCGTGTGACTCGAACTCTCAAGTTGTAACGGTTTGTTAAGCACCCGCAAGCTTAACGAGATAGTAGTGTAGCTCGAGAGAGTCTCTCGGGAGGCTGGATTAGCCACAAGTTGTGGTGAACCAGGGTAAAATTCGGTGTGCCTTTTACTCTTCTCTTTACTTCTCTTTTAATTTTTTAATTTCCTGTGATTTCTCCGATCAAACGCTATTCACCCCCCTCTAGCGTTGGTCTATTATTCTAACAGCTTGCATAGACAAAAAAAATTAAAACATAATTTGCAAGTGATTCCTGAAATTGATGAACTCTTTTTTCAACTTCTTCCAACTTTAGATCCTTTTCTTCATTTGGTCTTAACGCTTATGCACACCTACTCTCAGTCTCAGATTCATCTCCCTACTACTTTTCTGATTGTAATTTATAATTGAACATATAAAAAAGTATCAAAAAAGTATCAGTAGAGTCACATATGAGTTAGAAAGGTAAACTAACATTTTTCCTTTATACTTTTCAAAGAGGATGATCAAATTATGGCCCTCAACTAACCTTCAAGTTTTCAACTTCTTCAGTTCTTTTAATACAAAAGCTCCATGCGAGTTAGAATATCTTGATTTATAATAAGTTAAAAAAATCCCAATTGGTAACCATGTGAACAAATAAAATAAAAAATGAATGAACACAACCATTAGTTTGATTAATTTGTAAGGATGAAATTAGTATTTGTCTATTTGATGACCTATGCTATTAGCTATATTCATTCAACAAATTAGACATTCCTTCAAAAATAATTTTTCTGTTCACGCTTTCACTTCATACCTTAATCTCACTTAGGCAATGAAAGATATAAATAGAAAGGGCTAACAGTTTACATAAGATCAAACAGAGAATGAGAAGCAATACCAAATGTGATATGGCTCCGAGCCTTGTGTATTGTTTCCACGAATCAAAGTTTACCACATTCTTCTTCTGAGTGGTGAAACAAATGAGGCCATCATATTCCTACACACCGAACATACATTCTTTTTACAAACACATCTTGAATATTACTCTAGAATATCCAATATGAATTGTGTAGATATTTTTAAGGGTTAAAAGATATTCTTATTGTGCAGGTTCTTAGACATTAGATGAGAGATTGGGACAATGTTTTCTTCTTTCTCTTGCTTCAATTAATCAAGATTGAAGGCTATAATTTTCAGTGTTGGGAATCATTATTTCGATTTAATGGATATTTAATTAAACTCTACCTCCTTCGTAGCATAGTTTCAACTTGAGATGCTTCTTGTATAATACAAATACCAATACTCTATCCCTACATAAAGTTACAAAGTTAAAACCCCCTTATATAAAGAACTACTATTGGTAATCTGTTTGTTGTCATGACATGATGCATTATAATGTTGAAGTTCGCGTAAAACACTTAGAATAACTTTACTATCCATAGTATGAATTTGAGAGCATCAATTGACAATTAAACCTTTATAAATGCTTGAATATCAACACTTTACCTATTCCATCATATAATAATGGGCAAAAATGATGAGGCTAATGACCTACCGACGATGTTTGAAACCCAGAGTCATCTCCACCCTCAGTCGCCGTCATCACTTATTAGTTTAGATCTCTGGTTGTCATCATGTAATCGTTCAAATTTTAGGCATCTAGGAATTAGGTACATGTAATATCTCGGAATTAAAAAATTGGGAATATGATTCAAAATTTAAAATTTGAAATACGATCAAAATTAAAAACTAGTAATACAATCGAATGGATCAAAGTTCCTAATCAAATAAGATTGGCATATGAATTTTGGAAATTTACCTAGTTCTGGAGTCTTGACTTTCCTTCAATGGCAGAGTCCTTGATGAATTCCTTTCCTTCGGTGATGAAATCAAGTGAAAAATCTGTGTATTTTTGGAGAAGAATGAGAAGAATCGGGGATGAATATGCATTGGAGATTTACGCAATTACGCCTGGATACGCGAAGAAGACCAAATCCGGAAAGTTGTGATCGTAGAAACCATAAGAAGGAGACACGTGTAAATTGACGTGTCATTAAAATAAAACTCTTAAAGTGCCACATGTCATCATTCTACACCTCAAACTCTCAAATTTTATATTAAAGGATATATATGATGTTATACAAACTACAAAGTGTGTAACTAAAATATTAGACTTTTAGGCCTAAAAGTCCAAAATTCCACATGATCTTTGAAAATGATTAATCTGCTTACTTGGCAATTACGCTTTCTAAAAGAAAGAAATAGATATAAGTTTTTCCTTTTACTCATCGCAATAGAAGAAATTATTTTCTTCGTTTTTAGTTCATGTTTTTTTCTGTTCGCTTTTTACATCGTGAAAAAGAAAAAAACAGTCAGCACAGTGCCTGCACAATGGATCGATCGGGATTTCATTTATGGCGGTTAGTAATGGGTTTGGTGACTCTGAAACGGTCTCGCAAAAGTTAATGAGGATGCTTTTATGGGCTTGGTTGATGGATTTGTGGATCTTTGCTTCATCCCTTGGTCAAAGCAATATATTGCAAGTTATGTTTTTGCGGGCAAAATCAATGACAATGAAGTAGTCTTTAATCTTTAAATTGGACAAAATTTAATAGTGTTGTTACTCTAGAGACGAATGATTTGTCTTATTTTTATTCTCTTATGATGATTGTTAAAATCTTTTATCCTTTTCTGATATAGATTTTAGAGTTCGTGTAACTAAAATTAATTTATTTGAATTTTTTCACTCTTAATATTAAATTATTAGACATAATGGGAAGAGAAAATTATTGTAGATAGAAGTGAAACAAAAACTTTTTACGCAAATAGGACCAATTATTCTTTAAACAAATACACGAGCTATACCTGAAAGATATAGAGAAATACAGAGGACACAAGGGCTGGTCAAAAAATCTCTGGTCATTATTGATGTCAATGCTGGACGAGAACCCTTCAGAACATCCCTTTCCAAAAACGATTCTTGATGCATTAGAAGCAAAGGGAGATTATTAGGCTTGCAACAAGTTCCTTCCATCTTCAACTTAGAAAGCATATTTGTGTTGCTTAGCTGACAATAGGAGTAATATAATAAGAGTTCATGTTGAAATATGCTTTATAAGATTTGAATTCATCTGCTCATACCAGCAAAATAGTGAGCAAGATAAACATCAACCCATGAGTGAAATTAAGCAAGCTCAGAAAGCAGAAGGATTAAGATCACTTACAAATAATATGGCTCATGATGTCTTGTCAAACCTTTCAAATTCACAAAACATTGTCTGTAAAGCCATAAAGTACGCTGATCAAGTGCACGCGACTTAAATTCCTTTATTTTCCAAAGACCTCTCAGTTCACAAGCACTAAAATCATAAGCAATGATATTCTTATGCGTCCCTATAAAAATGATATTGGCTTCCGGGTGTAGAGCGTAAGGCATGAAAGTTGATATTCCTTGATGCTTCAACATGTTACCAATCTTTGGGTTAGCAACCACGTCCTGTATGCATATTGTTAGCATACAAATCCACCTTGCAGTCTCAGAACAACCCTCAAGCATCCAGAAAAGGATATTATTGTGGTCATGATTAGAATAATAGAGATGTCCTCTCGACTCTCCAATAAATCCCAAAAGTTCCATTGCGTCCTTTCTCGGGAGGTCAATGGCACTGGCATTCATGTGGTCAATGCCAAGACATACGAGATGCTTTGATTCAGATAAATAGCATAGCACGCCATTCGAGTACACAGCGTGTTCATACCATCTATGCATGGCTGCGGGGTGTTCAAAAGTAACTTCATGTATATCCCATCTACCACTGTCTGATGAGAAGACATAAAATGTGATAGGAGACCCTTCACAATGAAAGCAAACTAACTTAAAGTGGATAGACCTGATAGGGTCAAAAGCCAGTGAACTATATTGCATGTTTTGACAACCATCAGGACAAGGAGGTATTGTCACACACTGATTGACTGCCGGATTGCAAACAAAGAACTGCAGGATACGACTATCATTAAACAAAAGCATACCATTGCAAAAACTAAGAAAATACGGTATGTGAGGAAAAGATGGTATAAGTTGATAGCATGTGTCATCAGGTCTTAATTCTGGTATACTTGGTGGTCGATTGTATCTGAAGCTCAATGACGGTTCAGACTTAGAATTATAAAGAAACCCATAAATATCAGAAGAAAGGTACAGTCTTGGAATGCAAACATTGGTAATCAAGCGATTCCATGTCATGCAAACTGCTTTGTATCTTGAAACTTGCTTTTGTGATATTCTACACAGGATTTCAACCCACATATCTTCAGGTAATTTTGACCAATCACGGAAGGATTTACTCCAGTTCTGAGAACATGAAATCTGAACGGTACTCTGTTCTTCTTTCCTTTGATTGTGATATGATTCAATCTGTGATACAAAGAAGAAAAAGAAGCATCAGAGAAAGCAAAAAGCAGTCTCTTTTTTTCCTATAAATCAAATTAAAAATTAGAACTTGATGGGTCCAAAGCATATGGTTCATTCATACGATCCAGACTTTGGCATGAACCTCTAAAGTTAATGATTCATATTAGTTAGTAGAGAATTGATAAAGGAGCCATTAAAAAACAAAAATCATGATAAATCGAAACTTGGATAAAAATCTAAACTTTGCAATAAAAAAAATAGAAATAGTTAGCGATGGCAATAATATTTGAACGGGAATAAAACAGCCTGGAAGAAATAAGCCTAAATTTCAAAGAGGCTTTACCTTCGGAAGTAATTCAAACTCTATATAAATCATACGAACACGATGCTCGGTAGCACGCCCTACCCTTTCTTCCTGAGAAACTATTTGCGGATGAAATTCCATATTCCCAAATATTCCTTTTTTTTCCTTTCTTCGGTAGTAAGCCTTTTCCTTTCTTCCGGCAGTAGAGAACGAAGAGGAGAGGTTGGGTAGCTGCTAGGGTTCAGGAAAGGAATACAAGAGAACAAAAATATTAGTACTCCGTAGTACCCTACCCCTCCCTCTTACAACTATTTCTGGATGTTTGACCAAATTTATTTAAATTTAATTTATTAAATTTTAGGAGCGAAACTAAATAACAAAATTTATATATTTAAAAACTATCAAAAGTTTTACAAAAAAGTGAAAAGACTATATTATTTTATCAAATAACTAATGAATATAGGTAAAGAAAGTGATTTAAGTTTGACCATGTGAATAGTAACTGAGAAAATAGTTTTAGGATGAATGGAGTAATTTACTTTCATTCATGCATCCCTTCAATAGCCAAACACAAGAGTATAAATAGAGAATGAAAGTAACTTTAACCCTGTCGGTTCAAGAAAAGTATCGATGCAAAGAACCGAAAAGAAACTCTCGAAAGAACTTATAATTTGCTCACCTAAAGAAAATAAAAAATACTCCGTACAATAATAAATAAAGTATTTAAAAATTTAAACATAATCTCGAAGCCGGACTGAGGTTTAGACACGCGGACCGAACGTCTCTCTACTCGCTCCAATATTTGGCCCTTTGTTGGGCTGTATCAACTATCATCTACCTCGCCAACCAAAACGTCCTTGTCATCAAGGACCAAATATGGGTACTTCTCCTTCAAATATGTAACTGGTTCCCATGTAGCATCGGCGAGACTGCCATCAGACCACACCACTAGCCATTGTTAAGAATATCTAGAAGAACTCTAGGATATACTCATTTGAAAATTAATGATATTAAAGACATCTGGAAGAACTCTAAGATATATCCATATTGGTCTTGGTTTCTAATACTATCTAGAAGACATCTAAGATAGATTAGAAATAGACCTTGCGGGTATAACTATAAATATTCGGTGGCCATGGTAAAAACGTACGTACGAGATCCGCTAACCAAACTTGAGAATCACTCGTTTGGGATACCACCCTACCTGACAGTGAGCATTCCGCTGTTCGGTTTCTGGTTGACCTTAAGTGAAGGTAAGTTTAAGATTTGAAAAACCTTTTTTCAAAATTGTATCTTAAACTAGGCCTAGCTTGCGCATTGGATAAAAGTACCTTAGACTAGAATATAGCTTAAGAATTGTTTAGAATTATCTTAAACTAGAATTCGTTTAAGGGTTGATAAACATTAAAGAGATTGGCCTTAGACTAAGAATAGTTTAAGGATATTTATTGAATATGAATGATAAATATGAATGTTTAATGTTGAATAATGAATGATGAATAATGATGATGAAAGAGTTTTAGTGGTAGTAAATTTCACTCTAAAAGAGTTCAATTTATTTCTGTGTCATATTCAAGGATTGGCATTTTATAAATTTTCTATTCAAAATTAGTTAGGCAAGGCGTAATAATTGGTATGGGAAGTTTTCTAATTTCGAAAAGTTTGTGTTTGATTGAACAAAATAGCAATTTGATTGAATTGATAAAGAAGAATATGAATTGATTTTAGGTAGTAGGCAATTTTTAGATATCTTAACTAGTTAGAATATCAAATTAATTAATTAATTTGTCTGGTGAGAATTCTGTCACAACTACTCCATTAATTGTATCCTATTTTAGGTTTAATTAATGTGCTAGTATTGGTTGACTAAATTATTTTTCACATTCATAGACAAATGGATATAATAATTTTTCAAGTATTAATTAACGAATTGGCCAGATAACATTACCACAATTACTAGCAACTTAGCATTTTAATCAAGTAAATTTAATATTCCAACTTAATTATTTTTCCTACATACCTACTACCTTATTTCAATTCACGTTTCTAAAATATTTAAGCAGACATGATAACAATTAAACATACACAAATCAAATAACATTACATTTTTATAAATATTACAGAAAACTTAAAAATTCCAAAAAAAGTGGAATTGAACAGATCTGGACTTGAAACTCTCAAAATGAATAAAAACTTATATTTTTACAAATCTCGTAACTAGAGAGAAGGGAATGAAGAGTTGTGGAAGACGATGAATGAAATGGCAGGGAGAAGCACTGCTTATATAGGCATTCTGGAAGCCTAGGCGCACGCCTGAAGCTGACGTGCATGCTTGTCAGGTGCCTGGGCTTCTGTTTGATTGGATCCTCCGCCGAAAATTTGATTTTGCACCGATTCGAATCGTTACACCCACTGGCGTGCGCTTGGGGTGCATGCCTCTCGGAGGCTTTGATTTATTTCCATAAAAATTTATCTCCTCTTCTAATGGGTGAGACAATCATTGACACCATCTGATACTAAAATATCGTTCAAGTTCCAAAGAACACAATTCCTTGCATGTGGTGACTTTATATGCAATGACGATTAATAAGAGTCAGTTTTAATCTCTAAAATACGTCACTACTACAAAAAAGGTCAAATCGACTACCTCATTTGTATCGATTAAAGAGAAAACTGGTGCAAATGGGGCGTTCGTTTTCCCCAACCAGTACCTTTTGAGCCAGTTGTTAGTAATAACTGATTTAATAGCCTATTGAACCGGTTATTATTAACAACAGATCCAAATGGGTATAACCTTTTGAATTAGTTGTTAGTAATAACCGATTCAATAGCCTATTAAATCAATTATTAGTAACAACCGATTCAAATGATTGTATTAAAATTAACCACTAATAAGACCCAATCTTACTTATGCGATCTCATTTCTTCTCTCTTTCTTCACCGTGCATCGTTGCTCGAGCCAGCGTCGCCACCAGGATCCGCCACTTTCTTTGTCGCTGTCACCGCCTCCTCCTCTTACACATCGTTAAAATCCACGCCGTCTGTCCTTCGCTATCGCCACCTAGTTTCGGTTCGCCACCTCCTCTCCTTCTCCGTTGCCATCCTCCACGCTTTCGCTACCTCAAATCCGTCACCGCCTCCACTCCTATCCATAACTCATAGGTGTTTTTCTTTTTCTTTATTTAAAATCATAATTTCTTACTTATTTTTGTGTTGAATATATCTGCATTATTGTACCTAATTATTTTTGTCTTTCACAATTAGTTTCACTTTATACTTACATTATTATGAAATATGATTTTATAATAATTTTTTAAATGATTTCACTTTTTTAAAACTTATAATATGTGTATTTCTTTTTCTTTATTACAAATTTTGCACCTATTCTCGGAGGCACTTTTGAATCGTTGTTTCTAAACAACTGATTCAAAAGGTGCTTTCCAGAGCTGGTGCCTATTCGGGGGTAACTTTCGAATCGATTGAACAACCGAAGCAAATGTATTTACTTTAATTGCATCGTTACCTTTTACATCCGTTGTTAACCGATTTAAAAGATAAAAACAACTTATACAAAAAGTAATTTTCTAGTAATGTAATTTATAAAAATATTTACTTTAATTGCATCATTACCTTTTACATCCGTTGTTAATTTTGTCATAAACAAATATATGTTGCGATCAAAACGTAATGACTTGAAGATTCTTATATACGACGGAAAGAATGTTCCCACAAAAATTACTGTAATGTAATTTATAAAAATTTCCCAAAGTTTGTAATTTATAGGATATTCGTGCTTTAAGAAAATAGAAAACCATATACTTCCCCCGTCCAATTTATAGTGTCTGCTCACTATTTAGAGGGTCAAACTTCTTCCACTTTCTTTCTTTATTTTCGTTAGCAATTTGATAAAATAAAGTACTACTGTCACTACTAGTTTTGTAGATCTTTTGATGTGCTATTTTAATACGTAATTTTTATTTTTTAACTCTTTACCATTTGTCCTATAAAATGATTTGAAAATAATTTCAGTCAAACATCATAAACCAAAACCGGCACTATAAATTAGGACGGATGAGTATTTTATTATATGATCTGTTTCTTTCTTTTAATAATGACATCAATTTATGTTCATAATAATATAAATAGAAGTCATGCAATGCACAAGTGTGATACTTGTAATATAAGTTGTAATACAAGGGGTAAGAAAAGCTTGGACAAGTAGCCACTAGCCCGAGTGGAATCAACATTCGATGCCTGGAAGACAAAGGTCCAGAATCGCTTGGAGTATTTTTTTTAAAGAAACCACCCTAAACAGAAGCACAACATAGAAAAAGTATCAAAATATGAGTTGCATTATTTATTATTTAAATAAGAGTTCACACTATGATACTGTGGCACTGCTGTGCATGTGCATATTACTATATTTTTTGATAATGTACATGATAATGTTTGTAATGTAAACGCATATTAAATTCTATTTCAAAAATAAAAACATATAAGTCTTATTTTATATATTTTCAATGCTTTACTCTTACTTTAGTCTTTTCCCTTTTTTGAAAAATTTATTGGGAGAAGGAGCAAACTAAGAGTAAAAGTTATGTCATATTCTCAAAGTAGAGATCAAACTTAAACTCTTCTAAATAGGAGTAATTAATTAAATTTTGTCTTCAATCAGCAGTACTTTATAGTTCTTACGGTTCTCTTCTCCCTTCTTTTCCTTTTCTTTTCTTTTCTTGCACGCGTGTGTATTTATATAGGGGTGTGCACAATTTGGTAAAACCGATTACCAAACCGATTTAATTTGGTCTTTACCGAACCGAACCATTTGATTTCGGTTCGGTATTTGGTACAAAAAATAAATTACTGAAATTTCGGTTTACTGAAATTTTGGTTCGGTTTGGTTCGGTTTTACCGAATGAACACCCCTATATTTATACACTTAAGGAATTAATGGGTCTTGACTTGGAGTTATGGGTAGGAATTAGGAATAGATTACGAAATTATTTATTTATTATTATTATATTATAAAATCATTATATTTATTTATTGAACTGTAACATCTATTACGGTTATAACTTTTTACACCAAAGTCTAAACTTAACAAACTATATATTGTTGGACTTTTTTACGAGATCAACCCAATTACCTAATTTTTAAATTAAAAAGTTGACTTTACAAATATTTTATATTTTCGAGTTAGCAAATAAAACAAGAGATTGTATTTATTTTTTTATCAAACTAACGGCTACCCACTAAGTGGACAAATTTTTTTACCCAAAGTTAAAATATTGTCAATAAACGATTCTTTTAACTATATCGTCAAAATCACACCCAAAACTCAGTCCACAGACAAACACAAATATTTCTACCTTGCTCCTGAATATTTTTACGTGTATCCTAAAAACAACTTAAATAGTCTCATTTAACAATCTTAAGAAGAAAAAAGAAACTTGATAAACATCACCTTTAAATGTTACATCAGGCCCATAGTGTGTCAAACAAGATCACACTTAATGCCAAAATTCTTAATCAATAAATCTTTGAGACCTGATTAATACCTTATATATATATGTCAAAAATTTTAAGCAATAAATAAAAACTCAGAAAATTGCTAGAGTAAAATGTCCATACAGTGTCAAACAAAACCACATTTAACGCCACACGTAACCGCATAATGACAATCATGTCATTGTGCAAAGTCATACATGCAAATACATAATGTTAAACAAAGAGATAATGTCAAGTATGACAATGTATAGTGCCACACTTGGTAATGTATAATGAGAGATATGTCAATGTAAATGTTACATATCACACATATGTTAATGCATAATTTCAAAAAAGTTAAATATCAAGAAACTATATTTGCCAACACTATAATCCTTTAGTTTCAATATATGTTTTACAAAATAGTTTTCTAAGAATTAAATTTAGATTTAAAATCAAATGTCACAACTTATTATGTGACATTGAATATAAAGTTGAATCCAAAGTTTCAAACTCACACAAGGCTAAAGAATTAGTACCAATTTTACAAAATAATTCCCTAAGAAGTAAATTTTTAGATTTAAAATTAAATTTAACTACTTATGTCAAATTAAATATTAAATTAAATACAAAGTTACCCAATGGGACGGAGGCATCCGAGCGACGGAAAATGGAAATGTTGCAGAGAGGTGGAAGGAGATTGTGTGTATGAGAGAAAGGGAGATGATGGAGAGTGGGGTAGAATCATTGCCACATAAAGGAGATGGTAGCGGCAGAGAGGAGCTTGAGATTAGGTTGACAGCGTTATCAACTAAGATTAGAACAAAGGAGACCAAAAGAATGAGATTGAGAAGGGGCCGGGTGACTTTTCGATCGCACAAGGCTAGGACGTGGTGCGCTCTGTGCGGAAAAGTAAATGAAAACAAAATTTAATTAATTACTTCTATTCAGAGGAATTTAAGTATGAACTCCTATTTTAAAAATATGACATATGTTTAACAAGGTTTTCTTCAATTTATTTCCGACTTAGGGCCTGTTCTTTAGGACTAGAAAAAAAGAACTGGAAACTGGAAGAAACTGGAAGGAACTGGAAGAAACTGGAAGAAACTAGAAAAAACTGGAAGGAACTGGAAGAACTGGAAGAAACTGGAAGAAACTGGAAGGAACTGGAAGAAACTGGAAGAAACGGGAAGGAACTAGAAGAAACTGGAAAACTGAAAAAAATTAAAAAAAAATTAAAACAAATTGAAAAAACTAGAATAAATTGTAAAATCTAAAAAAAGTTTTTAAAAAATTTTTATGTGTGGTTTTAAATTATTCTCATTCTGATTCTTGTTGATATAAATTATTATTACTATTACTATTATAATTATTATTATTGTTGGTGGTGGTGGTGGTGGTAGTGATGGTGTTATCACGTTATCCAAATGATTGTCTTTAAAATAAAAAAATATTATGAATATTATTTTTCATACATAAAAAGATATTTTAAAAAATTAATTAGAATATAAAATTAGCATAAATATCAAAATGTTAAATAGTTAAGAGTTATTATGGCTATGCTGTATTTATTATAAAATAATATATTTGTAATTATATTTTAAACATAATGTAATCAAACTTATATTTATTTAAGGATTGACAATTTATTTCCATTGTAACCCTATTTTTTGAATAAAAATATAGAACTGGTATTATTCATATTAAAAAGTTGAAGAAAAAAATAATGAATGTGAATCATAAAAATAGTGAGATAAAAAAATTAAATAATTTATAAACTATAGTTATGAACATAAAAGTTGTAATTAAAAAATTGTAATAATAATAATAATTATAATAATAATATATTTTTTTAGAGTTATTTGTCAAAAGGTAGAAAGAATTTGAAGAAAATAAATATAGTTGGAAGAAATTAGAAGAAACTGGAAAAAACTGGAAGGAACTGGAAGAAACTAGAAGGAACTGGAAAAAACTGGAAGGAACTGGAAGAAACTAGAAGGAACTGGAAAAAACTGGAAGGAACTGGAAAGAACTGGAAGGAACTGGAAAAAACTGGAAGAACTGGAAGAAACTGGAAGGAACTGGAAGAAACTGGAAAGAACTGGAAGGAACTGGAAAGAACTGGAAGTTAAGTTTAAGTAAAACCCTACTCTGCTATTCCCAATTTCTATTTTAGCTGTCTACCACTCTACGGACGACTAGAGTCTCAACTCTCAAGTAAAGGCCGCCAGCCCCAGTTTCGACAACCGCCGGCGCCGAGTCTCTGGCCGATTCCTCCTGCTCGCCACGACGCCGATCGGAATCTTCAATTCTTCACTCTGCCAGGTATTTTTATACATAATTATTGAATGTGAATTGAATTTGTGAATGAGGAATTTACCTATATAGTACTAAAACATAATGATTTTAAGGAGTATGTTTTTTTCTCAATATAATACCACTTTTCATTTTCTGTTGAAATATAAGAAACATTTCTTGAGCCACAACCACAAGCTTTAACTTTTGGTTGAATTGGTTCCTTTGACATGTTATCGGAGCCTTGTCGACTAAGAGGTCATGAGTTCAAAACTCAGCGCCACCCAGTTTTAAAGAAAATTACGTTTCACGTGCAAGGCTCGAAAGAGACTATGTCTGCACGTAAGGGGGCGTGTTGAAATATAAGAAACATTTCTTGAGCCACAATTACAAGTTTTAGCTTTTGGTTGAATTGGTTCCTTGACATTGTCCATTGGACATTTTACAAGTAAATGTCCACCGCTATTAGACATTGTTCAAAGTAAGGACATTTTACAAGTAAATGTCCACCGCTATTAGACATTGTTCAGAGTAAGTGTCATCGCCACTGGATATTGTTCCCACCATGGGACATTATGGATATTATTTTAGTACTATTTAAGGAATAAAATATATAGGTACTAATTGAGAAAAGACATGTTTTAGTATTATTTAATGCAAATTTAACTTTGTGAATTGTGATTTGCAAATTTACTCTATTGAATTTGTTATTTGTGAATTAAGTTCGTGTTAAATGATATGTGATTATGTGAATTGTGACTTGAGTATGTCAAATGTTTAGATTATGTTATAAATTCATAATTTTTATAATTATTTTAATTGAAATATGGATGCAAGAGTATTTTAGAAACAACACCAAATTGAAATACAAAGAACCGAGTGAGAATCCATTAAATTTGACATCAAATGTTTCGTCATCATTAAATCGCCCACCAAAACCACATATTGACCCAATGGAAGAGAATTTAGATTTTGAATCATTGGACGCTGATCCGGGGTTAAGAAAGAGAATTACAGATTATCATCCAAATGTACAAGGTGAAATCTGTTTTAGTTATCTAAAAAAGGGTTCTTTCCAACCGCGAAGTCATAACTTCCCATTATGGTAATGTGTAAAAAGAACCGTAAATTTCTTCCAATTTGGTTTAAGGAGTATAATAGTATTGCCAAGGATGTTGCATATTGTTTTCCATGTTACTTGTTTAAAAATGTGGGTGATGTTGGGGGAGACCATTTTGTGGGAAGTGGATTTAAAGGTTGGAGTAAAAAGGACAGGTGTGGCGTTCATGAGGGTGGACATAAAAGTCCACATTCTATTTCTGTTCTAAAATGTGAAGATTTGATGGATGAAAAACAAAGTATTGGTGCTTCAATTATGAAGCAAAATGGGAGTGCACGCAATGCTCCAATCATTATAATTTTGCATCATTATAAGTTTGGTTGCTTATTTGAGATCATTGATAGATTTGGTGAGGAGCTTGGGAGCAGGTTTGCCGTAGCAAGCACTGAGTTGTTAACTTGTGTTGCATGTTCAAGCCCTTGTTCTTCGTTTGAGTCTTTTGACAGTGCTAAACTATTAAGAATGGAAGATTTTTATCCAGTGGAGTTTTCAGAAGTTGACATATAGGCCGTCATATGTAAATTGCAAATTTGTTTAGCTTTTGATGATATTATTGCATAAGTTTGCAATTTTTAATGCTTCCTTTTTTTAGTCCATCAGTATGCAATTGACGTGACATGTAGATGGATTCCTTGAGACCATAATTCCTTTTGTTTTTTAGAACAACAATTTGATGTTCATGAGACCATAATTCCTTGAGACCATAATTCCTTTTGTTCTAACTTGGGAAATTTTTATTTACAGTTAAATCGTTTTGGCCACCATGATACTTGGTTGAAAGAATTGTAACTAACATCAAAAGGATGGATAAAGTTATTTTAGGCATGCCAGGACCATGGGCTGATGATATCTATGAAGTAGCTGATCATTACACCAATAAAATTGGTGGACTTCCAGTAAGGACATATGAAATTATAGATTTAAATCATTCAATGAATGTCTGTGTTTATTTTTGATTTTCCTTCTTACGTAAAGATATGAAATACCTCTTTCTGCTAGGACTGGCCTTTTTCGGTTAGCACAATAAGGTCTCATCTGCTTGAGTGCAGTGCTTGTAAAAACAGTCTATGTCTCCTTGCACAGGTTATACAATTTGAAGTTGTTTTATTTCTGAGATGTTTATCGTTTTTTTCCAATCCATGACAGATGCTAATATTTTGTTTGCTATCTCATCTTTCATTTTGCATACGCAGGTTTATGCTCCTATTTCAAAAAATCATATTAGTATTGAAGAACGGGTAATTTATATTTTTGGTTGTGCTGCATCAAAATGTGGGAGCACACCCGCAAGGTGTTTTAAAATCCAATTCCAGCATAGAGTTAAGCAAATGATGTAGTTGTTGTGCTGATTAGATGTACTTGTTTTATACATTCTGCTTTCCATATAGCTGGAGAGCTCTTAGAGTTCAGAAATCTGTTAGTGGTGAAGGATCAAAATTCCCCTCTGATGATGATACTGCCCCTTTACCTGAATTTTCTGTTTCCACTACAAATAATGACTGGAAAAAGGATTTGTGGAGTTTTGATTCTGCTGAAGAGGAGGATGCTGAAAATCATATAGACTTGGAAGAATTGAGTAGGGCATTTTCTGAGGCTGCTAGCCTGGCCTCTCATTCCAAGAAGAAAATTCGCGATCATGAACGTAATGCAAAACTGTTGTTATTAGGCCACACATCTCGAGTAGTTGATGGAAAAAAACCAGGTAGCTTTTCTCCTCGAATGATATGCAAAGGAAAAATGGTGCCTTTTCCCTTAAAAACTGAACGAGAAAGAACTGTACTTCTCACTTATTTTGCAATGTGTTTGCAAATTTAGGAAAAGGAAAAATGGTGCATTTCCCCTAAAAAAGCAAACGAGAAATATCTGTACTAACTTATTTTGCAATTTGTTTGCCCATTTAGGAAATAAGATAGCCAATGAATCAAACGGGGAACCAGAAGTGCTTATCAGTTATCATAAATAATAGAATGTCAATGATTTAAAGTGTCTCACATATACTCCCTTTTTGGCGAATTACCTTACTAATTCCAATTAGAGATGGATTTGTGAGTCATTTCCCTTTAAATTTTATTCAACTGGAAATACTTATTTCTAATTTGATGTATTACATGCAGTGATGCCTTGTTTCTATATACATGCGGAGGAGGAGAAGTTCTCAAAAAAATCACTGCCTTATATCATTGAACGAAATGTTGAATTTGGTAATTCAAATGATGAAGTGTGGGAAGAGGAGAAGTATGAATATGACAGTGCACTGAATGTAGACAGGACTTTCTTTAAATTCAAAAAGCGAATAGATGCATACCCACAGCAATGTTTCAGGTATTAAGTTTGGAGTCTCTTTCATGTTAGCTCAGTCTAGAACTCTGGATTTGAGTGTGAAATTTGTATTGGAAAACACTTGAAATGACGTAGAAAAGTTTTACATTCAATAAAAATATAATGTGCAAGTTGTCACATGATGAAATATTGTGTTAAATTCCACTTTCTTATTTAGCTACCAATGTCTAAAAATTGAATAATTTTTTTTGGTATTATAATATGAAGCATTGTATTTACTTTTCCTTCACCTTTCTTCCCCATCGCACCTAGATACTCATATGGCGGAAAGCCACTATTAGCTTCTGCAGAGCAGTGTGATCCTGGGAAATGCAGGTTGTGTGGTGGATCTAGGCACTATGAAATGCAGTTGATGCCCCCATTGTTATATTTTCTACATGAAGCTTGTAGTGACAAACTGAAGCAATCTGTGGATAAATGGAACTGGGTGACTTTAATTGTGTATACGTGTTCCAAGGTTTGTCTTTTTAACTCATTTCTTATGTGATGTATTTTAAATTCAAAATGAGGTATGCGTGGTGTCTGGTGAAAACCTCTTTTTAAAAATTTGAATTATTTTGAAGAGCTTTTAAGGTTTAACTAGTTACTCATATACTCACATTGTATATCGATATATGACTATTAAATTTCATAAAAATAGCCATCTTAGAGTTTTTTCCCTTTCAATAACTTATTATTTAGCCATATTATGTACAAAAAATGAAAATCTCACTTTTGTCTAATGTCTCTTAAGTAGTCATAGATAAATCAAAACAACAACAAAGCCTTATCCCACTAGGTGGGGTCGGCTACATGGATCAAACGACTTCATTGCGCCCTATCATGTACCATATCTGCAGCAACATCATTCACGAGTCCTATCATAGATGAATCCTAACCCTACTAAATTATACCCCAAGTAGTATAAAAAAACCTTCAAACACTTAGTTTTAACAAAGTGATTCCCTACCCATAACCTTATAATTCTACTACTACTAATGCGTTTAAAGTCTACTCTGGCTAAAACTTGTTTTAAAATACAATCTCCTAACAGCTGGATTTTAACAGAATGAACTATTATTTGACTATTTACCATAAGACCACGCAACCTCTTTTTCACAATCTCTTCCAATCCTTCAAGAACATCCACTGTTGATTATTTGGTTTACATGTTTTTTTGTTGTCAAGGTTTTGCAATTATTTGTATGTAACTTCAATGACGATCCCAAGCTTGGTTGTTAACTTGATCTGATTTCTTTCGGTTACGCTGTTGTGTTGTTTCTTTGTGTCTGTGGTGTTTTGGTCTTTCTTTATATACTCCTACGGAGTAATATAACCACAACTATGTTGACATTATCTTTGTAGAGCTGTTGGGACATTTCATCTGAAGGAAACTGTGGCAAAGATGATGGGTGGACGGTAGCAGAGGAGGCCATTGTTGTACAGTATGAATAGAATGCCAAAATTAGTGCCAAGAAGTAATACAATACTTTGACTATATATATATATATATATATATATATATATATATATATATATATTTTATTAAAAGGAGATATTTTATTAAAATGCAAAAAAGAAAAGTACAAAGAAGGAAGGACTAGGCCAATGCCCCTCTAGAATTGCAAGAAAGGAAAAAAAAAAACCGATTGAAAAAAAAGGAAATTGAGTGAAAACTAAAGGAAGAAGATCATTCCCAGATGATAAACCCCGGGTGTTGATCGAGAGAGAGATTTCTCGGCATTATTTTCTTCGGTCTTTTCCCATCAGTGCCAATTGGACCAACAGGCCCAACGTACCAAAAGGGTCCAGAATAAGTTTTTGTAGTAACTATTTTTTCCATAGTAGTAGATTTGCGACTTGGCCAGTATCTCGTGATTTCGCTCACAGTGCCAACTTCGAGGTTAGGATCATAGCTTCTGGTATATATATATATATATATATATATATATATATATATATATATATATATATATATATATATATATATATATATATATATATATATATATATATATATATATATATATATATATATATATGGTCTGTACATTTGGCACACCATCATGTTCTATGACACACCATGAGGGCTTGTGATGAATCTTGTGTTGAAATGATTTTCAATTACATTTAGGCTCCATTTGGTACATGGAGTTCAGGCCATGGAATTGGAAGTAAAGACTCCAATTATAATTCTACTATTTGGGGGTACAAAACTGTGGATTTAGAACTGAATTATAATTACAAATCTTCCAACTCTACATTTTCAATTCGATAACAAAACAAAAGATATTGAAATCCAAAATTTGATTTCTATAGATAGTAGATCAAATAAGATCATTTGGATCCTTTTCGAATCATAACCATAGTTTTAAAAACTCGACCAGACCGGCCAGTTCAGACCATGAACCGGCGAACCAGTGGTCCAACCGGTCCGGCCGTTTGGACAGTATCATGCATCGAACCGGTGCGAACTGGTGGAAACCGGTGTGAACCGGCCGGTTCGACCGGCCGAACCAGTTTTTTTATTTTTTTGCCATTTTTTCCAAAACATGCAATCATGGAGGTTTGAACCTAAGACCTCTAAGACATTTGGTTGAGTTTCTAACCATCCAAGCAAGGATGCTTTTTGTTATAAGTTCACAAAATCTTTTATAATATTTCATAATTAAAAAAGGATTGTATAAAAATTCCTTTTAATTTTAAAAATATAATATTATATAGCTATGAATCAAATACAAAATCATGATACTATCGATATTATTACAAAATGAATATCATGCAAAGATTTAATTTCATTTAGCATTTTTAATATTAACCAACTTATTTGAAAAAATAAAATCAAGTCTTCATTTTTAAAATTTTAAATATTCTTTTTCTAATATTTAAATTTTATTTCTTAACTTAGTAAAATAACTCAAATATTTTAATATAATTTTAGTCAAATGTTATAAATTACTTTCTTTAGATATTTATAAATGAGAAAGTGTGTGTTTATACGTATGTGTTTATATATATATATATATATATATATATATATATATATATATATATATATGTATGTATGTATGTATAGGGTGCGGTTCCTGTGAGAATGAACCTTGTGGAGAGAAATGAGAATGAATTGGGATCATAGGATTAGATGCATCGTGTGGCTGTGATTTTTTTGAGAAATTTGGGGCGGATGTGAGATATATATGATTATATATATATATATATATATATATATATATATATATATATCTGTGTGTGTGTGTGTGTTTAAACCACCGGTTCGACAAGTTGAACCATTGGTTTGACCAGGGAACAAGTGAACCGGTACCTTGACCGGTTCAGTCTCCGTTTCGGTTCTGAAAACTATGATTATAACAAAGAAAAAAGTTTTATAGACCTTCTGTGTATTGGAAAATAGCTTTTCGATTGACTTTTAACAGACTTTGACAAATTAAGTAAATCAAATTAAAGATTACAAACTAAAAATTAAAATTTTAAATTTTAAATTTTAAATTTTAAGTTTTAATACTAAAGTTTAAAATTGAAAATTTAGAATTGAAATAATGAAATTTAAAATTTAAAATTTTAAAACTAGAAATTAATAAAACAAATAAATTTAAAATTCAAAATTCAAAATCTATAATTTAAAATTTGAAATGTGAGATTTAAACTATAAAACTCAATTTTGAAACTAAAAATAAAATAAGAAAAGCTATAAAACTGGAAAAAAATATTTAAAATTTAAAATTTTGAAATTAAAATTTAAAACTTAAAAATTTAAAATTAAAGGTTAAATATTTAAAACTTAAAATCTAAAATTTAAAATTTAAAACATAAAAAATTAAAAATTAAATTAAAAATTGAGTAGAAATTTAAATTCAAAATTTAAACGTATAAAATTAAAATTCAAATAAAGTTAAAATTTCAAAAAATTGTAATTTAAGATTTAAAATTTAGTACATTAAGTTTAAAACTTAAAATTTAAAATTTAGAATTTAACATTTAAAACTTAAAATGAAAAATTTAAATTTGAATATTTTAAATTTTAAAAATTTAAAACTTATATTTAAAATAAAAATTGAAAATTATATATTAACAATTAAAAGTTTAATCTTAAGATTTTAGAACTTAAAATGTATAATCAAACGTTTTAAATTAAAAGTATTATATTTAAAATTTATAACTTAGAAGTATAAATTTCGTCAACACATCTTGCCGGTGAAATCAGCTAAACTCATTCGTCATTCGAAACATATGGAAAAACACAACCAAGACATAGCTGCAGCTTAAAATACAATTCAATATCAATCTATAAGTCAAATAACACCAGTATCTCCTCCCCCCCCCCCCCCACGTGGTTTGAAAATTAGGCATCAATATTTCTCAGTTTTTAAAACATATTTCAAAAGTCCCCGTGCTTCAAAATATTGCATCTTGCATCCATACTCCTCTAATCATTTTCTGGCGAAGAGCAAAACATTGATGCTTATTTTTCAAACCATATGGTGTACTGGTGCTCATTTTTTATTTTTTGTTTATTTTTTTTCTCTTTTTTTACTTTATTTGTTTTTTATTAATTTTTTTTAAATTTATTTATAAAACAAAAAATACTTCCAAAAATAAAAAAATTTATTTTGGTTTTCTGAAATAAAAAAGTAATTTTTTTGAGAATTTCAAAAAATAAGGATTAAAATAAGAAACGAGATAAAACATAAAATAAAAATGAATATCTTTTTTGAATATCCCAATTCTAAAGAATTTTTAGCGCTCTGAAAGTTCATTTTTGTATAATATTTTTTTTCATGTTTCTTTTTTTCATTTCGGTTTCCCGTGTTTTTAATTTTATTCTGGATTTTCTCTATGAACCTACCAAAAAAATTATTATAAAAAAAGTAAAAATTTTTAATTAGAAATATATGTAGTATATGTTAATTTCTATTATTTTTATTCTAAACAAAGATAATTTTGAATTCTTTAAAGTATTATTAAATAATGAAAATAAATTTAGAAAACTTTTTTTGGAAAAAGATATATATACATAAAAAAGGGGAAAAATGATAAACTAAAAATAAGAAATGAGGAGAAGCATTTCCTATGGTTTAGAAAATAGGCACTAATGTCCCCCTCTTCATCGAAAAATGATTAGAAAATGATCAGGAAATGTGTGGGTGCAAGGTTTTGAAATCACGGGGATTATAGAAATAAGTTTTAAAAACAGATGATGTATTGATGCCAATTTTCTAAACTAGAGTGGGCACTAAAGCTTGATGGCAATAAACCACCAAAGATCTTGACCGTGGGGTGAGCAAGTCACGTAAGCTAGGTATGTAGAGTTTAGAGAGAGAAAGAGAATGCACTCTAGGAGTATTATTAGCTTGGATTCGGATCCTCTTCAATGAGGGGGCCTTGGCCCTTTTATGGATTCAACAATACAACTAAGTCAACCTCTATGACTGCCTATTTTCATCTAGTGGATGTCACCTAATCGTCATAGTCAGATCCTTTTCACCTTGTTGCTATCACCGATCCCTATCATCCCATCGTTATCATCTTGTTGCTGTTCTCCGACCCATGCCGAGGGGGGGGGGGAGCCCGAGGACCGGGCCGAGCTCCACCTACCTGGATGTGGGCCCGTCCTTAGACCTGATACTAGGCTGATGTGGGGATATCATCTGTGTGAGCAATTTGGCCTCTAGCTATATACAATTTTGTGCTACCAAACAAAGATCTTGGAATTATAATATAATTCTATATCAATTGCCATAAAAAGTATTATTATGTCTATTAATATTTTTCTCAACTTTATGAAACACAATAAACCAATCCCCTCCTCATTAATTTCAATGAAGATTGAAATACCGAAGTTGTAATTTGTTGCCCAAAAAGCATCAAATCCCTAAAAGACCATCTTGTTCCATAAAACCCTTTATGGTATCTTTTCTGTCCCATTCCCTAGACCCTGGCTGCTTTCTACGGCTCGACAACCCTCTCTCTATTTCTCCGATTGCAGCTTCCATCACTAGATTATACTTACTTACATATAATACACGTATTATACTTGCGTACACATACAATTTTATAGAGTACGTCAAAACACGTGAATTTTATCCCGAATGTATTAAACATGTTTTTTTCAAGTATATTTCAAAGTTGGTTATTTACAATAAGTGGTTTTCTCTATTTCGTCTCTATTATCAAATACTCCGTATTATTTAGATGGTCCTTTCTTTATGAGTATCATTCCATAGTCATTTTTTGATATTTCATCATGTTTGTGTTTATTTGAAAATTAAAAATCTAATTTCACAATAATCATAGATCTTATATATAATTTCAAAGCAGGGCCGGTCCAATAGGGGGACAAACAGTCTGTTGGGCCTGGCCCAAAAAATTAAGGGGCCCAATTTTTTTAAAAAATTCTCCGTATTATATATGTGTATGTATAAGAAGCCCAGGCCCAATCCATCTTCTTCTCCTCTTAGACCCTTAGTTACGGGAGAGAGTGAGAGAAGCACGAAAGAACCGGAAGGCAGGGACGACAGAAGTACGGAGCTGACGGAACTCAGATACGCCGCCGCCGCCAGACGCACCGCCGGACGCCGACCCTCAAGCTCCAGCCTCCAGGTATTCCGTATTTCCATAATTATTTCTTATTTTTTTTCATTGTTTCATTCTTTAGATTTAAAATCTAGGGTTAATTATTAATTTTTAATTTGAAATTATTGTTAATTTCTATGAAATAGAGTGAATTAATGGTTCTATATGTTATTTATTTGATTTGGATGAATTGATTTAAATTTATTATATATTTGTATATAAAAAACTGAAAATTTAAAAAAAATAAAAACTGAAAAATTGACGATTTGATATGAATATTGGAAGGCCAATGATCCATTCATGATGATATAATAGGGATCAATATTTACTAAATGAATTAAGATTGCATATAAAATGTTCTGGAATTTCAATGAGTTAAGACGCTTTCACTCGCGTAGTTGCAATGTTTCGTCACAGAGGGTTTCTTAGTGATACCCAAATGTGTTATACTAGTCATTAAATCATGTACATACATGGATGAAGCACAAACATATCTTTAGAATAATATATATTTTTCATTCGAATCCTCGGCTAGCTTTTACGGTATGTAATTATAATATTATAATTTTGTCATTTATTTTTTCTTCTAATAATATTGCATTTATTATAATTTAAATATAATTAGTTTACATATGCTAATTTGTTAGACCATTAAGGATAAAACTTTTAGGGCCTTTTTTTCTGTTTCGGCCCAGGCCGATGCATCCTCAGGACCGGCCCTGTTTCAAAGACATGGATGGTTTGTGAACTAAAGTAGCTTTCTAGTGCAACCATAAATTTATACATGTGATTTTTGGTGTGTATACAACCCCTCTCTATAGACGGACAATTGCCTCTGTCCACATAAGGGGAGCCGCTGCTGGAATCATCTATCAATTCCTCTTCCTCTTCCTCTCTGGTCTGATTTTACTCGTGCCGACGGATCAGTCAGGGCAGCAGCAAGTCTCCGACGGATCATTCAGTGCAGCGCCTCAGTAGTAGCCAGTCTAGCCACTAGTCGTAAGTCCCAACTCCTGGCCTCTTTTTTATGATTATCCATTATTAATTTGTAATGGAGAAGTATTTGTGCAAAAAATAATAATTAAATTGTTATATGTGAATAATTTTGTACTTGGTAAACTTTAATGGAGTATATGTTTGGATGTAAAATTTAAATACCCTCATAGGATAACTGTTGTTTTTACTTGAGCTAGACTGCAAAGATGAAACTGTGCCAATGACATGAAGCAACCGAAAAATAAAGACTAAACAAAAAGAGTAAATATGTTCAAATCGTAATATGTGATGATGGAAGTCAATGGTGCTGCCTTTTACTTGAGTGCTCCCCTACTGTTTTTGACTTTGTGCTAAGAGTTATCCTGATATTTGTGTTCATTTTCTAAATTTTGATTCATAACTTTATGATCAACTGGTCATTGCTCATTAGTTGATAGAATGACCTGATTATGGAGAGTTAGAGTCATACTCTCATATTCTAAATGGGAATGAAAACAATGAGGCTTATGAGAATTCAATTGATGATCCTAACATTGACAATGGTATGGATGATGCTGGACTTTCAGAGTTTTGTGAGACTTATATCAATGATGATGATGATGATGACAATGTTTTTACTGAATTTGGTATTTTGGAATAATTTTTTAGTTGGTGTAGACTTTCTATCCTACTTTTCATTTCAAACATTTGCTCAATTAAGACTTTATTTTTTATTGACATAAAGATTGTATGAAAGTATTTTAGTTTTTTGGATTTTTTTCAATTTAAAGCAAGATTTTTTTAGTTTTTATTTACTTTATTATTAATTTTCTTGTGAATTAATATGTGCATATTATAAGACGTATTTTATATTTAAGAAACGTTTAATACACGTACGTATGTGTATATGTATTTTGTATGTATGAAACATATAGTAAGACGTATTTTATAAATTTTTAACGTATTATACACGTATGTACATATTTTCATATTATACTTTTGCTGTATATAACTAACTATGGCTCGCGTCCTAGTTGCTCCCACGGTCAGTCAACCTCCTATCTATGTGAACATACATGCACTTTTGCTTGGGTTTCTGTTGAACGACCAGATTTTACATTTTCAAAGGGAAGTTGGTTTATTTGTTTGTGGTATATTTCAAAGGAGATATTTGCTATTGTTTTTCAAAAAGTCTGTTTTTTTAGAATCAGATTAATAGTATTATTTATGCGGAAGTATGTCATAAAGGCAAAAGATTTCATTTTTTTGTGTTTACATGCATTTTTTCAAGTTTTACTGTTTATGCTCTTATTCCACTCAGAGGTCAATTCAATTTTATTCCATTTGGAATGCATTTCAATTCTCTCCCACTATTTGCCTACTAGTTGCAATGTTTGCAGTTCACATGTCATAAAATCATATTCCAGAGTTTTACAACCCTATGATAAACTTCCCTGGCACATTTCAGGTAGCGGATCATAATGGAGAAGGACGGATTGGTTGCGCTTGGGCTACTGAAATCATCAGACCCGCCTCTCTATCTCTCTCCATCACTAGAGCTTTCAGCAGCTGCTCGATTAGCATCCCAATATCTCTACTCTTCCATCAAACCTTTCGCTCCGAAGTCTCTTTTCCCTCAACTCCTAACTGACGGGTTTGATGCAGAGCAGATATGGCAGCAAATTGATCTCCAATCGGAGCCATTAATTTCATCACTTCGTCGAAGTGTCAGCCACTTTGAAAAGAATCCGGACATTATATTAAAGCAGTTCAATGTGGAATTGAAGGTGGAATCTAATATGGTGGGGAGAGATTACATGCCACTGGAGGATTTAGACAGTAAAAGACTGGATCTTGAGGATGCTGACTTAAATGATTCTGACGAGGATGAGGAGGAAGGGGAGGAAATGCAGGAAATGGAGGATGATGACGAGGAGAAAGCTGAGGAGTCTGAAGAAGAGGAGGATGATGGTACTGGCTTAGTTGAGGATCAGTTCTTGAAAATAAAGGAACTGGAACATTTTTTGGCGGATGATGAGGCAAGGGAGTATGGTTTCAAGAAGGATGTGAAAAAGAAGAAGAGGAAGAGAGTTGAGCAATCAGATTCTGACGAGGAGGAAAATGCTGAGGGGAACGAGGATGATGAGGTGTGATTACTTTTTTCTTAGTTAAAATTATAGCTTAAAGACTCGTGCTTTGGAAGACTTATACTAGTTATGGTTGTATGTATATTTCTAGCTTGAAGATATGGGCCTTGATGATTTCTCTGATGAAGATGGAGGCATGGAAGAAGCCAGGTGTTGCACAATGTGTTTCCTTTATATTTTATGCCCGACAACAATAGTATTCATGTGAATTGAACATTATCACTGTCTCACATTGTTCGAAATGGCATGGCGTAACCCGCCATATGGCGTGCCGCATGCCTCATGGCCATTTCTGAAAAATTACGCCCTATGGCGATCTAGCCATTACACAACAAGGGTTTAGGAGATATTGTACAAATATTGTGGGCCATGGTAGATGCTTTTTGAGGCGTACGCCATGAGGCTATTAGAGGCATACACAATTTCTCTTCCCAAAAAATTAAGATGAGGGTTAAATAGGTAAATTATTAAAAAAACTCAAAAGTAAAATAACATAATAAGGCCTTAACCCTAGTAGATCACCTCTCCTATTCGTATCATCTATCTTCTTCGATTTCTCTGCACCTCTACTCTTCTGTCGCCTCTATTCTCTGCCAGGTAAGAATAATGGAGTATTTTTACTATTGTTGATTTTTGAATTATTCGCAGGGCATCATCATCTGGCTTATCACTTCTCATATTCTTATTGATTTTTATATACTCCCTCCGTTTGGAAAAAGCCTTCCCACTTTGACTATAAGGCAAAATAAGGAAGTGTAAAATTATAGTTGACTTCCAATTTTGCCCCTGATGTGATGGGTAAAAGTAAGATGTGATAGATTTATTATTAGAGAAAAAGTATGATGTGATAGGTAGGGTATGAAAAAGTAAGGGTAAAAGTGGTTTTTTAATAGAAAGGGGAAGTGTTTTGTTGGAAGTGAAAAAATGAAACAGGAAGTGTTTTTGAGAACGGAGGGAGTAGTATTTTTTCAAAGGTTTACAGAGTATTGACTTTATCTCCTTATCTGATCGGCATCCAGGCCGCTTAATTTTTTTTTGCTCCATTTGTTTTTACCAATGTATATTTGTTTAATGTTAGCAAGTTATTCTAACTAGTCTCTCATTAATTTAAGGTTTTTTATTTTTATTGTTATTAATTTGTCATCCAAACTTGAAATTGTACGTATATAAATTTTTACTTTTGTTTTTTTGTTAAACATATTGCTTAAAATGTTATATACAGACTTTTGAACTTTAAATTTGAGGCTTACACCTCAATACCCCTTGAGGCTTACGCAATATGCCTTGACATAAAAACACCCTGAAACCACAATGCGCAAATTTGAACATTGCTGTCTCATGTTAGATCTTAAGCCTTGTGTTAACTTGAAAGGTTTTTCCATTGCATGCATGCTCTTCTAGAAGTTAATTTCTGGTTTTTTGTTTCGTACTCCCTCCGTCCCATTTCAAAGTGCCTGTTTTGGTTAACGATGTTTGACTCAAGTTATTTTCAAATAAACTTATATGAGATTTGAGGTGGACTTTAAAAATAAAATTTACATATTTAAAAACTGCATCAAAAATCCTAAAAAAGGGGTAACATGACTATATTTTTTTTATCAAATGACAAACGTTAATTAGTAAAGAAAGTAAATAAAGTTTTACCATGTGAATAGTAAATATGCAGTTTAATTTGGAACAAAGGGAGTAGTTAGTCCTCTTTTTTGTAGGTAGTGCACAATAACTCATTTTTTCCTTTTATTCTGTGTTACCTAATGTCTGATCTTCATAGTTTCCAATTCCTGATTGCAAATGTTTTCACTTTCAACCTGTTGAATATTGAGATACTAGAAGACTAGCGGATGGCATTAGCAAGACGTCACACGCTAGATAGTGGAAGCAGTTTGAGAAAGTAGAATTCTTACAAGTATACTGGAGTAGTACAGAAGATAGTAAGAATACTTGTATTAATCATGTTGATATTAAAGGAGTAAGGTACATGTGTTTTATAGGAAATAAAGTACAAAATTAGGATCCTAAAGTGTGAATGCGAGTTTTGTGTGTGTAGGGATTAGAAGTAAAGTGTATTGTAACCTAATATTTAAACAGCCCTTCAAGTTACAGCTTACTAAGCTTTCAGCTTGTTACAACAAAATTATTCCTTACCACTCAACAAGAAAGAGAATATGAAAGTTGAGATTTATGCTCTAAGCTTGATATCAATATAAACAATTCACCTTACATAAAATTACAATCATTACCATCCGTGAATGGCTGCAGAACACATCGAGATACAATACACACAAACGCACGACCATCAGGAATGAAGTTAAAAGTGCCAACTTAAAACAAAGCACATCAACACAAAAGGCATCTGAAAAAATGGGTACATGTAAAGCTGCACAAACCTTCGGGAATGATGTCAAAAGCATGAATGGCCGACTGGCGAACAGCTCAACAGCCTGAACTCCCTGAAGATAGCACAACCCCAACACTCTATGTACTTTGTAAAACTTTTTATGTAGTTTGTAGATATGTATTTTTTTAAAATTTTACACCTACAATCAAATAAATTGAATTGAAAATAAAGTTGGTCAAGCCTCTTAAACCAGAATGAGCAAATTCAATTTCAGACGGAGGGAGTATCATTCTTTCATCATTTTTAACGTTTTCAACCATAGTGTGAATCTCTCGTTTTAAGTTGTAATTCTGAGGTCTAACTTTAATTATGAGCGCATCTTTCCTGAAAATTCTTGGAGTATCAAGATTCAAGAAATAATTTTGAACTCATACAGCCTGTTTCCTAATTATACAATGCTCCATTCCACATCCAATATACAATGGACATTCACTTAATTAAATAAATGGTTTACAGGTATGAAGATTTCTTTGAAAGCAAGAAGACAGATCACAACAAAAAATCTAAAGCACTTGATAGATCACATAATATGGGAAGCGACGAAGAAATAACTGATCATGGTGATATTAAGGTAGTACACAATATTTCTCCTGGTGCAGGGGAGACTCAATCAAGATAGCACATTCATTTTCCTTTGTTTTTACTGTGAATGAAGTTTTGGGTAGTAGATGTAGCAATGCATCAAAGGTCTAAGTGTCTAACCCAGACAGTCTCTCAGTATCTTACCGTGGTAAGACTGCGTACATCTTGATCCAGACCCAATAAAGTTGGGATTATGTTGAGTTGTTGTGAAAGGGAGACTAAATTATAGTAGATCTTTATCTGAGTGATTATGTTCTCTTTAGATAATTATCAGTCACATCAACCATTTTCTATCAGGGAAACCACAATCTTTCCACCCATGAAAGAGAGCTTGTAAAATTGCGTTCTACGATAGAGGAAATGGAGAAGGCAAACATAGAACCAAAATCGTGGACTATGCAAGGAGAGGTAAAATATTCTTTGTGATTTTCTTAAGTCTAAATATGCTTATATTCATCTGAAATTGTATTCAAAACTTTAGCCCAAAATGTCAGGTAACTGCTACTAGAAGGCCAAAAAATAGTGCTTTGGAGGTTGATTTAGATTTTGAGCACAATATGAGACCGGCACCGGTGATTACAGAGGAAGTTACTTTATCTCTAGAAGAATTGATCCGGAAACGAATTGTTGAGGTGATTGCCCTTGCAAATTTTTGTGTATTTTATGCTATAATGCCAGTAATCTCTTTATATTGTATGTAGGATTTTTTCTTTAGAAAGATTTGATATTCAACTTTGTTTTATACTACATATATATTTTATCTTTAGAAAATTGTGTTTTTATACTTAATTTGTCTAGAAATTTGAGTGTTTGACACCGAGAATGCTCCAAAGAAACTAAGAAAACTATAAACATGAAAAGAAAACTGACATTCAAGTCTTTTCCACCCTTTGTTAATCTGCAGGAACAATTCGATGATGTTCAGAAGCCTCCTACTTTGCCATCCCGAGCGCCAAGAGAAACGAAAGAACTGGTAGTTAGTTTATTATAGGACTGATGCTTATTTGAGTTTTTAATGTTGTTTAATCAACAATGTGTGTAGCCTACCCGACCTAGTGGGATAAGGCTTTGTTGTTGTTGTTGTATTCAACAATGTGTTTTTCCCACTGCTCGGGATTCTTTAGTGACTAAGGTGATGATCCATGACCTTTTTTGTTTTATTTTGGTGCAGGATGATAATAAGAGCAAAAAGGGCCTTGCTGAAGTTTATGAGGTTAGGTTATTTAAGTTGTGTGTTGTAAAGATAGTGCTAGAGATGTAGTAAGCCATAAGCCATTGTTTCTTATGGATAATAGTTTACTTTACAATTCACTGATTTATGCTGAATGTCAATACAGGAGGAATATGTTCAGAAGACTGGGCTTGTTTCAAATGCTATGTCTTTTTCTGATGAGCAAAAGAAAGAGGTGTGCACAATTTTTTGCTTCATATTTTCCTTACTATCTTCTCCCTGACAATATAAAAAAGCTTCTACCAAAGTTTTTTGTCTGTGTATGCCATATTTTTATGTTTTCCCTATGTTCCTATATCTCTGTTTAGGTTGACCAAATCACGAAGTTAAGAAATTATATTGGTATCATATGTCGATAATTTTTTAGCAATTTGCCAAAAGGCCCACACTCAAAGCCATCGTCCCATTGATTTCCTCTTGGGAAAACAGATAAATTGAATAGTAAAATAACGGAAAATTGGAAAAAGATATTCAATGTGCATATATATATATCTTTAATAGATAGGTAAAAAGGAACGCAGAATGCTCAATACTTTCATACATAATGGCATTGCTATGATTTACATTGAATTAAGGCGAATGGTTTCCTTGAATGGTCTAATTTAAACATAAAATTTGTGCTGGAATACTACCTAAAATGGTGCTAAGGTTACTACTTATGAGGTGAGATAGCTAGGTATGAGCACCTTTTGAAGCCTTCAGGATGTGCTTGGATCATATGGAGGGTTTTTGAGGGAAGGGCAGATTCATGTTTTATTTATCCATTAGTCTTAGATTAGAAAACAACTACTCCCTTCGTCCTAGTGTGTTGAGTTGGATTTTTTGCAGTCAAATTGGGCGAACTATGCTCATCAATTAAATAAATATTACTTTGTATATTAATAAAATAATAATATTTTGAAAATATTTTAAAATATAAATCTAATTAAATCATTTTTTGTACTAATATGTAATGCAATTTTTATTTAATGAATGATCAAAGTATGTCCAATTTGACTGCAAAAAGTCAAACCGGAGACGGAGGTAGTATATCTTAACTCTTAAGTCTTAAGTAAATAGCGTGTGCTGTATAAGTTTTCTTATCCACCTTCGTTTCAACCATCTAATGCAATAATTAAATTAATAGAATAAACATCAAACACAAAATCCCAAACAATGATGTAGAGCCCATCCTCATGTGAAGAGATGCACGATTGAAAGAAAATGCTGATAAAGAAATAGGGGAAAGACGTTGTCACGTTGATAGTGGTCAGTGGATACCTCACCATCATGTGTTTTTTTCAGGCAGCTATGGTGTTTAAGAAGCTCTGCTTGAAGTTGGATGCATTATCGCATTTCCATTTCGCACCAAAACCGGTAAAACTATAGCCTTTGTTGATCTGGAAATAATTTGTTCTATATTTGGTGTATATTTTGGGCTTTTATGCATCCCATGTGTGAACTCATAACAGGTCATAGAAGACATGGCTATTCAAACGAATGTCCCTGCTATTGCAATGGAAGAGGTAATACATTGCTTTCAAGTGATTAACTGTTTTCATTCTGTAGCTTATCATACTTGCATGGTTTCAAATTTGTTTATTCATTTAATGACTTCGGTTGCATGACAGATTGCACCAGTGGCTATATCAGATGCAGCTATGCTGGCTCCGGAGGAAGTTTTTACTGGAAAAAAGAATATTAAAGAAGAAACAGAGATGACACAAGCGGAGAGGAAAAGGAGGAGAGCAAAAAAGAAAAGAAAATTTAAAGGTGAGCATTCAATTGTTATTTAAATATTACTGGTTGACCCTAAGAGGGTGTTTGGTTTGTGCTAAGGAAAGGGAAAGGAAACAGGAAAGGGAATAAGGGGGAAAAGGAATGATTACCTCTGAATTACCCTGTCTGTCAGTACAGGAAAGGGAATCGAATTCCCTTTGTTCGTGTTTGGTTCAAAATAGGGGAATCAAATTTTTTTACATAGTTATGATTATTTTGTTAAAAATAATACTTGTTTATTTTATCAAACATACAATCAAACAAAACTCATACATCACAACATTACTTTAAAGATGATAGATTCATTTCAAAATACAATACTTGTCTAAAATTTCAAAAAAACAACAATGCCAACGATACAAGTACAAAAAAGAAAACAATCGTCATGAACAAGACAATATCATCCGAAATAAAGACAACAATACAAGCACCTATGGGCTTCCTCCTCCACCACTTTCACCCAGAAGACCTTTGACATACCTCGTTCTCAAAGCACTTGAGCACTTGAAGAAAAGTGTGAGCTTATGAGGTTGGGGTAAAAGGACTTCTGCTGCTGCCAATGGTTCATCGGTACTAATGCCTTCTAAGGCAAGCAGTTCATCCAATACTTTGTCACTCATCTTCGCAAGCTCCATCTCTCGGTCGTGGACCTCTGCCTCTCGATCTTCGGCTCTTTTCATGGCATTCGCCATTGCAGAAAGATGAACATTCATATTATCCGCAAAGTTTTCAAACTTGATAAATTCAGAACTTCGTGATCCCTTAGCGGTATCAACACTCTTTCTTCCTCTTTTCACGTTTCTCTCTATTTTCACCTTCTTTAAAGGAGGGGCGGAAGATCCATCAGGAGCAACATCGTCATCACTAGATTCGATGCTAAGTGGTACAGTAGCTTCTTTCTCCAAGTTCTCAACGAGTCAACGGATTCAAGAAAGCCCTCGCCAAACTTTCCAGTAGCATAGTCCATCCCATAGATACTCTCCATTTCATTCAAGTAAGGGAATGGGACACCATACAAATTCCTACAATTTTGATGAACCTAAAAACAACGTATTGGGTAATTCTTACAATACTCATCATACACTGATATTTCAACAGCAATTGTATGCTTTTCATCATCCCATTTGAATCCGCTTGTTCCCAACATTTGCATTATAGCTGTATACCTTTTGACAAGTATTTTCAACCTCGAATCAATGTGGGTAGTAGCTTTCAACCCACATCTTGGAATGTCCTTGCTTATTAGCTCTTCCAATTTGGACATATATCCATTTCTGAAACCATTCTCAAACTTCCAATGAGTATCTGTAGCCATTTTATACAAAGCAACGATGAGAGCTTTATCTTCCTCCGGAGTCCAATAGCATTTGTTTCAACCCCTTCCGCCGCTTCTCGCTTTGCCCTCCTCCATCCTTCTACTCAAGACAACATGACAACATACATAGTCACACAAAACATATTATATAAACACAAAGTTCCATAACACACAACATGGTCCAATAAACACAAAGTTCCATAACAAACAAAGCACATTTTATAAACACTGAGTGTAATAACACACAAGTAATCAAGTTTAATGAAAGTGAACATTGAATCTCAAGTTTAACAAAAAACACAAAAGTTTAGGCTCTACGAGATCTAGTTCTCGAAGTGTTGAACAATTTCTAAGCCAATCCATTTCGGAAGTTATTCCATGGATCTAATGTATCAATTGAGCTTATGTACTTCGCTTCATCCTCCCATTCTCCATCATCACTATCTCCATCATCATGTTCAAATATCTCTTCATCATCAGCAGGTTGAGATGGCATGTATCTTGTACTCAAGTTATGTAATAAAGCACAAGCCAAGAGAATGCGACTTTGTGTTTGTAGGTTAAACCAAGTAGGCTTCTAAGAATATCCCAACGCCCTTTGAGTAACCCAAAACATAGTTCTATCACATTTCTGGCCGATGCGTGCTTTAAGTTAAAGTACTCTTCCGTGCTTTGTGGATGTGGGAGCATTGTTCCACTCTATAATATGGTAAATATGTCCTCTATATGGCGTAAGGAATCCCTCTACATTAGCGTAGCCAGCATCACATATATAGTAATAAACTTAACACAAAAAATTGCTATATTTAACATACATTATATAAGGACCCCTAGAACAAATTACATGTGTACTAGTGAGGTTACCTATTGGGATTTAAAACCACTAGGTCTAGATAAAGAATCACGGAGAACTCGACCATCGTGTGCTAATCCTTCCCAACCAGGCAACACATAGATAAATTCCATATTTGGTGAGCAAACTCCTAAACGCAGTGACTCCTTTCCTTGTTCGATACTTCGATCGGTCTGCTGCTAGGGCATTTACACTAATCATTGTACTGTCCAGTGCACCTAAGCAATTCTACAAAACAAAAATGTCGCAATTAAACTCTAAAACAACTTCATTCTTTCTAAATAACACCTGAACGTGAGTACCTTGAAGTGTTTCCACCTTTCGTCGTTGCAGTGTTTTGTTATTGGAGAAGGCTTCTTCACTAGCTTGTAGTTTGAATTTTTCAGCTTAAATAAAAATGTATTTAGTATGAATACTACCCTCTTTGCTCCGTGAACCGGTTTACATAATGGCTTTAAGAAAAGTGTTTATTGTTGAAAAGTAAATACTGGGTGGTTAGAGTTTGTTGGGAAGAGACTATATTTGAGGATCATATTCCTTTCCTTAAAATCAAGTGTACACTTTATTTATGAGTTCGTTCGCGCCATTTACCCCTGAAGGCTAAAGAAATTGTGTGGATTCCCCCCTGAACATTAAAATTTGCATCAATAGTCCCCAAACATTTAAAAACGTTGCATCAATGGTCTCTCTATGCCAAAATTGGGAGCGCGTTAATGACACGCTTGAAGATGCCATAGATTGATAAAGAAGTAGATCGTATGATTAATGCATTTCCAAATCTAGCATAGAGGGGCCTTGGTGCAATTTTTAAAGTTGAGGAGGAATCCATTCAATTTTGGAGGGTTCGGGGGTAAATTAAGCAATAAACTCTATATATGGACGGATGAAAAAGAAAAGTTTAAACTTCACTCTGGGAAATAGGGAGCAAACCTACATTCAGATTTCCCAAGCATAGGAACATTAACTAAATCCATAATACTACTTAGTTTTTAATAGTTTAAAAGGCGCCCATAGCTGGTTGACCGACTCATTTTTGACCATGTTTTAACTTGAGATATACTCCCTCCGTCCTAAAACTTTCTTCCCAGAGCACTATTCCAACTTCATGGGAATTTATATTTTTTTGTGTTTTTTCATGGCCTATATGATAAAATAAAATATTCTTGTCACCACTTGTTTTGTTGAATTTTTGATGTAGTTTTTAAATATGTATGTTTTATTTTTTATTTCTATACCAATATTTAAATAAAATAGATTGAAAAAACTTGAGATTTTTCTTCGTTTTGCGCAACGGGAAGAAAGATATAGGACGGAGGGAGTACTTTGTAATAGGCTAATGCCCCATTCTTTTGAGTTGGTATTCGATTCATCTAACTTTGCCCAGTTTCTTTCAACTCATTCCGATTCTTCTAGTGTTTTCCAACTTCTAGTTTTTTAACCTTTTGCAACAGTTAGAAAATAATTGCTTTTTCCCACTTCTACTATTAAATTCCAATAGTTAGAAAATATTTTTACAAGATTTCAAGTAAATCTTTAAAGGAAAAAGACTAAAGTAGGAATAAAACATTGAAAATTTACCAAAATAAGATTTTTCATGTTTTTATTCCAGAAGTAGGAGTTAAAATGCATTTACATTACCAATCAATCATGTACATTACGTAAAATGCACATGTACAATGTTACATTACCAAAATGCAAACTCCTATTTAGGGAATAAAATAATGGAACTCCTATTTTGGTACTTTCTCTATATTGGTACTTCTATTTTACTCCTATTTAGGGGGATTTCTTAAATTTTAACTTCCATGGGTTAATCAAGTATTTGCCATCAACATATATTTGTATTTAAATTTCTTTTATTGTGGACTCCTTTAATTATGAAAGATTTTATCACTAAATTTAAATTACGTAAAAATATCAAAAAATAATATAAAATGTGATATACTCCCTCTGTCTAACAAAGTTGTGTGAACCACAAAATTCCTTCCTTAAAAGTAAAGGAGTTTTTTTTTGGGGACAAAGAAAAGCAGAAATGTGGCTACTTTTTTATGGGACCAAGGGAGTACTTTGTTTCAAACAAACAAACAACAAAACCCAGTAAAATTCCAGAAAGTGGGGTCTGTGGCGATGGGTGCCGCAGATGTTACCCCTACCTGCCTAGAAGGTAAAGATATTGTTTCAAGAGACCAGCTCAACACACAAAGGAACTGGTAAGCACAATCAACAAATAAAAGCAAAATAAGAAGAGATAAAAAAAATACGGAGTATAACCCAGCGCACACTCTACTGGCCTACTACAGTAAGCTAATGCAGCAAGTCCCAGACAATGATAAACCAGTCCTACCAAGGCTACCCTAGTACCCTACCACCCTAATCCTTCAACTCCTAGCACCTTATCTAAAGCTATATCCTTTGACTTCATAAGCCGAAAGTCATCTCTACTTACCCCACTCTAACTCTTAATAGGTCTATGTGACTACCTCTACTCAAATTCCCAACCTCAAGACTCAAGCCTCACACTTCCTCCCTGGAGCTTGATTACTTCTCAGCACGCTCCTAAATAAGAGAAATCATATAATTGCCTCCAATTGGATTTGGTCCTATGCCAGAGGTGAAGAAGACTGAAGAAGACCTATGCTCTTCCATTTCGACAATGGGCACTTTCTTGCCCCTTTTATCCTGTACCCTTACATTTACTATGGATTTTTTTTTTGCATGGGATTTTATGTGACACTTAAAGTAAATATAGGGTTATCACAAAGTTGAATAAAATAAACACAAAGGTAAGGTCAAGCATTCTTTTTCTTTTTTATTTGCTCTCTTTGTATGTATGTGTATACATATGTCTGTGCAGACACATACATATGAATTTGTATGTACCCTTTTATCTTCTCCAATATGCTTGTCAAACTCATTTATATGCTGTACCCTACCTGTCTACAATATCGGCATTAGAATTTATTATTTCTTGAAATTTGAGCTCGTGACACAAATTTACAGCTGAGACATCCAAAAGGAAGCCCCCTCAAAAATCGCTGCACACTGGACCTGAGAGTGAGTTTTACTCAACCAATCTCTCCTGACATGTTTCAAGTAAATTTGAAATAGAAAAACTAAAAGACGGATCTACATTGTGTTTCAATAGCAGGCAAGGAACAATCGTGACAAGCGGAGGCAATGACAAGGCAGGTGTGGAATTATAGGTATTAATGTACTACGCGAATATATATATGTTGAGATTTTTATTGCTTTCCCTATGTTTAGAAAGGCTGTCCATTTTTGCATTACTTGATGAATGGTTAATGAGTTTTTGATAATTATGCTAACAGATATGATTTTTCAAGCAATATATTGGATTTGCAACTCTTTTGTGCAATAAATGAATGTTGCAAGGCCACTGTATGATCTGAATTCTGTTTAGTATGCAAATACTAAATGGTATGCAGACATTAGTTTTTGTTTAGATATGCACTGATTGCATGAATCCCGGCTCCCGAGATGCCAAGCAATTTATGGTGTTTGCTTTGAATTTAACTGTCAGAGTTTGGGGTTTGAGATCTTGGGAAGCCCCACAAATATAAATTTCACAGGTGAGATGAGACATTTTTAGTGTAAGTGGAAGTAGGGAGCCCATCTACATAGGCATTGTTTGGCAAGTAAATTCAGTTTTTTTTTTTGTCAGAAAAAAAGTTTATTTTTGAAGTAAATGATTGATGAAACAGCTCTGGGAAATGTTTGGCAATTACTTTTTGGTTACAAAATATTGGTTTGGGAAGAGCTTGTTTTTCAAGCTTTTTGAAGATCAGTTTACAACCTTTTACTTGATTTTATTTAGAAGTGGGCACAACAGTTCAACTACTCAATACGTAACAGTTTACTTTCACACCTAACACAAAAAGACTTCTAAGACTTTGGGAATTTTTTGTATAATGTAATTTTGGTTATATTTATTTGAATAGATTATTAATTAAATGGTTTGGCACATAAAAATACAACCAAATAATACGAAATGGAAGGAGTAATGCCATCTGTCCTTAGGAATTGGCTACAACTGCATTTTCCGGTTTCATCACCGCTTCATTTTGACCAAAGATCCCGAATTTTAATTGTTTTGCTATTGTTAAAAAATTCTTTATTTATTCTTGTTAATCGTTAGTTAAAATAACACAATCATGTTTTTTATAACTAAAATCAGACAAGGCCATTTAAGCTGGAATTAAGTATAATTAAAATTAGACCACACCATATCAGCATTAAAGAGTAAATATGCATTCATTTATTCACAAACGAAGCACATGCATGCAATATACTCTTGTGATAGTATATATCTATAAGAGTAATTATAAATAATGTATGTCATCTACGATCAACAACTTTCAAACAATACATGATTGAACTATTTGGTTATTCTTTTGAGCCTAACCTTGAGACCATGTCTCATGTAGAGAATAATAGAAGTGTTTGGCTCCACCGGGTGGCCTTCCACAACCCTAACTTGGTAATTATGTATGATTGAGGCAGCCACGGCCTTCATTTGAATGAAAGCCACTTCTTTCCCCAAACAAGTCCTTGGCCCTGCATTGAATGCCAAGAACTTGTACGAAGGCTCGTGCTTTACCGTCCCCCGCTCTGAAATCCATCTTTCTGGCTTGAACTCGCACGCGTCCTCTCCCCATATAGTCTCCATTCTCCCCATTGCGTATAGCGAAAACATTATTTTCATCTTAGGATGGACTAAGTGGCCACTCGGGAGGGTGTCCACCTCGGTTGGTTCCTTGTGCTGGAAGGGAACTGGAGGGTATAATCTCAAAGATTCGCATAATGCGGCGTGCAGATAGACCAATGTTTTGAGTTCTTCTGGCTTGAAAACCCTCCATTTCTGGGACTCTGAGGGAGGAGTTATTAGGGTTTTGAGCTCATCTCTTATTTTTGACTCGACGCGAGGATGGGTGGAGATCAACCATATGAACCAAGTGAGGGCTGAGCTGGTCGTGTCACGCCCCGCAATCATCAGGTTCATGACCATGTCTCTCAAGAACTTGTCGTCGTCTAGCTTCAACCCCATCATCGACTTGTTGTCATCCTTATCCTTGCTTTCTATCAAGTAAGCGGTGAGTAGATCACAACTCTCGCTAGTGTCCTTATTTTCGGACATCAGTTCTCGATGCTTTTTGGCTATGTATTGTCCAATGACTTGATCCAACGTCTTCGAAGCACAACTCAGCTTCTTCTCTGCTCCTACTCCTGCCCACCTCTGCACCTTCCATATCAACTCCGGCACGACATGCCGAACGAGAATGGCTTCCTCTGCATCGTCCATCGCCTTCGAGAACGGGACCTCAGGGAAATCGATGGACACGCAGCCAGGGTCATACCCCGTGAAGAGAATACAACTGGTGTCGAACGTGAACCGCTGGAACAAGTCTTGCAAGTCCAATACCAAACCGTTGTCGGACGCGTGCTCCAATACCTTCATCAGCCCTCTCTCCACCTTCTCCTTGCTCGTCTGCACCAGAAACTTATGGAACCGCACGTGCATGATCAACCCCCGCGCGATCTTCCTTTGGGCCCGCCACGGGTCCAAGTCGGCGTTGAAAATCCCGTCCCCCAACACGTCAAACATCTCCTTGAACTTGGGGCCTTTCGGAAAGTTCAAGAAGTTGGCGCTCATGATGTGGTGCACGTTTGCGGGGTCGACGGTGACCAGGATGTCCATGTTGGCGAGCCACGGCCCCTTGTAGAGGAAAGTGCCGCCGGATCGCCGCATGGTCATCGTGGCCCTCTCGTGGATTTGGTTTATGTAATATAGAGTGCCCGGCAACATGCCAAGAAAGGGATAACTCCGGGGAAGCCCCTTCTTCCTCTCTTCCCTCCATAGGTGAAACATCAACAAAAATGCAACTCCTAGCAATATTTCCCACCACCCTATCTCTATTTCTGCCATTTCTTAGCTTCTTATTTATTTTCACTTTTTCCAAATGTTTGATTACAACACTGCATTTATATTGCATCTATACATATACACATTACATGCACACACGTAGACAAAAGTAAAGAGATGATGATGATGTCACCTTCTTGACTAATACCCTAGCTCCATCACTCTTACATTTTGGAACTAATAACCCCCACCAAATACATATACTACCTCCGTCCCATGAAACATGAGAGTTTTGCTTTTTAGGAGGGATTTAAGGAGAGTGTATTTTGGTATTGAATTTCCAAAAATGTTCTTTGATGTGATGGGTAAAAGTATGATTTGATGGATAGATTATTAGTAAAAAAGTATGATGTGATAGTTAGGTATGAAAAAGTAAGGGGTAAAAGTGACTTTTTAATAGAAATGAGAAGTGTTTTGTGGGACGGATAAAAAAAGAAAGGAGAAAGGTTTTATGGGACGGAGGGAGTATTTTTTTTGTTTTTTTTACATAAAATAATGCTCGGTTTCTAGTTTCTTCTTCTTCTTACCTCAGCTCCTTGTTTACAGAAAAATAATGCATGCACATTTAATTTATGATTAAGATATCACCATAATGAAGTGGCCCAACCCAAAATGACATTGACACTGCTAGTAGAGCTGGCAAATCGGTCGGTCAGGTCGGGTTCGGGTTCGGTCACTTCAAGTTCGGGTTATTTCGGGTTCGAGTCAATTCGGGTTCGGGTTGAGAACTGTATGTTCATGACCCACTGTCATCGGGTTCGGGTCGACCCAACGGGTTATGACTTTGTTTTTTTAAATTTTTAAATTCACATTAACACTTACATTTTCTATTAAATAAATTTAAAATATCAAAAAAAAAGTATTAAATTTATAAAATTATCTTATTTTAAACTCTAAAGTAGTTTTTAGATATATAAATCAAAATAAGGAATTTAAAATTGCTTAAGTTTTGGAAAAAAATAAGATAATTATGCAATATCATTAAAATTTTGTATGAAAATATAAATTTATACACTAAAAAAGAGTAAAAAACTGTATAATTTTGAAAAATTCTTACTTTAGCCGGTCGGTCAGGTCGGGTTCGGGTTCGGTCGGGTTTGACCCATTTTTAGCGGGTCATTTCGGGTTCGGTCAACTTCGGGTTCGGTCACCAAAACCTTTGTTCAAAACCCAGTGTTTTCAGGTCGGGTTTCGGGTCACTTTTTGACAGGTCTAACTGCTAGTGTCACCGGTGTCACTTGAACCCCACCGTTAAGATATTATTTTATTCGCACACCATTTTCTTCAATTCCTTCCCAAAAAATCTTCTTAATTTCACCTTTCATCCATCCCTAAAAATATTTGTACTTTCAGTTAAAATCTACGGAATATTTTTTAACACATACTAATTACTACCTCCGTCCCACTCTCTTTGTCCACTTTTGACTTTTGGAATTGTTCATCTAAGCACTTTGACTCATCAAATTCTCTCAATGTGTAAGCCTAAATATAGTCATGTGTGATCTTGTTTGATTTGTCTTAACATATAGATTATTAAATAATACTCCTTCCGTCCCAAAAAGTCTGTCCCGTTTCAAAAAAATTACGTCCCTTAAAGTCGGCCGTCTCATTTCTACTATAACCACTTTTACCCCTTACCTTTTCATACTCTACCTTTCACATCATATTTTTTTTCTAATAATCTACCCATCACATCTTATTTTTATCATCACATCAAGGGTATTTTTGGAAAGTCAACACTAAAATATCCCTCCTTATTTTACCACTTTAGTCAAAATAGGACAAACTTTTTGGAACAGAGGGAGTATAATGAAACTATATGTATGTCATGCTTTCATGTTCATATTTGGATTTTCCTTGGCAAATTTAATTATAAGCAAAGGATAGATGTTTTTGAGGAAGGGCAGTTATGGAAAAAAGTAATTCCAAAATAATAAGTACATCGTATGCATGCATTACAGATATGCGGTTGCTGTTGGTAGTTGGTCCATACATTAATTAAAACTGCATATGCTGTCTTCTTCATAGTTCATATGCTAAAGTAATTACTTCCTCAGTGACGCACGGCTCATCTATACATATACTTCCTCCTCCATCCCTACTATGATTACAAATAACACAAAACGAATAAAAATTTTGACTTTTGTCAATTTATTTTGTTTAAATATTGAGATATAAATAAAAAGTTAATTTATTTTTATTTAAATATTGAGATATAAGTAAAAAGTTAAACTTACATATTTAAAAACTAAATTAAAAGTTTTACAAAATAAGATGTTACACGAATATTTTATTTTATCAAATAATTAATGAAAATGCACAAATAAACAAAAGTTCTCATAATTTGGGAATGCTAAACATTGTAATCAATTGTGGGAAGGTGGGAGTATATTAGAGTCCGCTTTGACCACACCCAAATATATACTCCCTCCGTCCTATATTGATTTTCCCACTTCCTTTTTTTTCCCGTCCTAAAATCATCTTCCCACACACTTTAAATGCATATGTAATGACTATAATACCCCTAAAAAGTTAAAATATTTATTACTCCACCCACCCCAACGCATGCCTTATCTTCCTTGAATCATTGCCCACCTCTCATTCTCTCATTTGACCTTATCTCTTCCTCTCCCCCATTCTTAAACTTCTCCGCCTCCTCTCATTTGAATCTCAGATCCGCCGCTGACGGCGGTGTTGCGCGGAACCGTAGGAAGAGATCGCTGGAGCTAGTTCCACCGAGGCAGAAAGGAGGGAAGGGGAAAGATGTTCTTGGCCCTTCAGGTGTCTCCGGCGGTGTCAGGAAGTTCCGGGGCGTAAGGCGACGACCTTGCGGGAAATGGGCTGCCGAGATCCGGGACCCGACCCGACGGGTTAGAGTTTGGTTGGGAAACGGCTGAGGAAGCCGCGGCGATCTACGACAAGCTCCTTGGGGTGGATGCGCTGACCAATTTCAGAGTCCCGCCGGCGAAGCAGGGGAACGACGCTTCTGTTTCATGCTACGATTCCGGCGACGACTTTGCTGCCGATCAAGAATGCCACGGAGAAACGAACATAGCGCCTTTGCACTGCATTTTTTTAAAGGGAGGGTATAATTGGAAGTCAAAGTGCAAAAATTCACTCCCTTAAAAATGAACAAAAGTCAATATGGGAAGTTCAATATAGGACGGAGGGAGTAGATACATTATAATATATATCGGAGAGTTTATCAGGGATAAAATTATACAAATTGGGTTGTACTACCTCCGTCTCAATTTAGATTGTCTCTTTGCCTTTTATCTCCGTCCCAGAATAAGTTGCATGTTAGTTGTTATCGTAAACTTTTAAAAGTAAAATATCTAAACTAACTCTAAAATAAGTCACTCTTCTCCACATTATCTTCTCATTCATCATGATCACTCCTAAAAATTATTGACAATTTCAGAAAATCAACTCTATTTTTTATTTTCTTTAAATATGCCCAAAAGTCAAAATAGGCGATTTAAAACGGGACGGAGAGAGTAATAGTTTTACACCGAAGGGAAGAGAGGCCAAAGGATCATACAATGCCATGGGGATGATCGCTGGCCGACGACGATAGATGTGAGGTATTGCCGATGGAAGATGGGAGTGTTAAATATATTATGTCTATATTTAATATTATTTGTATATAGTAGTTACCATACTTGTATAGGTAACATTAACTTAGTTTCCTAACATAACTAGGAAACTCATACTATATAAACACTTGTATCCACACATGATCATTATTGGAAAATAATTATTCTTCATGGTATCGGATCCCTATCGACTTCTCTATATATATCTCTCTCAGCTTCTCTCTCTCTCGGCCTTCTCCTCCCCGCCGGTGGTCACCATGGTCGAGGTCTCCTCAGTCTCCTCTAATAATAACAACTCCTCCAAATCTCCCTTCTTTGCCTTTACAATGATCTCTAATATCAAACTTCGTATCCTTGTTCAACCCTTACTAAGCATCTCAGAACCCAACTACAAGAAGTGGAGTAGACTCTTTCGTCTTCTCGTCCTTCGCTTCAATCTCATGGGATTTAATTTCTTGATGGCACCACCGTTGCCTCCTCTGCTGACGACGTGTAATGGTATCAGTTCGATGCCCTCCTTCAAGGGTAAATCTTATCCACGGTATTTGATGAAGTCTCGGTCTTGTTCTTGCCAACAAGTACAATCCGTCCGCCTATGCCTTGTGAAAAGCAATCTTCAAGTTGTTCCATGACAATCAACATGCTCTAGCGATGCTGTAATACCCCGTATTAAGATGGGAATGGGAAGAGCTCAAAAGGATTGATAGTACTACTCATACCAACAAGGTGCATCTTCTTTTCGAGAGCTCATTACCTAGAAACTCCAAGGTTAAGCGTGCTTGACTTGAAGCAATTCTTGGATGGGTGACCCCCTGGGAAGTTTTCCTTGGGCGTGCACGAGTGAGGACAAAGTGCGCGAAAAAGACCTGTGTTGGTTTGTGGGGCCAGTCTACAATCCTATGAGCGGACACTTACAGCTAGGGTGGGGGCTAGGGTGTTACAAATGGTATCAAAGCAACCCTGCGACCGTGACGGGCCAAGAGAGCTTAGTTCACCTAGCGGGGAAGATCTATGGGTTCAAAAAAAAAGGATGCAACGAGGACGTTGCATTCCTAAGTGGGGGTGAATGTAATACCCCGTATTAAGATGGGAATGGGAAGAGCTCAAAAGGATTGATAGTACTACTCATACCAACAAGGTGCATCTTCTTTTCGAGAGCTCATTACCTAGAAACTCCAAGGTCAAGCGTGCTTGACTTGAAGCAATTCTTGGATGGGTGACCCCCTGGGAAGTTTTCCTTGGGCGTGCACGAGTGAGGACAAAGTGCGCGGAAAAGACCTGTGTTGGTCTGTGGGGCCAGTCTACAATCCTATGAGCGGACACTTACGGCTAGGGTGGGGGCCGGGGTGTTACAGATGCAGTCTACATCACTTCAGCGCGACCGTTAAAGGCAACCAGACAATCAATGAATATTGTCATCATCTTCTCAAAAACCTAGCGGACTATATGGATGATGTGGATGCCCTGGTGACCGAACACGCTCTTGTTTTACAGGTTCTTCAAGGCTTGCCCTATGACATTCGGGCTCAAGTTCACTTCATGCAATATCAAAATTCCTTCTTGACGTTCTTGGAGGTTCGGTCGGCCTTGCTCCTGGTCGAACAACAACAACCCGATGCCTTCCCCAATGCCGGCCCGTCAATCGCACTCCTCAGCATCATCGGCGGCGGCGGCATTCACACGGCTGGCGATGGACAACCGCGTAAGGCAGGAGGTGGCGTGCAGGACCGAATCGGAGTAACAACGGCGGATATCGAGGACGCGGTTATGGACGTGGACGCAGCGGCCCGAATTAACAACCTGTTGGCCCAAATCCCTGGCAGTTCCTTGCCCCTTCACCCGGCCTACTCAGCCCACAGCCCAACAACCCTTACCCAGCCCAAGCCCACCTAGCCCATTACCCAAACCCATACCCTTATTACCCACCCGTATCACCCCCACCTCTACCACCCACTCACATACCCGAACCCTTCCTAGCCCCACCCACACCCTTACTCGCAACCCTCTGCCCCCACCCAACCCTACCCGCCCACCTATTGCACACATCATTTTCCCCCCATATTTGGGCTTCAAGAAAGCCCAATCTAATCCTATCAATGGCCTGCAACCAGCTAAGAACCCATGCTTACATGCCGCCAACATAAAAAACAAGCAATCAAACCTTACACTGCTATCAGACGATTCAGATCCACAAATTTTAAAAACACTACCTAGATTAGTAGTAAGAATTGTAGTACCATAATATATTAAGAGTGCATATTGTTCCTCAGCATTCCCATCAAGTACTTCACATGCCAATTATTTTGCCCTGCATGCCTTCCATTCACTGCAATTTACACTCACTTTTTTCGAACTTTCATAACCAACTTAGCTATTTTTCACTTATGTTTTTCTGCTCATGCTTAACAGTCCTCTTCACAATGTACTTTTAGTCAACATGCTTATTGTAGAATTGTTTGCCACACTTGTGTGCTCCTTTGAATGACTTCACTTAAACTGTCTTGGTGCGCGACCTACCTTTGCTGCATAAAAATCCCAATCACAAAGCTTAGTGTCTTTGAATGCACATATAAAAAACCCTCAATCGAGTTTTCTCATTCTTTCACCACTAGTCAATGCCTTTCCTAATGCACCATGTTGGAGTTCCCACATCGGAAAATAAAGATAAGTATCACTTGTATATATTGAAGGGTGAAGCCCTACCTATCCGCTTAAGCTTTTGGGTTAGAATTGTGGATCTCGACTTTATATGCAAGTGGTGAATTTTACCCGACACTCTATCCGTTGTTCTCGGCCCGCCAGAATTTAAATATGGTATCAGAGCAGGTCCGGTCCGGGTTTGATTGTTCCTGGTTGTTTGGATGTGGGTTTAGCAAAAATGAGCTACCCGTATGTGGTTTGGGCTGAGTTGGCTAAAAAGAGATTGAGATGCCACCGCCAGTTGTGTGGACTAGCTATAAGAGATTGAGATGCTAGACCCGTTTGTCCAAGTGCTAACTAGGCCAGACTAGTTACCACTTGCGGGGGAGTGTTGGAGTTCCCACATCGGAAAATAAAGATAAGTATCACTTGTATATATTGAAGGGTGAAGCCCTACCTATCAGCTTAAGCTTTTGGGTTAGAATTGTGGATCTCGTCTTTATATGCAAGTAGTTAATTTTACCCGGCACTCTATCCGTTGTTCTCGGTCCGCCGGAATTTAAACACACCAATTGTTAAATACTTCCTTAAATTGCTTCCTATGCTTAAACTACAACCTAACATTTGAGTTCCCTATTCGTGGTTTCCGTACCTTCTCTCCAAAATGGGAAATTCGTGTCAAATGGATCGTTGAGCATAACACCATTTTCCTCTTCATCACTTAAAGCACGCTTGTTTCTTTTGCCTTCTTCTTGCTCATCTATAACAACTTTCCTTCTCAAATTTAGTTTTTTTCTCCATTTTTGTTTCATTGTTTTGTATATATCCTTGTTAGTGCTCTCATCATTTAACCTTTTTTTAACACAACATTCGTCACTAGAACCATATATCCTTTCATATGCCTCAAGAGGAACCTCATTATCAACTTTAGATTCATAACTATCCTCACGTGATTGTACATAAGTCTTATCCTCAGAATCACTTCGTGCTTCAAGGTTATCCATTGAAATATTTTGAGTCAATATTGAGGTAAATGTTTCTTCTATAGCCCATCTAGAATTTTCAAAATTACAGAGTTTATCTGGGGTGATTATCAATTGGTCCCAATCAATTTACTCTTCAACAATACATTGAAAACCCCCACTAACATTTGGGATGTTCAGTGCCTCTTAATATTCCACACCACATTCAACCTGTTCAACAAAATCTAGTTCTCTTAATGTCTTGTTTGAATCATCCCCATCCGTCAACAAAGTTTTATTTAAAAAGTAATTTTTCAGTTCCGTCACTCTGAGCATAGATAGTGGCAAACTCATTTCTTCATGAGCTTTTTAAAATGTCAACATATTTGAGTTTAGGAGTGAGCAAGTACTGAACCGATACCGAAATTTCCCAAAAAACCGAGAATACCGAACCAAAAATACCCAACCGAAAAAGTACCGAGAAGGAACTGAACTGAATGGTCGGTACGGTATTTGGGAACGGTACGAGCTGACGTCCCATACCGAAAATCCCAAACCGAACATATGTACTAAAATATTACTCCCTCTGTCCCATTTTAAACTGCCTGTTTGCCTTTTTTCTCCGTCCCAAAATAAGTTACCTGTTAGTTGTTTTCGTAAACTTTTAAAAATAAAATACCTAAACTACCCCTAATATAAGTCACTATTCTTCACCTTATCTTCTCATTCATCATCACCCTTCCTAAAAAGTATTGTCAATTTCAAAAAATCAACTCTATTTTTTATGTTCCTTAAATATGCCCAAAAATCAAAACAGGCGATTTAAATTGGGACGGAAGGAGTATAAAAAATAATACCCCGGAGTAATATTTTTATATTTTCCTTCACTAAATAATAATTTTTTTAAAAAAAATCAGTTCAAGTTCTATTATGTGTAAATTATACTTTTATTTGAGTTTTAGTTTTTGTGTATGAACATAAAAGTATTAATAAAGATTCAAAATACTCCTTTGTTGTCGTTCATTTTTTTAGTTTGTGAAATATAAACTAGTTTTGATACGCATATCTTGCATTTAAATATTCATTTTTTTTAATTTTTCATGTTTTTTTATTTAAATTCACTTTTAATTTTCAAAAATAAAGGGGCGTTGTTGAATTTTAATGTGTAAAGTAGGTATGTGTATTCATCCCGATTTGTACCGAAACCGATACCGAACCATCCCGAACCATACCTAACCGATATTTCGGGATTGGGATCGGTACGGAGTAAAATCCCATACCAAACCGAAATATTTGGTACGGTATCGGTACGAGCTAAATACCGTGGACCATGCTACACTTACACCAACAAATATACCCCATTTGTACACCACAGGTTTGCACAAACATTTCAATGGTTTACACCGACACAAGTGTTGGTGCTTTAATAAAAATTCACACGGACACAAATGTCGGTGCGTTTAACAAAAATTAGTTTTACACCAACACAAAATGTTGGTGCAAAACTGCGGGGTACAAATTGGGGTACAAATCTTGGGGTACACATAGCATAATCCAAATATCGTACCATACCGTACCATGCTCACCCCTATTTGAGTCACATTTAATCTGACGGCCTCTTCCTCGAAGCATTGAAAAAGAAACTAACTGAAACTAACTGGACACCAAAACTTCTCTTTTTCGTACACAGAACTGCAATGGGATTCTTTTTCCATCGCAATCCAGAGAAGAAGAAAATTAAGATAAAACAAAAACATACTGTAATATTCTATTGCCGGGAAAAGAAAACATGAAGCCGCCAGTAAGATGAACAAACCACTAAGAGCACAAAATCCCATTGCCACAAAAAAAATGATCACAATTAATACTTTTTCACATGCAAATCAAAGAGAAAGACTTGCATCCACAAAGCAAAACACAGAGTGCATATCACATAAAAATAATCAATAAATCTTCATAAATGAAAGCCTAACATCACAGCCAAGACATGAATGGACGACGACACAAAATGGAATGAAGAAGATTAAATCAAACATTAATATCTGTACGCTTATATCTACTACTACTAGTAATGCTGCTACTAGAGTTGCCAAATTCTTGGGAGCCAAATCTCGGGATGCGGTAGTTATTATTATTATCAGGAGTTGACATTGGTTGTTGAGGATAGAGCGTGGGAGGCGGTGGAAGATTGTGCTGCGCAGGCAGAGGAGGGAGTGTGTTGCTGTTGCTATATTTGTAAGAGTCACCTATCAAACTGCAACCACAGTGAAGAAGAAGCCCATAGCAGTAAGAAGTATCATCATCATCATCATCATATATTTTCAGTTTTTTAAAAAAAAACTAAAAAAAAGATTTGCATTTTTCACTTAAAACAGAAACAATAAAAATGGGTTTGACTGTATTGGTTTTTAATTCCTACGGAGCAATATAAATTAATCAAATTATTTAGTATTTTCATTTTTTCCAAAGCATTTTTCTCCTTTTGACACTTCTATAAAATATTTCTAGTTTCTAAAGGAGTCATTATTTTTCATAGTAGAGCATATTTATGGAATGCAATATAAGTATAAAATATTAAACAATGGAAAACAAAAGCAGGAAAACTTCAAAACAAGACAATACATGAAACAAGAAACATTACCAAACAAACCCATAGTATGTTCGACGTATAATGCTTGTACTCCATATAAAATAGCATAGCATGGTGCATACCTCATAAATTTTGTGCATTGCATATAAGATAGGAAAACAGGAAGTGAGAATTTGTGTACCTCAAGTTTGGACTCTTGTACAAGTTATCCTCTTCACTTGAAATTTCACTCCACTGCAACGGTTTGTCAATTGAGGTGGCCCAAGTGCTACCTGGTAACTCATCCGAAAAGTATCTCCTCCTGATCAACTGAGGCAAGTTCCACAGAGTAAATTCAGCATTTCAGTGCAGAGGAATCAAGTCATATTATCATGTGTACAAGGGGAAAAGTATGGACCGTTCGAAAAAATTTCTGCAATGCTTCCTTGTCATATCTTGCTTCTTTGGCAGCCTGCACAGTTTAAAATAGTATTAGTTTGGATACACAGATACATGTACACACATAAGGAGTAATGTGTGTCACAAAATGGTAATCAAGGAGTGACATATTATCTACCATCGGAAAAACTTTTGACCCAAATTGAGGAAGAAGAAGTATAGAGCGGAAATAGGCCGGTAGTTACGTAATTGAGAAACAAAAATATGAAAAAAAACAGGTGGGAAATAAATACAGATAAAAGTTTTTTGGAGAATAGATGTAGAGGGGAAAATATTTGAATTAAAACAGTTACAAAGGTAAAAAAGAAAAAAAACTAAATTTAGAAATGAAACTCACTTATTTCAAGAGACTTTGTGAGACTCAAGGACCAAAGAATTGGACAATAAAAATTTCACTGCATTTCTAGCCAGCGGGGAATAGAAATGAACACAACAATTTCCATTCATTTTCCCATTTATTTCGACCCTCCCGAACAGAATATTTTTTTAAAAATGCATGCACTTCCATTCATTTCTCTTCCATGGTATTTCCACCCTGCCAAACATGGACCGATTCTTACCAACATCCATCCCAACCAGTATAAACACTGATTCATTTTGGAGGCACCTATTTACAAATATGATACTCGGTGCATTATAATATAAGCTTCAAGGTTTACACTTCACAATGTGCTAGCTCGTAGCATGGTAAATATTATCACCTTTGTGTTGATACCATAATTCAAAGTTTAAGAAATAATAGAAAAATTTTTAAAGGTCTCTATATTCTAGAAGTTGAAGAAATATTTGCATATTTTAGAAACGAGAAAATAGTAGACTACAACATTCAGTTGTACAAGATTTTTGAGAAATATAAAAGAACTAAAGGGTTGAGATCATAGAGCAAGAGAAAATTTACAAGGCCCCGTCCTGAAACCCTATCACGATAAAGGATAAAATATCCTTTTCTATCATGGAAGGGTTTGTATAAGCTGTCATACAGAACCTAATTGGATGAAAAGTGTAGCAACATTATGATAACTGAGCTTGGACAACAAAAAGTAAAAATAGGACTAGAAAAAAAACTAGAGTTGATTTGCTGTTGGAATGTATTAGGGTTTGTTTTACCGAGCTTGTTTGTATTGGGCCCGTAGTTGAATATAACGACCAAGGAGAAGAGAACTTCATTGCTAATTAAAATTGAAATGCTGAATATCAGAGTCTTGGAGATAATTCTTAGAAACATCATAAGATGAAAAAAATTACCAAAAAGCAAAGAAAGAGCCATACGCAGGTAAAGCAGTAAGTTTTCTAAAAGAAGAAAATTATTATTAGCATTGCACGTGATGAAAAGATTGTGCTCTGTTATGAAAAGGAAAACAAAACAGGTTTTGAATATGTTCATGGTCAGAGAATTTACCGCAAAAATGCCTCCATTTCCAGGGAAACTTTCAGTCAATGGAAGTTCTTTGCTTGATGGCAGAAGACCCTGCTTCTCAACCCACTGGCGAGCTACATCAACAAGGTTCCCACTGCTCCCTCTAGTGCTCTCCTTTGAAGCAATATCTGCTTTATTGCCAATGACAATGTAAGGGACTGGAAGGCCTCCAGGGCCTCCAGAAGCTAGAGGAGCTGAGAATGTTCCTGAAGAAGCAATTTCTGCAGCCCACTTTTGCAAGCTTGATTTTGTCCTTCTTTGAGAAAGATCATAGACAAAAATAACACCTAAACTAGAAATTTCATCAGAAGATATAAATTAAAATTTTATAATTTCTTCTCTATTGAATTTTATTAAATGATCAGCCCGTCCCAAAACATATCCTATTTTGATAAGGTATAGCATTTTAACTTTTGCGAGCTAAAACAGATAAAAATCATGAAATCACATGAATATGTTCAAAACTTATTTATAATTTAAACTAAAAGGATCGTATTTGACGTGAGTAACAACTTTTTGGCAACTTATTGTTAAAATAGAAAAGATGGTTTCATTTTATGAAATAAGACTCATTAATGGGTGGAACATATTTCTCGAAACAATAATCTTCTTTTGAGACGGAGTAATATTTAGTGATTAGCAACTTCATCACATATGCTTCTTCCCCCACTCTTCTAGTGGAGTGGAAAAGAATGTGAACAGAATATGAGGAAAGGAATGATCCTTAATTTTTTTTGTAATCATTGAATTGAATAGATAAACAAGTTGTGCAAAAACAACTAGGTCGGGGTTTTTTTGACAGCAAACTACATGGTACATCCTGATGTACCTTCCTCTTGGTACATCATGAAAAACATGTAATTAAAAAATGTTTTAGAATGAACACTACGTTATTTCTGAATGAACACTACATTGTTTCAGAATGAACGGTACTTGGTTTCAGAATTTAGAATGACAATATACTAAGCAGGCTTCATAATGAACACTACGGTCGAAAATGAACATTCTTTTGATTCAAAATGAACATTCAGTTCATTTTGATTGGGATGTACCTAGCTCTACGTACAACCGGGTATACGATATATATTCACTTTTTTGACATGTCAAATTTGAAATCCATTAGCGTAGCATTTCAAACATTAATCCCAAAATGATTTTTAAAATCTATTAAATTGATTTTGTTGAAAGTATTGAAAAAAGGTTCATTGATCACCATTGATTTGAGAGTAGAACAGAGAACGGCAATCTTTGTATCGGTCATGCCCACATACATCCCAAAGCTCAATGAAAAAGTCTCGCTCACTATCCGTTTGAATGCTACTTGAAGAGCTACCAGGATTCCCATAAATAGTATGCTACAAGGAAATCAAAACAATAAATTCAATAAGATATTGTTGCATCTCTGTACAACTGAAATTAAGAATAGAAGCACATTATATCCATATCTTACCTTTACGCTTACTGAACAGCCAATTGTTTGAGGAGGGCGAGCAATGGAAGAACCTTTGTTAATAAGATGAACAAGAGAGGTCTTTCCTACACCTATACAAGTACAAATGTAAATGTAGAGGTCAATACCAAGGACAAAGTAGTTGCTGATAACCACAAATGTACTTCAGCATGTATTCAATTAATCACTGGACCCAATCAGTGAATGTAGCATGGATATTTGGTGCAGTAAAGCTTCACCAAGTATCAGCTAGCTAGATAGTTAAAGTTTACATTGCTTTTATAGTCAGAAAGTGTAATATTAGAAAGCTACAGTTCAAAGCAAGCAATAATTAGTAGAATAAATTTATGTACAGGTCATTATTTCTCATTCAATGTTCATGCTCAAAATACATCTGTGAAAGTCCTTGATGCTTTCACTCCCCAGCCATAGCTTATTCTTCTACTAAGGACTTGTGAATTTCAATTCCTTAGCCAGCTACTCACAAAATTTGAAATTTTTTCACTGAAGTGATGATCTACCACTTAGTTTCTGTCTGTATAGGAAGTAAGATAGTTCCACGAGTCAGGATTCTTTATACAGTTCAATCTTTCAATACAAGGTAATCATCCATTGGAAATAACCGACAGGACTAAGTCTTAGTTCTGCTCAATCTGAAACTTTTGGATTCTAAGGACTGATGTCACACTTCCAACTTATCATTGAGTCCTACATGTGTCTCATCAATCAAAACAGCCGACCGTAAATAGCACGTACATTGGTACCTCGCCTAGATATGGTGCGTGCAAGCATCAACACCGATACAAACAAAGGACTTAGGGTAGACCCATTGTGTAACCCCATATCCACCAAGGGATCAGAGTCACCCTGGTCCTCGATCTAAAATATATGGATATCTGGATAGAGACTATGGAAAATACATTCACTTTGTATGACCCCTTTAATTTGTATATCTATTGACTATCATATCTAATACTCCCTCCGTCCCACAAAGAAACTCACATTTTCATTATTCGGATGTCAAAAAAAACCTTCACTTTTAATGTTTCCTTAGGTAAGGAAAATGTGGCCTAAAAAACTTATCTCTTTCTAGCAAATTTCCCCTGCACACCTTTCACTTTTCAACACCTTCCTTAAACACTCCGTAAAGTCAAACACCGAAGTTCTTTACGGGATGAAGAGAGTATTGATGTAAGTGCTTCAATCAGAGACTCTTTCATTATGATATCTAATTTCCATGTGTCTGCAACAAGCAGCTCAACATAAAATGCACTTACGATACCGAACTCCAACCCTCCAGAAGAGAACAGTCTGAATTCTGCATCTCTATATAGCATAACAAAAGGTTGTGTGCCTTCTATCTTATTACCATTACTCAACAGAACCAGCACCATAGACTAACAAACGAGGGTGTTTACTCTACCAATTTACAAAGTAGACTTTCTCGTTCTAATCTACCGCTCAGTGATTTTCCCCAAAATATGGACCATAACTTTGGAAATCGAGAAGAGCCTCGACTACAAGGAAACAGCCTATATCATTCATTGACACATTTCCAGGTCTCATACATTTCCAAATCAAGTAACTTCAAACAGCTCACAGGTTCCAACCACTGAATCAATAGTTAGTCACATTGTACATGGTAAACAGAACAAAAAAGAAACAAAATACAAAGAAGCTAATTGACACAATTACACGGTTTGGTTTTACCAAGAGATGGCATGTTCAAGCTTGAGTACCTGAGTCTCCAACAACAAGCACCCTGACCTGCCCGCAAGGGGGGCCGCCATTAAGCTCTTTGTTTTCCCTCTCCCTTTCCCTCCAAAACATATTCTCCTGCTCAAAAAACTTCAACTACTAACACGAGCAGGATAAACTCATCTAAACTCAAAAGCTTCCTTCCAATCCTCAGAATCTAAGACAAAACCTACTCCGCTCTCCTGGTTCCCACCGCTGGAGTTGTCACAGTGATTTTGCCCGCCGCTTGTGGCAACGTCAAATGGGCAGGACAACGAAAACAAGTAACTGATAGATGCCTTACGGCAAGGTAGTTTCCGGCGGAGCTCCGATGGAAGGCCTTTGTATTCCTGGAGGGATCGAAACTTCGGTTCTATGAAATTGTGATCAGCGAGACTGAAAACGCGGAGAGTTGTGGAACGGTGGCTCCCAGGAAGGAGTTTCAATCTGAACCTCCCCGGCAGCGACTCTTGTTGGTTCGTCTAGGAGATCAAAGCTAGATAGCAGATCGACGCCCGATCTGAATTCTAATACGGAGTAGAATCATATGCGTATTCTATAACAAACTTTTCTTTTGTACTCACTCCTCAAAATAGGAGGCAAGTATGGGTACTGTGTGTTTAATATGTTGTACGGAGTAGTAGAATATTAATTCCTCCGTCCCATTTTATAACGCCTGTTTCGGTTTACGATGTTTGACTGAAGTTATTTTCAAATCATTTTATATGATAAATGGTATAGAGTTAAAAAATAAAAATTACATATCAAAATACTACATCATAAGATCTACAAAACTAGTAGTGACAATAATATTTTATTTTATCAAATTGCTAACAAAAATAGAGAAAGAAAGTGAATGAAGTTTGACCCTGTGAATAGTGAACATGCATTATAATTTGGGACGGAGGGAGTATAAATCACAAAAAATAAAAAACAATTACTCCATAACAAATTAAAATTGAATAAATAATATTTTGACTTAAATTTAATTGGAAATTAAAGTATGCTTCAATTTGACTTTACAAATTGGAAACGGATGTAGATATATCAAATATCCGATCGATGTCCAACGGATGCGGATACTGTTTTAATTTTTAGTAATCGTCAAGATCCGTATCCGAATTCCATATCCGATAAAAACAAACGACTTCGGATCTGGTAATGACACATCCGATCCGATTTATACTCATTTACACCTCTAACAAATTGAGTGTAAATGACTTTACAAATTGGAAACGGATGTAGATATATCAAATATCCGTCCGATGTCCGAAGGATGCAAATACAGTTTTAATATTTGGTAATCGTCAAGATCCGTATCCGAATTCCATATCCGATAAAAATAAACGAATTCGGATCTGGTAATGACACATCCGATCTGATTTATACTCATTTACACCTATAACAAATTGAGTGTAAATGAATCTCAAAATTTATCTAGTTTGACTCGAAAAAGTCAAACTGAACAAATACATTTGGACAGAGGTAGTACATTTAATATACAACTTTTGAATCATAGCTTTCAAATGTAATTATATATATATATATATATATATGTATATGTATGTATGTATGTGTGTGTGTGTGTAATGGATAGAGGGAGAGCATTTCATTTGTATATCTGTATCATAATTTTAAAAATCAGACGGGAGACCGAATTAGTCAAGGCATTGGTTCCCTGATTCACTAGTCGACGTAGTGGTTTGAGTCCATGGGCGAGCATGAATGGGCACTCGACTTGCTTCACAAGGCCAACAAAGCGTACGATAATGTACACAAAACCATAGCAGTACAATTGAAGGAGTTGAAGCTTAGGTTGGGGTTTTGTATTACGGAGTACATTCTAGGTGACTACTCAAATTCATACATTTCCGTGAAAAGCGCCAAACACAAGTTTCTTGCGATGGGAGGAGGAGAAAACAAGTCGGCTCTTTGAATTTGTTGTGGGAATGAGGGAGGACAAGCTGGGAACAGCAAACCCGGACGTAGACGACGAGAAGAGAAGGCTGGCCAAGTTGTTAAAAGAAGCACGCAGAGTTAGAATTTAGGAAAGCTAAATCCCTTGAAGTCCTGCGGGCTATCAGATCATCTCTTGCACTACAAATGTGTTTATAACTTTTAACTGCAGAAGAGGCTACACATTTTAACTGAAGAAGAGCGCGATGTGTTGTACTCTGAGGCCCTCCTTTCAACAGCACAAAGATGGGTTTGAGTTTCCTCTCTTGCTTCATGAAGACAATTCTTCAAGTGAGCACAATTCATCTGTATCACATTGAAGACTATACTTAGAGTATTTCAGTGAAGACCGATTTGATAAACTCTGTGTCAAAAAAATGAAAATTGTTGAGCTACGAGGGTATTCATTTTTTTTAAAGGAAAGAAGAATAATAAATGGTTCTTATTTCGTTTTATCTTTTATAAAAACTAGATTCGTATCCGTGCGATGCACGACCAAAAAATGAAGTTACAAATTTATGTAGAAGTGCTATTACCACGATTAAAAAATTTATTGAAATGATCATTACTAACCGTTGTGCATTGCAAAAAAATACTCCGTATAAATCAAGGAGATATTATACGGAATAATTCATTAGATATAGAGATGCACAAAAGTATATTCTTGATACAAAATATCAAGGACCATGCTACACTAACACCAAAATTTGTACTCCAAACTTACACCAAAGGCATACACCAGTATTTTGATAGTTCACACCGACACAAAGTGGTGGTGCATTAACTAAAATTTACAATGACACAAAGTGTTGCATTAACAAAAATTAGCATTACGCCAACAACAGCCTTGTGCGCGGCGGGGACAATGCCGGAGAGTCCGAGTGCCGCCAGGAAGACAGTGACCTTGAAGAATCTAAACTGGCCAGAGGTGAGGGCCGGGGAGAGGAGGGAGACGGCTGCAAGGGTGCCGAGAAGGGTGATCGAAGCAAAGTAGAAGATCTAGGAGAACGGGTGGCATTCAGAAAAGTTGTAAACGTGGGCGACAAATTAAAGGAGGCGACGACCATGAGGGAGATGCCGGAGTGGTCGAGCCACCAGAAGAGGAGGTTGCACCGCCGTGAGTGTCAGGCAACGTCCGGTTGTTTGGCAGCTTTCCATTTTGGACAGACCCTTGATCATCACATCAACAGAAGAGGCATGCCAGTTTGCCACACATCCTACTAGTTCTTCTTGATTGAATTGGAATTGATTTTCTTTTTATTTGTTGTACTCAGCTATCTCTAAGAAGGAATGAAATACAAATTATAAAATGTTTACAAAATACCCACCAATGTTAGTACTTCCTTTTAATTTAAAAGTTATTTACATGGTCATTCTTTGACACATTTATTTTTGCATACAGTTATTTTGTTATTTTTAATTAAGTAATGCCCCACACTTGTATGTCCGGTGTATTAAAAAAACACATGCAAGTACTCCAAAATAAAATATTAGCAACAAACAAAGCACATAAGTGTGGATAATGTATTCATTATACACACTTCTCCAAAAGTTCGGCATAAATTTCCCCTCCCCACATATCTATTACCACACTCGGGTCATGCGTGACAAACCTTTTTTTCCCACATTATCAAGTGTGGCAAACAACGGTTTTAGGTGTCGCGAAACACCAACTTTCTTGTAGGGTGATCGATGGTCATTGGCGGGGATCTACCACTAGGGATACTATAGCCTAAAGCATAAACACCCAAGACTCATCATGGTTGGGATTGTCTATCACATTTTGACACTCTTTTTGACCACCAAATTCCACAAAGAGGGTTAGCTCACTTTACTCCACTCCCCTTGCGTGTGATGTTAAAAGTTGGTTGTTTGTTGAGGTTTCTCTTAATGCCAACCATTTTCGCGGGGAAGAGAGAAAGGGAAGGAAATTGTGGGAAAAAAACTAATTTAGAGCATCTTGTTCGCTAGCTGCCAACTTGGCGAGCAAGAGTCATTCTACTAAGTTTCACCCCACATAAGGCTCACAAAAAGATTTCTTAAATCTTAATTACCCTCTAAAAGGTGGCTCGACTAGATTACACCCCGCTTTGTGTTTATGGAAAAGAGAATGCTGGAGTTGTAACATCTCTATACTCTCGCCTTGGATCTGACTGTACTGTCAACAGCTGGTGTTGACAGGACGGCAATGGCCTCCCACTCCAGACTGCAAATCACGTCCTGCACCATTATTAGAATATAACATGTTACTCATAATATAATGAATGAATGCACAGGCAAGGAACATGTCATCACTCCACATATATAATAAGTCTCCTTTGTTCATACCGAGGGATTTTGCTTGTCGATGTCAAAGCTGTTGATGGCACATGGTTCGGCCAGAAGTTCAATAGGTTCTTCATCTGTGTAATCAAAGCAACACAAATGAATTGTGAACCAGAAAAGAGTAATCCGGACATTGTAATGGAATACATACTTTGCTCTAATACACCAAGGATCCCATCCTCTGAACAAATCATGGCAGGAAGATAACATGAAGCTGAAGAGAGGGCACTTCTGGAAAAATGAGTACAGTCGTACTGAACCTCCCATACATCACTTTCCAACGGTGGCTGGATCAACGCATCTCTCGTTCCCATGCCCGAAAGAGCTATAGATTGTTGCCTACGAAGATCCCATACAAATACAGTACCAGAAGAACCTCCTGCCTTTAAAAAACAATTAAAAAAAAAGAGACATTGACATTGTTAGCATTGAGTTAGGTATTAATATGAGTATGACATTTCCAAACGTTCAAATGCCAACGAAAGTAGTACACAAATAATCTTACTATATATAAAACAAAAAATAAAATACTCTTACTAGAGACATTGACATTGTTCGCATTGAATTACGTATTATTAATGTGAGAATGACATTTCCAAACACTCAAATGCCAATGGAAGTAGTACACAGATAATCTCACTATATATAAAAAGAAAATAAAATATTTTCTGCTTTTTCCCGCCTATATTTTCATGCTAGAGTCCAATTCTGCCAAATCATCTTATATTTGGGCCTTGCTTCACACGCGGGTTCCACCATACAGCTGGCCTGGCCACCTACACTCAGCCACTCACCACCTTCCGTTTCCTTCCGGAAGAAGAATTAGTCCAACCCTACCACCTCCTCCTTTCCGGCATTCTCCACGCCGCAACTTTAAACTGTCCGCTGGGATAATTTCAGTCCTCCGCACCTCTTTCAGCTCATGTTTTCCAAAAAATTACTCAAGATTAACTCACCCTCTCTCTCTCCACTAACCCTTTCCGAAGCACAAGACCTCAAGAAGAAGAGAGGAGGCAGATTCAGGTTAAGTATAATACAATTTGTTCTTTCTATTTTAATTTATTTATATTTAGAGTAAGAGATATTTTTTTGGTGGAAGGCGATGAGATTCCAAAAAGATCAGAGGCTTGGGTAGCACCGTCCCTAGGTCCCCTGAAGGTTTCTAACATCGACTGTGGCTGGACACAGACCAACGAGGACGCCATGGCAGGACATTACTCGTGCCTTATTGATTTGCTGGCTAGGGCCGGTAAGGTTGAATGTGCAATAGAAGTAATCGAAAGGCTACCGCATGATGGGAAAAGCCTGATAAAAGTGTGTGGCATGCAATCTTAAGTGCCGGCAGAATTCATGTGAACAATGAGATTGGATTTGGTGTGCTCCCCAAGCTCCTTTAACATTTGAATCTTATGTTTTTTTTAATTCAGAATAATTGCTGCTTGAATTGCAAGCTCTCAGCAGCAACATTGTCATGAGGTACCACAATCTTCTTCTTCTTATGTAAAAAAAGAAAAAATGAAACTTTAAGTGATAATTAATGAAATTAACCAGGAAAGCAAGAAACCAAGAACTGTGGCTAACGAATTCAGGATATGAGAGGATGAACTGTTGAAGAAATAGAAGAACAAGGTGATCACCATAACAGATATTATTGATTTAAAGGAATCAAATAGTAATAATTCTTTTAGTACAGTTTTGTTTTATGTGTTTGTAATTGATATAAAGGAAAAGGGTTACATGGTAATAATTTTTAAATTTTAAAAAAAGAATTGCGTCTTTATTAGCTAAGTTTTATTTATTTATAACTGATTCAAAGGAAAAGGGTCAAATGGCAATAATATTTTTATTTTGTACCCATGAGTTGCATCTTCATTAGTACATTTTTTAACTTACTTATTGTGCATGGATTTTGTGTATATTTTGTAAGAGGTTAAAATGGAGGATATATTTGAAGAGAATGAGTTGTTGGATTTTGCCAGTGGAGATGCAAAGAATCCTCTTGCAGTTGTTGAGTACATTGAAGATATTTGTGCTTATTACAAAAAAAAAGGTAATAAATTACACAACTTTCACCCTCTCTAATATTGAACATATATAAACCTGCAATTCTTCTCATGTCTTGGAAACTTCAGCATCATGAGATCACAGTTGTGCTTTTTTATTCCTTGGAAACTTATTGTTTACTGTGAAAGTGTGAAGATATCTTTTTACTCCCTCTTTCTAGATTGGTAAATTCTTAGATGGAACTATTCTACTTCCATTCCAGATTGGTAAACTTTTAGACATGAAAATATCTTTTTTACTCTTTTCAGAACCATTGCAGATTGGCAACATTGAGAATCAGGGATCTAAATAATTTCATAGCTCCAACTCAAGAATGTGTTGTTTCCCTAAAAATATTATCGCACTATGTTAAGAGTCTGATTTGAACATTAAGGGTATTTGAGAATTGGGGTTTTGTCAGATTTGAGGATTAAGGGTATTTGAGACATTTTAATCTAATTTAACATTTCCCTTGGTATTTGTGCCAAAACGAAAGTGGACAAAAACACCAGGATGGTGGGAGTAATATTTATAAGCATCTTACTATCTTAGTTCTTTAAAATGAGGCTTACACCTCAATATGCTTGGAGGCTTACACAACATACCATGGAAAAAAGTGCCTTAAAGCCGCAATACACTATTTCAAACATTGTATATGAGTGGCTCTTTTTATTTTATTTAATCTTCCACACACTGAACTATGTGATTCACAGGTTGAATCTGAATTCTTACGATTCTATGCTACAAGACACTTCATGTCCCATTTTGATTCATTGCACAATTCACTTTGTTAGGGTAGATTTTTGCATTGTAACCCTGCTTCTAACAAATAAAATGATAGTAACTAGAGAGGTTTGCACCACTATGACTAGCTTGTTGGCTTCTTCTTTTTTACACTTTTTGTGTGAATAGTTAGTGTAATACATTCAAACCATCATTGGAATAAATCAATAGGCTTTGTGTGAGCATTGGAATCGTGCTTAATGTGTATGTTTGGGCATAAGGGATTAGTATGTTCTTTAAAACTGGTTTATAAGTTCACCTCTCATATATGCAATAACTCATCCATAAATGTTGTGCAAGGCACATACCAATCCACAACCACCCACTAGATGAACAATGCTTTAGTTTTGGGAAATAAGATATTATACTACCTAATTTTGAGAGACAATAAACTGAAAATTGTGAAAGTTACTTACAAGACAAGCATGCTTCCGCGATGGATGAATGTCAATTGAATGCACAATGCCAGATGTGGTTCCATGATTCCTATACAACAGTAAATGCAATGCCGGTAACATAACTGAAAGTATACAAAGACAAAATGGAAGCTTCAAGACAACAATGAGGACTGAAATCATGAAATAGATCATAGATCAAAAATAGAAAGACTTAATTTTTCCTGCAAAACAAGTCTAAAGAAGAGAAAATATTACAAGATCACTCATATTTGCTGCAAAACCATAATCATCACGTTTGAGAGATCTAAAACATCAGTACTAAAATTAAAGAGACCCAGAATTGGATACGACAAAACCAAATTTTGCATACAAAATCCAACCTTTTTTACTATATGAAGGATGAGATTATGTTATGTGTACCCAAGAACAAACCAATGCCTTCACAAGATACCAATTTCAATTTGGATTATTAACTATTCAATTATTACATTTCAACTCATTCTCACTAACGCCATTTAATTTATGTTGAGCCATTCCCATTTCCCACCATTAACATTGCTTCAACAAATGTAATAGCTCAGGTATTAAGCATTTAGAGCAAAGGCTTCAAAATCAAATATAAACATTTTTTAAACATTCTTGTAATAAGTTAACAAAATAGAACAGTACATTGCTACAATGGCACCTTAAACTAAATGGACAGTACTAGTCATGCTTCATTACCAGTCTCTTTTGAAGTGATAAACTGGTCCACCCGGGTGTCTAAGATCCCACCACTGTAGGCTAAACCCTAATCCACCTGTCACGAACTCCACTGGAGAAGCCCACTTAACTGCCTGATATGAAACCAGCCCATTATTGCCAAAAACGTTCTGAAATTTCACTTTCTGGCCGCCGATCCCACCCTCCATGTTGATCAAATTCACCTTCCCATCTTCCCCGACGCTAACAACATCGGACCCATTTTCACTGACATCAATCCCCGAGATGGGTCCCGAGTGGAAAGCTTTATCAGATACGGAGGCCTCTACATTTAACGACCCATTCATCAAATCGGCAGAGAGAACCAGGAGAGAGCCAGAAAATGTGGCTGCGGTAATGAGAGATTTATTAGACGTCGGGCAGGATTTCAGGGAAGTAATCCGTGAAGCCGTGGAAAGAGATGATTCTACGGTGAGTTGAGGAATCTCAGGTTCTAAATCGGAATGCAGCGGTTGGGAAAGGGTAAGAAGCTGGAAGGAGGGTGAGGAGGTGTCGTGGTCGAAAGCGGCAAGAATGATGTGGCGGTGGAAGGCGGAAAGCCGGGGGAGCCACCTGAGAGCATCGACGTAATGCCTTTGCGGGTACCGGTGGACTTGGCCTGGTTTTGTGAGCGCCATTTTTAGGGTTTTTCGAGGGTTGAGAAGTTTTCAGAGAAGGAAATTAGGACGGGACTTCGAGATTGCAACCATCTCCTACTGTTTTGGTCAGTTTGGAATTAGTTATTTTTGAAAACACTATGGAGGTAGCTTTTAGATTTAATGTTCTCAGAATTTAATATACATCATTAAAATTTTATCTAAAATGCTAATCTAAAACGTTGTTCCCAAACAAGGTCTTTATCTGTGTATTCCCTGTTTTGAATTGAGGCGCGGAGTATTTTTTTCTTTTAAATTTTGTTTTTTCTAGTCCCACATTCTCGACCCTAATATATACGATACTGATGGTGTAAATTACCTAACCGGTGTAAAACTATACTAGGCCGGGTCTAGGATCGTTTACTAGATTCGGAAAGTAAAAAGGTAAAAACACACAAATATGACCGGGAGGACTGTAGGTGGAAACACCTATAGCCCAATTGTTACATTTATGATTGTATAATTAAATATAGCCAACGAAGATCGATACATGTAGACATAATCAGAACCTATGCACAAAGGGTGGACATGACTAAAGTCGAAATGTGATTTGCGATCTTATATATGGTCATCCAAATATTTTAGTCGACACTATCTAACTAATCGACATAGTTGGTCGCTCTTAATAATACATGGCATCATCATTAAGTCGATATATATCTATATGTTTTTTATGATAAATTTTATATGTCGATTGGATGTTGACAAGTTTTGATGTACTTATGTCGATATTCTGAATTATGTCGAGCTATGTTTGGTCGATGATATGTTGAGCCCAATAGGACGACAAATTTGTCAACTATTTTTACGTCGAAGAGTGTCGACAAAGTTAGTCGTAAGTATGTCAAAATATTTTTTAAGGTCTATTTATGATTGTGTCAACTAATAAACATTTGATTTGCATAACTTTTTTAAATTATTTTTAATTATGATTGTGTCAACGTGGTAATCTATCCAGGTCTGTAGCCCATTTGCAGCCCATTTCGAACTAAATTATTAACTTGGTAATCGTAAAATTTAAAACATTTCAAACATTTCCAAACTTTGTTTAATTCTAAATAGTATTCATAATATAATAAAGAGTAATAATACTGAGTGTTTAATAATGCGAAAGCAAATTAAGAGATGTGAAATGACAATCACAAATAATTATTTTATGTCTTTCGAAATAATTATTTAATGTTAGTGAGGAGGAAGAGTAACAGATGAGCTGTAGGTTGGGTTCACAAAATCTGATGTGGAAGAGGGAAGTATGAGGTAATCTTTCCTCCCGATGCAGATGCTCGAAGAGCATTGGCAGCGGAAAGGATTTACCTTGCCACGCCATGCCATTCGTGGAAAGTGAAGCGGCGCAATGGGAGAGGCGAAAATTGGATCGTGTGCCATGTCGCGAGCCACTCTGAATTGTGTGACGAGTGCGAGGCAAGATAGAAGTAGCGCCGGTCACTTCTCTTCCCTCTTCTCTGGGAAATCATCCATTCCACCCTCGTCGTCAATCATCGATGCTCTTTCGCCGCCATCGCCGGCTATCATCTCTGACGCTCAGGTACCCTTTGTCACTCCATCTCTTGTTTAATTGCTTAAAAAACACCCCATCAGCATACTTCGATCTCATCGATGAACAATCTTATTTGTTTGATGTTTGGCCTCCATCTTTTTTCTTCTTCTTCATTCTTCAATTTGATATTGGACTATTTTCCCTCTTTTGGACGTACTACCTATGCCATTGTCTCTTTTAAACAATCTTATTTGTTGTTTGATTGTTTAATTTGCTTTCTTTAGAATTTGATTGGGTTTAATTTACCAAAACACATTTGATTGTGTTTGGAATATTAATATTTATAAAAAACCAAAAATAAAATATATTGAGTTCAAAAAAATATATTGAGTGATTAAAATATATCAAAAATGTAAAGTGAGCCAGTCATAATGATGTGCCACTGCAAGGCACACCACTCTAAAGCCATGCTACCGTGTGGTTAGATTAAATTTAATTGGTTGAACAATACCAAATCAGCATGTGTATGACTTGCCATTGTTGGGTATACTTATGAGGTGGCATTCCGTATATGACTTGCCATTGTTGACTTGTTGTATGTGTCCTTATCTGGTTCCAGTCGACCATTCGGGTAGCTGCTAGCGCGGGCCCTTTGATAGCAATGGCAAAAGTGAAATATACAGGCGTTCCCACCTCCCTCCTCGGATCCAGTAGAACTCAACGATGAGTGCCGTCGACGTTGCGCCTCTCTTCGTTTCCAGAGCCGGCGCCGGTATTCCGAGTCACACCTGCTTCTCACGAACCGCCAATCTCCTCCCGCTCGGCCGGAAACATGCACGGATCACTGTTCCTATGATCGTCTTCGGGAAACCCGTAGCCGCTCGAACGACCGTGACAGCTGCTTCTCTGAAAGAGGAGAGAGCTTCGGTGACGGAGGAAAGTGAGACCCCGGTGAGAATTATAGCTCTTGTCGGCGATGGTAGTGTCAGCCCCCTCAAGTCCGTTCCTTGGCGTGACGTCATGATCCACACAGTGAGTGCACCTTCCTATTTCCCCTAGAGTAGAATCTCTTTCCATCACTCTTCCCTTGAACTTGTGAATTGTTTCTCAGCTAGCTGATTTTATTGCAGGCATAGGGAGGGCATTTCTTCTTTATGTAACTTTGTAAATTCCTTCCAGTGGGATTAAATTGAAGAGTTTAGAGATCATTTGATTGATATTGTCATCCCTTGATATTGTTTAATTAGTCTAATTGATGGAAACCCTACTTGTCTTGGTTGTGTGATGTATGTTAATCCTTTCCTAAAAAGGTTCTGGATTTCACTTGGCATGGTTTTTAAGAATCCGAAACTTAAATAAGAACCTTATTTTGGGGATGAACTAAAAAGTTAGTAGAAACCTTGTTTTTCCAGGGGAAAAAGAGAGTATTTATTTGATACTTTAGAATTGATTTGATATGCAATGGCTATTTGGCAGTTTGGTTGACTTGTTGGGACTTTAGAGATTGATTGTAAACTTCCCAAGAAGATCATAAAAGTGAGATAGAAATTTTTTTGTGGTGACGAGGACATGAAGTTTATATAGTTGTGCTTCTCTGCGACTTCATTGTCTGTTTAGTTCACCTTCTTTGGTACAGTCCTCTTTATATGCATGATGCTGCAATATCTAACTTTCATATTCCTTTGCCTAATGCTTACAGTTGTTTCTCTCTCTCTCTCTCTCTCTCCATTTCTCCCTCCCTCCCCCCTCTCTCTCTGTGTCTCTCTCTTGCTATGCAATGCATTCACACACATTAACGAAAACAAATTTGAATTCAGTTTGTGATTTATTTAACCTTTAAGATTATATGTAACTTTGGTGCTCCTCGTATAAGAAGTTAAGAACTATATATTCCATGCAGGCACAGAGATTGAAGTTGGTTGATGAACATTATGAAATGCTTGTGTTTAACGACAACTTTTATCAATCTAATGACGAGAATGTGAAACATGTTACAGAGGAAGTGCGCCGAGCAAATATTTTGGTGGTTATTGCAGTTATGAATGGGGAAACAGTCAAATGGATTCAAGAAAATGTTCATTTTGTCCAGAACGTTATTTGTTTTGAGTCATCTGCCACATTAATAAACAAGCTGGGAGGACTAACTATTGAAGTTGAGAATAATACATTTAGAAGGTTAGCTCAAATATCTCAATGGAAAAAACTCGAGGAATCAAGAGAAGTAGCCCAAACAGTGTCTTCAGCTTGGGAGAGGTACAATTCTGATGGCATACGCTTTTGTCTGCTAGTTATAATTAATGCTTATATTGCTCCAGTTCCGATACTAAAGAATCTGAGAGCAAAAGGCTTCTCTACCTTAAACTGCATGCTGAAAAACTGTGGACTGCAGATATTGAATTGCCTTATGGATCCTAATTGTAGAAAAGCTCTCCAATGTTTAAACCAGTGCAACCCAGTGGATCAGGTATGCAACTACAGATGCATCGCTTCATACGAGAGTCCATGCCTGGAAGAGTTTTCTCTTTGTGTACTTCAGAAGAACAACTGTCTAGGACTGGATGCAAAAATCCCTGAAAAACCACATGTGGCCCCGATGTTAGAGTTTCAGGGGGAGATACTGTGTCATGAAACTGCCGAGGACCTTTTTGTGGGTTGGTTGGGGAAATTAGATTGGAGTTGGCGTGTGGTTGCAGGACAAAACCCAGCCTATGATCAATTCCCATGCCAATACCAGTTATTCTATAGAGGAAAAGCAAAGGGTTCATTTTGGTATGAGCCGGTCTTTCAGGTGAGAACAGTTGAAGATAGCCTGGTTTGGAGAAGGCGAAAATACCGAGTGAAAAGGGGAAAAGTCCCCGGGACATTTTACTTCAGTGTCTTGGATAATGGAGTGGTTTCAAAGGAGTTCTGGACGATTGTGGATGTTTGTGAGGATCTAAGCTGGGGCTTGTTTCACTATAGCGGGGCTGCTCGAGTGGCAGGGCAATCATACTCTGGGGCAGTCCTTGTCAGCCCAGACGGTGTGTACCCAAATGTGGAACAACACCAGAGATTGATATCTGCTTTGGATAAGTGTTGTATCAAAGAGTGGGAGCTCTTCATGGTTGAAAATTGTTCATGTCAAGATCCACCTCTATGGCTGCCTGAGGGATATAGTTTACATTGTAGTGTTGAAGTTTAGAGAAAGAAACAATTGTCTATTTAGTGGCCACAGCTCCATGAGATCGGATTAATGTCAGGTGCCAACACCACTCATATAATTTGAGATTTAGGTAATATACTTAGAAGGAGAGTTCTATTGATATAATATAAAAGAAAATGAAAATAATGTTGACTATATCCCTCATTTATGAGTGCATTGCTGAATGCATCATCTCATTTTCCAACTAAAAACTTGTTGTTTCTTAGCCATTACCCTAAGGGCAATAATTAAAATTTTCCAAAAAGAAAACTTGTTGTTTCTTGCAATGGATTTTTGTTCTTTCTCATTCCATTTTAAGACATCGTTAAAATGATCATTATGCCGAACTCTCATTTAGATTCGGTTTATCCGTTTCTCCCATTCACTTGCACATTTACTCTCACAAACAAATGCATTGAGTAAAGACTTCATTCACCTCATCCATATTATCAATTTCACCTTTTTTTTTCTTGTTCTGTATATCCATCCATATTCTTTTCTCAGGTCTCTCCCTTCCATTTTTTCATGGACAAAATGGAACAGGACATTACAGAACCCATTGGTTCCCCAATTCGGAGGTGCAGCTGTCGAGGATTTCATCAAATTTAGTTCTGCAGTTGTGAATATCCTGACATTTCATGTCCAATGCCAAGATAGAGGATCCCCGGATCTATTTCCAGAGGATCCAACAAATATTGCTTACCTATATGATGTTCTCTGAGGGCGTCGGTCCTCTGCATCTGAGAAACAATTTACTTAACCTTATGTATTCCTAAAGGTTTTGGGCCTCATATGTGCATTTGTGAAGTCTTATTTAACCCTATGATATTTTTCCTAAGGGCGTTTGGCCTCTGATCTTATGTGCATCTCTAATTAAGGCCAGCGTTTACTTGAGAGCTCTTTGCCAAATGTAATGCTCTTCTTGTGGTCCAGTTTGTATGAGGTCCAGTTTGTATGAGGTGTTGCAAGAAGGTATAGTTTGATATGGCATTGTTGCTTTCTTTGTTGCTTGTTTGATGACAGTGACTTTTGTAGCAAAGGTTTACACTTTTGAGTTTTATAGAGCCTATACAATTACATTCACTTTTAAGTAAACAAACTATGAATTCCATTCACATCACACTTATACAATTACATATACACATGCATCATCTTCCCTATTCCCTGAAAATTACCATTTCACCTATTCAGTACTTAAATTGTGTAATGGTACATTCTAACCTAACTTTGTACTCCCTATGTTCCTTAAGATCTTCTTATTTTGATTTTTTGTGGTTTTTAAGGAGAGTTGAAAAAAGGTAAAATTTTACCATAATATCCTAAATGAAAATGAGTGGAGTGTATTAAATGAGATAGGTGAGGTGCAATAAATAAAGTGGGGGTAGTTGTGATATTTTAATTGTTAAAAAAGATAATGAGAAGATCTATTGGTGACAAATAAAAAGGATTATTGGGAAGATCTATGGGGATGAAGGGAGTAATTTCCAACAATTGTGTAATGGTACATTTCACCAATTCAATACTTAAATTGTGTAATGGTAACTTTGTAATCTTGTTTTAGTAACAGTGGTAGTGGTACATTCCAATCTAACTTTGTAGTTACCATTTTTAGCGTTTAAAAAAAAGTATTCAACAACAATTAACTTTGACATTTTCAAGATTAGTTTGCACTGTTAGAAAGTTATCCAAAATGCTACGTTAGTAGAAAATGTTGTTCCCAAACTTTAAAGTGTCCTAAAAAGTACCTACGATTAGTCATCTTAAAAGAAAAAAATCAAATCATTTTAAGAAACGAGTAGATTAATTCGTGTAATAGCATCAATACCCTGCAATACACTTGAAGGACAGCCATCAAGCGACACAAGAAAAATACAAAGGTATTGTACATTTCAGGCCAAATGATACACCGCTACATTTCCTCTACAATGTTGCACTACGTTTGGTTCAAAAAATTTGGAAGAAAAAGAAAACAAAATAGTTTTCTCTCATTTTCCTCACCAAAATGGAAGTAATTTGATTTTCTCTCCATTTGGTACATTTTGCCTTCTCATTTCTTTTCCTTCCACTTCTCCCTTGTTCTCCCATCTAACCAAACAACAAAAACTATTTTCCACTTCATTTTCTTTTCTTTTCCCTTTCAAATTCCTTGAACCAAACATAGTGTAGAGAAACAACAACAACAATAATAATTATAATGATTAATAATAATAATAATAATAATACTCCCTCCGTCCCACTGTCTTTGTCCACTTACTTTTTGGCACACCATCCAATGCACTTCTTTAATCTATTTTATCTTGTAATTTGTATATTAAAAAATTTTAGAAATTATATATTAATAATCTATATGTTAAGACGAATCAAACAAGATCACACATTGACTATTTTTAGGCTTACACATTGAGAGAATTTGATGAGTCAAAGTGCTTAGATGAACAGTTCCAAAAGTCAAATGTGGACAAAGACAGTGGGACGGAGGTAGTATAATAATAATAATAATATTATAATAATAATAATAATAATAATAATAAAATCAAGAAGCAATATGTATAAACATGACATCATAAAAGATAAAGAGCCAACGCTCAGAAAAGAATTTCAGAATTTCTCCCCCTTATGAGTTATGACCAACCACATGTATATATAATGCATCTCTCACTGATATAGTGAAGTGCCAATGTGTCATAGCTCTTCTACTCAACCTGGCCTCTTGATTGGAAAGAATTTTGGAAACAAAAAAGTGAAAAAAATGGCAAAGCCAAAAAGCTTCAATATTTTCAACAAGGTTCAACGTGTGTCCTAACTACTGGTATATTTCTTCCTCAACTATTTCTACTTGGCTATTATTATGCATCCGGGATTCCGGGGGGGACACCGAAGTAGAAAAAGCCAAATAAAGATATTCTACATCTGTAATATCTTGTGCCGCTAATAGAACAGGACGTGTCGGTAATAATACTGTATAGAAGAAGTCTATGATTGATTTTTCACATGAGTGGGAGGTACCCACCACCGTGACCTTTCCTAAGGACAAGAGGTCCTGCGTTTTCAGGGACCTTATCCAATGCACGGTTGCAGGTTTCGACGACATCAGGAAACCCTGTGGCAATGGTAGCCAACTGAAGCCGCAGTTTCAGATCCCCAGTCCTTCTCAACAAACACCTAAAAGATTTCCCAAGGTACTTTGCCCATTCAGCTGGGAGTCCACCCCCGGTCAACCACACAGAGAACTGGGACTGATCCCCTCGGGCAGCCACCTCGGCTCTATAGAACCTGGCGAGTTCAAGGAGCATTGAGGATTGGAGAGGGAGGACAGCCACAAACTCAGCAACAAACTGTTCGATGAGCTCTGGTCTAAGCATTTGATTCCAAAGCACAAGGGCCCACTCCCCTGGCTGGTTAAGACCATATGCTTCAGCAACAATTAGGGCTTCCTGGAAACGGGATTGTTCCACCAGAGCTCGGCGTGCATTGGTTTCAGAGAGGCAGAGCCATTGCAAATCTGGCATTCGGATCTGAAGGGACAATAGTGACGCCTGAGCAACGGCCCCATATGTCTTATTGCCAGCATCAATGGAAGAGTAAACCTCAGCAGCTTCAATGAAGTAACGCATGGATGCTAGGAGATCATCAGTCTGATCCTTGTCATAGCGCAGGAACCACTGTTGACGTGAATTCTCTGCCCGAGACACCAAAAGCGATGCAGTATCATGCTTCATGTCAAAGTGATTATATACCTGAGAGGCAAAGAAAAAAGAGCAACCAAGTTTATAGACAGTATCAAAGTATTCTTCAATAACTATGACTCATTTGGTCCTCAACTATAAACTTTGGACCTAATTTAGTCCTAAACCTAGGAAATTACCCTTCTTAATTACAAAAAAAAAAAAAGATTATGGCTAAATTGAGTCTAAATCACATAATAAGTGCCCAAATTGAGTTCAAAAGAAGGTTTAGAGCCAAATTGAGTAATAATGTATAGTTGAGTGCTAAATTAGATAACTACTAATTTTTTCTTTGCTTGGAAGGAATAGTACAAACCATTGCAAATGCATCGAGATCATTGGGATTAAATTGCTTGAGTGATGTGAGAACTGCCATTCTAAATCCCCTGACAGCTTCTACAGTACCAGCACTTGCATCCACGGCATTTGAAAATTTTTGGAGTAGAAGATCTAGTTGACCATTTTCAATTAGAATTCCAAGAATGAAATTGAGTGAATGGAAATTCCCTACCCCAGTTATCAACCGAGCCAAACATGGAAAATCCCCTTCAGAAACATAAGCTTCCACCCTCGTTGCTGCAAGAGCTACGAGAACATCAACTCCATCAAGACATGCAGATGACTTGTAGAAATGGTGGGACAGAATGAGAAGCTCCACCTGAAATATTAATTTACACTGTTAGACTAATAACAATCAATGTGAATTTAAAGCTCTTTTCTTCTGCTTTTTCTTTCTCCTCCAAAAATGGAGGTCAGAGAGAAACCAAAATAAGTGGTTACCACATCTCTGTGTTCAGATAATTAAGTTACATGCATTACCAAGTAAAGGTGTCAAATAAATTTTATAGTCAATTCCTTAAAGCCCCCTCCCCCCCCCCAAACCGGCCATGAGTTAACAACAGTCCTCTACTAGAATCAGAGGTAACGTTGTTGGAACATCTTTCCCTAACTCTGGCATGATGTGTAGCCTTGTCCAATAAGTCAGGTCAACATTAAGGGGAGTTTCATATGTGGTCATGTGAATTTGGAGATTATAGAGGGTCTGAGGTGAGATGTGGAGTGGAATTGTTGACAAACGCAAGTTATTTTATCGTGGTTGGGGAACAAACCTACCGTAACCGTTTTCCATACCCTTAACCCTTGTATGTTATTGAAATAACTGGATGGGAATGATTTATGAGAAGGGTAAGAGAGGTAGTTACCCTAAAACCAGTAAGATAGGGTAGGGAATTAATGGGCGTTCGGGTTCCACATAATATCACCTTTATCCCGGAGATCTTTACATCCTCATCCCTTGTTTTACTCTCATTCTTGCCTAACAAACAATGATTTTTTTTCAGTTCGGATTACTATTCACAATCTCACTTTAAATTCCCACTGTAAGTAGGAATAGATACTCATAAGTGAAAAGGTATACGTTTAAGACATTACCTCACAGGCATGTGGTATTTCTTGCCCGGTGATTACCAAACGCATTAAAGCATGGCCTATTTCTGGTTCGGAAGGGCAAAGCTCAGCCCACTTTAAGAAATCAGAAAATCTCCATAACAAAGGGGCAGGTCCTTCATCCTTTTGTGAATCCATATACCCCCCACGATGTGCTGCTAGCAATCCCTATAAATTAAAGAGCAATTAACAGGGATAAAAAAACCACAAATCAGCATTGCAGTCATGAAGGCTGCATCTCTCAATATAATAGAAATTCAGCATCAATAAAACAACAGAGGTAATTATAATTGTTTCTGCCCAATGCCAATGGAGCTAAAAGAGTCATTTTTACAATGTTTTAGCTTCTAGTAATAATGGACTAAATCAAAATGACACATTAAACTTCACTTGCTTCTTACTTCCAATGAAGTTTTGGACAAATGCAAGAATGCATCAAAGGTCTAACGATAACAACCTCTCAATTTTTACAGGGGTAAGGTTGCATACACTTGACCCCTTAGAAGTTAGACCCCAACAATGCAGTAAATGCAGCAATGCATCAAAGGACTAAAAGATTATAATGGGTTAATGCTGCATGATTTTTTGACACATTATGACATGAGTTTTATATGACCTCAGTCTCAAAAGAGTCTTTCTTGTAATATTGACACTAGTATACTAGTATTACACACATGACTTTTTTGGTGTGTGCGGGTGTGTGAGTGGCAGGGGGAGGGAGGGGGAATGAAGTGGCATGCACTTCGAATTGCATGTTCCAATCCCACTCGAGCTACAATGTGGTTAATGTACATAGATAAAAAGTTAAAAAGGGAGGGTCAGGTAGGTGGCAAGGTGCCAGCACCCACTTGTCAGGAAGAAACTCACAAGTTAGATGCACGTAGTACTAAACAAGAGTGGAAAAATCACACTCCTTCCATCCCGCAATAAAGTTTACACTTCCCTTTTCTATCCGTACCAAAATAAACTTTACTCTTCTCCATCTCTTTCTAGGAAAGAGATATGTGGTTCATAACATTTCTCTCTTCTAAACAAATTCCAACCACACATTTCACTTTTCAACACATTTCTTTAACTCCTTGAAGTCAAAGCATAAACTATTAAACTTCACTGCAGGATGGATAGAGTAGAGAATAATGAAGACAACAAGAGCCTTGTATAGTTGTATTTATAGATTACGGAGTATAAGATACCTAAGGGTCCAACTTAAAAAATGAAAAGACTCCTAAAAATATGAATTCCTTCACATTACAGAAACAGAGCTAGTGGTAGTAAACCCACAATAGCAAGTGGTGCATGAACCCAAAATGAACCACACAATCTTCTGAAAAACTGGGTTTTGAAAATATGTCGAAGGCAGCAATTGCCAAAAGGAGAAAGACAAGACTTCTCCGGTGATGAAAAGACTTCTTACGTGCAGTGTCTATGGAGTGGTGGCATCCCAAAGAAAGAATCATAAAAGACTTTTTGTGTGCAAAACAGGGTCTTTAAAGACACTAAAGGCAACCATAGCTTGCACAAAAAAAGGACAAAGATAGCGCTTCTTGGGTGGACAACAAAAACACAAGGTTATTTGGAAATCCATAGTGAACAAGAGAGACAACTCTCACATTACCCCAGACTTGAAGCTTTGGAAGATCCTTGAAAAACCCCTGAGCACTGAACTGAATCCTAGTGCCAAAAGTAGGGTTAAATTGGAAGTCTAGTGAGGACACAAAGCTGGCAGGTGTTTAGCTAAAAATAAACCAGAAAAATGTGGAGTTACAATGTTCATGTTCCTACATTGTTTACCTGGATAAGTAACATTGCTTGAAAATCTGACTGAAAGAAGTTACATAAGGTGTGCTTCTAATCAGACACCATGCTAAGACATTCTCCAAAGAAGCCACATGAAGGTGGCTTCTAATCAGACAACCATGTACAGTATTAAATAAGAGATAAGACAGTTTGCTAATGATTTGATAGAAATTATATGCGACCCTAGTATTAATAAGATATAAGATACCCAAAGAGTCTAACTATGAAAAGACAAACAGAAATACAAAAGAGCAATTAGACCAGGGATATTTAGACACCAACACTTGGGGGGTAGGGGGTAAGACCCACTTCGGGGCCTAATGGAGCACCTTAGGACCCCAGTGTCATAATATGACACACAAACCTGATGTCAAAGGAACCATGGGGAATATAAAAAAGGCTTCTACATCTTCATACATGTTTATTTTAAATGTGTCAGAAAGGGAAAGAATCTACCTTCAGAAAAGACTCAGCAAGAACTTGTGCAATGCTAGCTGCTGGCATAGGATGAGTTTGCACCAAGATATTTGCTTCTTCAAATGAATCTTGCGCTTTGAGAGCGAGCAACTGTAAAATTTCAACTGGTTGCTTTTCAAATACCTCATGAAACGTAAGGCCCAAAACATTTGCTGACATGACAATGGCTATGACCCGCTTGCAGAGTCCTCGTCCCCTGCCCTCTGAAGGGACATATGCTAAACTCTCCAATGCCTGGAAGCAAGCAAATTTGTAATTATAATGCAAAAATGAATAATGGATATGAACTACAACAGTTAAAAGGACTAGACATATGTAAAGTAGAACCAGCAAACAAGTATTCAGTTCCAAATCAACTCAAAAGTGTGATATTGTCCATAAAAGATTAAATCTAAGAGGTGGCATGACTCTGACATCCCTATTCCTCTACTCTTGAATTACATGATAGAAAAAAATCAGATCTGGAGTATATAAACAGAGTGTTTTATTGTGATACTATTGTCCAGAATTATGTGTCCATACATATAAATAGAGGACTAACCAACACAACCATTACAAATAGACATAACAGTTACTAACCAACACATCTGTCAGAAACTGCCTGAAAAACTGCCTAACCGCTCCTTTTTTTTTAATTTAAACTAAGCTCTAGACTGGAATTAACCAACATTCACCCCCTTGATTCCAGTCCTCATTCCTGACAAATCTTCAATGCCCATCAGTTGCCTCATCTCAATAAACTTGACCCTCAGTAATGCTTTTGTCAAGATATCAGCTTTCTGCTCGTCACCACTTACATGCTCAATTGTTACTAGCTCTTTCTCGACACATTCACGAATGAAATGATATCGAGTGTCAATATGCTTACTTCTCCCATGGAACACTGGATTCTTCATTAACATGATTGCAGCCTTGTTATCCACGTGAATTGTTATGGGTTCCATGCTTTGATCAGTGATTTCTTCAAGCAAACCTTTTAACCAGACGGCTTGACATGCGGTTGCCGTTGCCGCCATGAACTCAGCCTCACATCAAGATAGTGCAACCGTATTCTGTTTTTGGCTGCACCATGCTATCGGACCACCCCCATAATAGAAAATCATCCCAGTTGTACTCTTTCCATCTGCCCAAACAGTCGCATGTGAGCTATCAGTATAACCAACCAAATTTGCATCACCATTCCTCCAGTATCGAATCCCATAATTGATTGTACCCTTCACATATCACAGCACCTGTTTTACAACTTGCATATGTGATGTTTTTGGTGACTCCATGAATCGACTGGTTATTCCAATTGCATAACTGATATCTGGCCTTGTATGGGTTAGATATCGAAGACACCCAATATTCCTTCGGTACTCAGTTGCATCAACAGACTCCAACTCCATCTTTTCCAAGCTTGAGACCTGGATCCGTAGGAAACTTTGCAGGATTACACTCCCATAAATTTGCATTTTTTGAAACCTTTGATGCATATCCTGTTTGCTTCAAAGTAATGCCAGCTTGGTCCTGATTCACCTCTATTCCCAAATAGTATGTTAGAAGCCCCAAACCACTCATTTCAAAAACAATTTTTCATGTGTCTTTTGAACCCAACGATCTCATCCTTGCATGGACATGTGATGATTAGATCATCAACGTATACACCAACTATTAATGGTGCATTCTTTGTGGTTCGCTTGTATACAACATGTTCACGTGGACAAGGCTTGGAACCAAGTTGTTGTAGAGTTGCATTTAGCTTTGAATTCCATGCTCTTGGGGCTTCCTTTCCTGGCTTCTCGAACCCCTCAGGTTGTGATACATATACATCCTCCTTTAAGTCTCCATGTAGGAAAGCCGCCTTCACATCAAGATGGTGAACTTCCCACCCATTTCGTGCAGCTAGGGATAGAAGCAAACGAACTGTTTCCATTCGGGGAACTGTTTCATAGTCAATACCATGTTTCTGGACATACCCCTTTGCAATGAGTCTTGCTTTGTAGCGAATTATATTATCTTTGGCATCCCTTTTGGCTTTATAAACCCACTTCAGACCAATCGGTTTAACTCCTTTCGGGAGTTCAACCAATTTCCACGTTCCATTCGTTTCAATAGAGTCAAATTCGTCTTGCATTGCAGCATTCCATTCTTTGCTATCTTTGGCTTCATTAAAGGTACTTGGTTCTTCATTGGATAGTAATACTTCTGCGTCATCAAAGTGAGGGGGATGGAAAGCCTTCTCTTGTATCGAGGGGGTGTATCATCATATAATGAACTTGAAATAGGACTTGCACCTGATGTACCAAGATTTTCAAACTCATGCGGGTTGTTTGGAACATTTAGTGGGCTGATAAGAGTGCTTGGAACTGAAGCAGGCGTTTTTGGGCTAGACAATGAACAATTCTCCGGTGGGCTAACAGATTCACTCCCACTCTGTACGATTGGAGCAGCCAGGTCTTCGGATTGAGGTATTAAGTGGGCTGCCACCATTTTGAGTCAATCCTTGACCAGTCACACAAGCTTAATTTTCAACAACAAATTCAACCTGCCTTTCATTTCCCTCTGTCTCCAAATCTTTAGCCCAGTCCCACGCTTTGTTTTCTTCAACTTGGACATCTCTGCTAACACATAGCCTTTTTGTCTTTGGGTTGTAAAGCCAGTATGCTTTGCTTCCTGGTTCACTCCCGAGACGTACCATTGACTCACTCCTGTGTGCCAGCTTTGTTAATTTGGGTGTTGGTACCTTGACATGGGCCATACATCCAAACACCTTTAGGTGTTCCAAATTGGGCTTCCGTCTTTTTAGGGCTTCATATAGGGTTTTCTTTTCCAAAGCTTTTGTCGGAGTTCGGTTCAAGATGTAGACAGCATATCGTACACCTTCTCCCCACAACCATTGGGGTAAATTCATGGCCTTCAACATCGATCTTGTGGTTCCAAGAACAGTTTGGTTTCAGCGTTCAACCACACCATTCTGTTGTTGCGTATATGGTGCGGTTAAATACCTATCTATACCTTCTTCATTGCAAAGTTGTTCAAAGTTGGTCGAGACAAACTCACCTCCACAATCAGTTCTCAATGCTTTCACCTTGTAACCACTTTCCAATTCAACAGACTTCTTGAACTTTTTGAATGCCTCAGATGCTTGGTCTTTGAACTTGATAACATATACCCACATGAATCTGCTGAAATCATCAACAAGCAATAGAAAGTACTTGTTCCCACATGGTGTCCTCGGTGTAATGAGACCACATAGATCAGCATGTATCAGTTCAAGGGGTTGTTGTGCTCGATAAGAGATTTGTGATGGGAATGGAAGACGTCATTGCTTCCCAACGAGACAAGCTTCACATAATTGTGACTTGTGATTTATGTTTGGCACACCAATCACCAATATTTCTTTTGATAACCTCCTTATAGCATCAAAGTTTAAATGTCCAAGGCATGCATGCCAAATCTAGGCTGCCTTGTCCATCTTTGCAAGTAAACATGTTGGTGGAACTATATGAAGATGTACCTTATATAGTCGGTTTGGAGACTTCTTCATTTTCAACAATGTTGCTCCTGATCAGCCATATAGCCAAAGAAAACCGTCCTCCATATGAATTTTGCATTCCACCTCGTCAAGTTGACCCAAACTTAGTATATTATTACATAAGTCCGGAATATACTAGATATTGGTGATGAGCCTCTGGTCACTATTCTTACATTGCAAAAGAATAGACCCTCAGCCTTTGATTTCAACTGTTGAACCATCTCCAAACTTCACACGTCCCACTATCTTTTCATCGAGGTTGCTAAAAAAACCCCGTTCCCCGGTCATGTGATTGCTAGCACCATAATCTAAATACCATGTGCCTTCCTTGCTCTTTTCCTTGGCATATTCACAAGGAAACACTCTCTCCTCATTCAGCATCACCACATCTTGTACATTCTTTACCATTAGCAAAGTGGGTTCATCATCCTCCTTTGCTAGATTAGCTTCATCATCGGTTCTTCAAGGAGCCCGACACTCGGCAGAGAAATGACTAAGCTTATCACAATTATAACACCGCAGGTTCTTTCGGTCACGTTTACCACCTTGTTCATCCTGTCCAAAACTTCGGTTATTATTTGAGGGGTTTTGGCCCCCTCGTCCACGACCGCTAGATCTGCCACGCCCACGACCTCGGCCACGGTGATCACTAAATCCCGTTCCACAACCCCTGCCGGCTTGCCTTGACTCGGTTTTCTGTCTTTCTTGCCATTCAGCCCTTGTTAACAACAATTGATCTGATGAATCTTTGGCTAGTCCACTAGGTGTAATCCGTTCCTCATAGGCCTTAAGGCTACCAACAGCTTCCTCAAATGCCATAGTGTTCAAGTCTGAATACTGTTCTATTGTGGCAACTATTGGAAGGAACTTGTTTGTGGCAAAATTAAGCAACTTATTTACTTGTTTCTTCTCCTCGATTGTCGATCCAAGTGCCCGAACCTTAGACACGATATTGCTGATCTTGCTTGCAAAATCATCAATACTCTCACTTTCCTTCATTCTCAACATTTCAAACTCTCTGTTCAGAGTTTGGATTCGTGCTTGTTTAACCTGATTGGCTCCAAGATAACGCACCCTGAGTGCTTCCCACATGCCCTTGGCCTCTGCATGTCTGCTACTTGCATCAGAATATCTTCCGGTAGTGCATGGAAGATAAAGGCCCTTGCCTTCTTCCGGATCTTGACATCCACCTCCGTCGCATCTGGTGATTCTATGGCATCCCAAATTCCTTGGGCATCCATAAACGACTGCATCTTGATATCCCAAGACGTATAATTTGTTGTAGTGAGTATAGGACATTGGTACGTTGTCGAGCCTCCATCTCGAACTAGGGTAACAGCAACAACATCGTTTGTTTTTTTAATATTGATGGCCTCCATCACAGACTATTTTTTTCAAGGTGTATTGCATGAAAAGTACTGATCACAGATCTGTGTTTGATATTTTTTCTTACCAGGGCTCCGATACCAATTGATAGAAAAAAATCAGATCTGGAGTATATAAACAGAGTGTTTTATTGTGATACTACTGTCCAGAATTATGTGTCCATACATATAAATAGAGGACTAACCAACGCAACCATTACAAACAGACATAACAGTTACTAACCAACATATCTGTCAGAAACTGCCTGAAAAACTGCCTAACTGCTCCTTTTTTTTCAAAATTTAAACTAAGTGCTGGACTGGAATTAACCAACATTAATCAGTATTAATTTTCATACATAAGTGATTCAGCTATTTAAGAGAAGAGTCCATTAGAAACAAGCAAGATGGCATGCTAAAAACGTCAACTTTTGAAGGTACATGTGGGAATGCCACTGTTAGGGAAAATCACATAATAGCCTTTCTGCAAATGAATATATAGCATCGGTGCATGCCTCTTAGAACATACAAATATTTAAGGAAACAAAAATGAATACCTGCAGGGGGTCAATCATGTGCTGATCAGAAATAAGATTGTATGAATGCATGATGAAGCACACTCCATCATCCAATGCTGATAGTAAAACCTTTTGGTTTGGAGTAGATAAAGCAGCAAGCTTAAGAGTAGCATCCACAATCATGAATTCAGATGGGATGTTGCCAGGAGACAATTTCTGTTGAAGCTGCCTAGCAGCAGCTGTTTGCCCAAATTCCAGTAATGAAAGTATGGCCCTTTCCAGCTCAACAGGTTCCACTCTTTCTTGCCACCTGGAGAAAGATTCCACTTTAACGTTCTCATCTACTATCTGTGAATCATTTTTTAGACTGAACTGGAAGAAGCCTTCAAATTCACTGCCTTTCTCTATGACATCAACAAAAGGCTTTCTCGATGGAACAAAACCTTTGGATCTACGTTTTGCTTTAGCACTTGCTGTAGTAGCACCAAAAGAAGCAGAATCAAGAACTTGAGAGGTCCGTGAATGTGTCAGGTTATTTTCTCTTGTGTCAGTCCTCTCGACAAATTTACCCCTCAAATTGTTAATGTGATTATCCATTTTAATTATAATACTTGCAGTGTGCTCAACAATATTATAGCTCTTGCTAGTGGTAATATCCTGGTTGCATCTTTTTGAGGTGATATCTCCTTCACTCTTCACTTGACTTTCTGATTCGACAGCGAGTAGCCATGCTCTTGTTTCAATCTCTCTCAAGAGGTTCAATGGATAAACTCTGAAAATATTGTTATAATTAAAATTATGACATTATAACCTAAACTTTTAACCAGAAGGATTGTAATGGATAGTTACAGATTAGATTGAGTTATCATCCCACTCAACCATTGCAGAGAAAGCATAAATAGTTCATGAAGCTCTCTGGCCGGCAGATCCTTCTCTGCTTCCTCGGCATGCTTAAGAAAAAATAGTCCCGCCTACAAATTAAAATACCAAACTACAGTTCTTGTAAGGGAATTAAATAAGAGCCATCAAACAAATAAATATGTCAGACATCTCAAAGTCAAACCAATGAACTCATCCAGCAAAGTTCTCCGTAAATGAGAGCAAGAGTAGATGAATTACCTGCAAGGGTGGAAAAGAGTTCCTAAGAAATAGTGTTTGGCAGTGGCCCCATAACGCAACTCTTTCTTCTGGGACGTCCCAAAGAAACTCTTTCCACTCAGCAACCATAGACTCAGCCTAGACATATGCACATAGAGGATGAAGGCAATGTAAAATAGAGAAATTAAAGTAACCCTGGTACATAATTTACTAAAAATATGAAAGATATTGTCAAAGCTTGAACATATTCGTCTACCAAATCTTATGCTGCACATTTATTAATATCACAATGAAGACTAGTGAATTAGATTGGAAAGCACTTGGCACTAACAAACAATAAGCAATAGATATAATTAACCTGTAAAAGAACAGTGTTTAAATTAATAAGCCTTTTGTTAATATTAAATATAATTAGCAAGTGGACTTCTAGGCAATTATTTTTAACTCCAGTCGTTTTAATAACAAAACTTGTATTCATATAAATAAACTTTACGTGACAACTCCAATTAAAAGGATATAATGTGTGGCTCCTGGTTAACGATGGTGCAAATGGTGATTGACATTTCGCCATTGAGGCTTCGAGAAAGCATCACCACAGAGAATCAATCAGTGTGGTTCTCCTTAAAGAGAATCAATGTGAAAGACTCGGTGCAGTCCTCTTTAGCCTAAATATGAGGCATGCCTGAAAATTCTTTTTTTTAATAAAAAATAATCCCACACAAATTTTTTCTTGTCTAACCTTATGTTCAAGTGATCTACCACTAGGTTTGAGAACGCTATATTCAATCATCCATACCACAAGGCACTATTTTTGTACTTTTCCCAAAAAAAAATCTTGAAAGGGCTCGGGACAGTAATACTAACCTACAGCTTTGTTTGGCATTGATTCTACTTTTTGGCATTTTCGGTTCTCAAAACCAACTATTTCACAATTTGCTGATTCTGTAAAATTAAGCAGTCTACTAAAAAACATATTCTGGGAAGAATCAAGCAGTTGACTATTTCTGAAGCAAAATCATCAACTGATTGTTTTAGAATCTAAAACAAACGCAACACTTAGCTAATTCTGGGATGAGAATATGCAGAAATTGCAAAATTAGATTTTTAGAAGATAAGCCAAATGGCCAGAACAGAATTTCGCATCAACTTTCTTCAAGAGATCTTGTTTAAAATGGATTTACACAACCCCTGCACTTAAATGGTATTCCTCCGGCTTCCACACACTGCCGGACTGCCCCATAAACCACATTCCAAAGGGCATAGCTCAATCATGAACATTTCGGAGCGATACAGTGTAGTAATATGGACATGAGTACCCTAGATATTTAGAAGATAAATAGACCTGGGTTTATTGTTTTCCTAAGTTAAAAGAAAAATAGTTGTAGAGATATTTCCCAATTTACCACCATTTTTTTGCAAAAAGAAACTTAAAAGATGTTACTAAAATGGAAAAAATTACAGTCGGGTGGAACTAGATAATTTTAATTTTTATCCCAGACGATCATTGGAATTGGAATGACACAGCTTGTAAAGTTGTGTTGTGTAGAAGGGTTAGGAGATTCTCATTTTAGTGTAGAGTCGTGGTGAAATTCCATGTGAAAGTGAAGAGATGGTATTGTTCATCAAAAATGACACTAGAATGCTAGGAAGTCTGACAGTAGTCTAAAATAGTTTAGAGTTACTCTACGAGGCAATCTTGAATAACAAGACTTCTATTTATATCAACTTGAAATCTTTTAAGGACTAATAGAATACTTATATACAAAAAAATATTGTCTCGTAACAAGCTAATCTAATCTGTTAAGGGTTTTGATCTCGGATCTTCTCCAAGGTCGATAAGCAAATAAAGAAGAAGGTATTGATCCTTCTTTGCCCGTGTCGGAAAGAAAAGAGAGAGCCTATGACTAGCTTCTCAGAATTAGGGTTTGAGTCCAATCATAATTTTATTAACAAATCTGATGGATACAAAAAGAGTCCTACCATAATTATACTAGGAAGCATAAGTCCTTATTACGAATCCCTTAAGAATATTAACCAAAATAAAACAGCAATACTAATAGGCAAGTAATAATATTCCATATAATAATAGGAAGCTAATTATAATAAATAGTATTGGGAAACTAATAAAAATAAATAAATAATAATACAAATTATAATAGAGGGCTAATAATAGTACGGAGTACTTGATAATTAATTAAACCCCTAGGTCTGTAACATAATTATGAGGTTTCAAAACCAGGTTTTTTATAACTCAACATAACTATTTGTGAGAGGTAAGGATAAGAATGTGCTACCTGCATTTCAGTAACATGATGGACTGCAGATTTCCAAGATCCGATACCAGCATCTAACTGTCTTGCCCAACTCCGTGCATGCTCCCAATAACCATGCTTTTCCAATGCAACTAGTAGTGAAGAATCATCCACAAACTCATTTGATAGGTGAAGGCATTCATCTTTTTGTAATGAGGGCTCTGTCAAATTTATTTTCCAAAGAAGTCGTCGATATGATGCTGCAGCAGAACCCCCATCACCAAATTCAGTAGCAGAAAGGAGCTGCAGTAAACATCTCTTTTCATAAGGTGATGCACATTTTAAGAGCATTGCATCAGCAGCTTTGACAGCTGTAGAACATATCCAAAAACTCCCAGCTTGTCCGTTCCACATTTGTGTATGTGTTTGAGGTTCTTCCTTAATTCTGGCGGAAAAGGATCCCAGGTGTGCTGAAGCTTCAGACAGGCGCATTTGTGAGAAAGCCTAAAATTAAACAAGAGTATACATATTTAAATATAGAAATATTGATGTCTGAACTTCTATATAAATTTCATTAACTTATAAACTAAGAAAATAGATGGACCATATTTAACAGAATGCACATCTACTTCAGAAAGACATTACCAACCTACTAACGATTTAAAGCACAAAGAAATTACTGCATAACCTGAACCGCTTCTTATAACAAGCAAATAACATGATGATATGACACACGTTTAACAAAGCTAGGGAACAAACCTGGAGAGCACGGATAAAGGGTAGGAGAGAACATGAAGGAAGAAACATTTCAAAAGCCCTAAGAAGAGGGAGGAACAAATTCTTTTCACATAGAACTGCAACCATCCTTGATAAAGAAGCACATACTTCAGTGGAATCAATAGAAGTTTTATCATCATGAACTAGTTGCTTCTCCATTTCATCTTCAGCATGAATACCATTAACCCTTACATTGCTATAGGCTGAAGATACTTTAGGTTCTGTAAAAGCTGAAGAATTCATAAACATGGGATCCAACAACCGCCTACGTTTTGAATTCCTGCGGTTATAATGCACAGTTGGAACTCTAGCACTTGCTGGAAGAGAATTAGTTGCTTCCACTGCTGCACCAACATTATTTGCAATCTGAGAAGCAATGTTACTAACCTTGATAGCTGAAGTCTCCCTGGAAAGAAAATAAAATTAGAAGCAGAATAAAGAGTATGCAAGAAGTATTTGTTGATAACAAATGATCAAGAGAACATGATGTATGAAAATATGATCAACAGAAAAAACAAGTGATAATGGGTGACCTTGCTGCAGTAATTTCCAGCCAAACCGTAAGGCAGGACAAAGGAGAGACATCTGGAAAACAAGATGCAATTATGGCCAGCAGTGACCAACACAAATTCTGAGCTTTTTGGAGAAGAACCTGTCCAGGGTTATTCTTATTCTCACAATCGGCTATAATTTCAAATAATTCCGTAGGTGCATAGTGGTTTTCTTTTGATAAAGAAGTTTGTCCCTCCTTTTCAGCAGTATGAAAGCCTGATGAGGAGCTTGCTTTTTTTCTCGCCTGCATACTTCTTAGAACTGTCAATATGTGTGTTTTTAGTCTTGGATTACTGAACTCTTTAGATGCCTGAAAAGCATTACACAGGAATTAATATTTGAGAAGGGAGTACATAAGAAACATCAAAACTATCAGTCAGTTGGTAACAAAACTACATCGTGTGGTGAAATTCACCAAGGATCGGCAATTTCTGAGAAAGGCTAAGGAGCTTACAACATCAATTACAGTCTCAGAAGGGTAACCTCCAATCTGAGCTTCTGAAAGAAATCCAACCTAGCAGAAAAAGAATATGCTATTTATTGCATTGCGAAAGAAATGCTAAATAATATTTATGCTTAATAAGGCACCACACTGAAGACATACCCAGTCATTGTCCCTTGCCAATACTGCAAGGTATTTACTGCTCAAAGGGACATGATGTGCATGACAAAAATCTATCACTAAATTCCAATGCTGGCTTGCAGTTTTTTGCTGAGATCTCAATTCAACACCATCACCATTACCAGTCAACAACCAGGATCCGCATGTTGCTCTTTCTGTAACTTGAGGAAGACTTGCATTTTCCAAGTGGTGCAAGACCAGCATGATAGCTTGAGATTGATGCTTACTGGTGATGGTAGGCTGGTTATCTTTTTTACTACCAAACTCAAGACAATCATGGTGACGATAATAATCTGCCAGTGCCCGGGCAAGCGATTCACTTATGTCACCTTCAATAGTGGCTTGAGATGGACTCCTGGTAGAACATTGTCTACAGTGATCAGCATAATCTCCAGATTTTTGAAAGGAAGATATCCTTCTCAGTGCTGCAACATCAATTTTGATGGTGCGGGCAGGGAGACCGCATAACTCTAATAGAAATGCACAAGAAGCCACCAACACAGAATCCTCAAAATGCAGAATAGCAAGGGGAATGACCTAAAATTCAAATAAGATGAAAAATTCTCAAAATAGAGAATTCAAACAGAATTCTCAAAATGCAGCCTTCCTTCTCCATGGCATATTTTATGGAGGACAGTTCAGATATTTCTAGATAGAAGCAACATATACAAAGGATAGATTCAACTATACTCACATGGTTGACTTCATCAATAACTATAGAAGACAGTTAAACCTGACTCCTTTAACCATGGCTGCAGATATCAATAGGCATCCATCAGGAGCCAGTCAGGTTCCCTACCCTAGTCTTTTACAAATGCCAAATTTCAAAATATATACTCCGTCCATTCTTTTTAAACTGTCTCATTCTCTTTCCGCACAGAACATTTGACCAACAATGTCTCTTAAAATATATTCGCAAAACATTATTTAAAATTAAATATTAAACATATTTTTCAATACAAATATCATGGTATAAATTTGATATTTTAATCCATTGTATATTTTTGTATATCGTTAGTAAAAGTATGGCACAGAAAACAAAAAGACAGTTATAAAAGAACGGAGGGAGTACTCCATTATATATAGATGCATATTATGTCTAGCATAAGTAGCATTTCTATCAGGTACAAAAAAAAGGTGTATTAACAGATAGATGTTTGTTAAATGCCAATTAGGAGCGCCGAGCAGACACGTAGATAGCCTTCTAGGCCAATTTCTACATCACTGCTTTTACCATAGCCGAGCTTTTTAAAGAATTCTAATTAATAAGAATAATCCCCTTCCTTTGCATTTTTATTACATTCAATCAACCTTTCTACAAAGCCAAGGACCTTGCAGCCTAATATCATAAACTTGACTCTAGAACAAGGTGTCAAGTTCCATTTTCACACACACAACATCCAATAGAAGTTGTAAAACCTTCAAATTCATAACAGAAAAGTCAAGTATATATGAAAGCAAGTACATCTCACTCCATCATAAAGGTCTTCAATTTCATTTAGACTTAGAGTCATTCACCACAACCTTTTCCCACTCTCTGCGGATATAATCTCGAATGAGCGAAGATATTTAAGACACATTAAGGTTGAAGACAAAAAGGGTACTCGAAAGAGATACATCGTATTCTTATATGGTAAGAAAATACATTGCTGTTGCTGAAAGAGACAAGTCTCAATTGCACATGCATAATTTAGCATCCTACATGGCATGACATAGAAAGCATCAACTTGTTCAGATAAAGGAAACGGAAGAGTACATACAGATGAGAGACGAAGCTGTTCTGTCTCAGTTACGGGCCCAAGGAGTGTCTGCATATCTGACTGGATGATAGCATGACTATGGCCATGTGCAGAAGTACCAGGCCGCACTCTCTGTGAACTTTCAGATTTTAATTTCTGCGCTCTCACGGAAAGGAGATGACTGAAAGCTGCTAATGCCCGTCCTCGATGCAAATGGTGTTCGATTCCATGTTCAGATTCCTATAAAAGGATTTAAGTTGATGAGTATGAAACACTATTCATGGAACATTTTATGATAAAAGGATAAGTATCTTCATTAACTAGAGTGATATCTGGGATGAAAACCTATTAGAGGTCTTGAACTACTCATAGTAATCAATCTTCCAAAAAAATAATGTTGATTTTAATAATATTTATTATTATTATTATTATTATTATTATTATTACTATTATTATTATTATTATTATTATTATTATTATGTGTTTCCTATTACGATGTTCTCTCTCTCTCTCTCCCTCTCTCTCAAGGCACAATAACTAAAGAAACATTACAACTCATCACCATCACATGATATTTTCCATGCAAGGAGAAAACCTTTGGTGATCAATGTTTTGGAACTTTTTCTCATTATTCCTCAAAATAAAAAGAAGATCGCGACAAGGACATGCGGTGTAAAACTTTTCTACTATGTTTTGTTTTTTGTGTTAACTAATAATCCGTAATAAAAATATAACTGATGACCGTTTCATGCCATTAATGTTGATTCCCAACATAGCTGAGGTTAAGCTGATTACGATCACGACTCACTAGTTCCTCAAACACACACACACTGCCACACATTTTGGTAGCAAAGTTGGCTTGTGAGATGCAAGGCTAGTTCGCTATGAGTAGTAAATAATGCCCAACATTTTCTTTACATGCGCAGTTTTGTTAAGAGAATCATTTGTGGGGCCTGAAGATTTTCAATATAATTGTGCAAGAGTTTTAAGTCCCTTTCAATTATCAAGTAGATATTCCATATTCAGCAAAATATCAATTTAGCACCAGCTATTCAGAATCTGTTACTCTTTTAGAGAATATGCCGATCAAATCCCCTCAAAAACCCCATCTCTTCAGGGCACAAAGATAGATCTCAGCTTACCTTCAACGAAGTATCATACAGTTCCTCCTCAATGTGTTTCTGAATGGCAATTTCCCAGTGCATGGGACTAATAGCAGCATGATCGACATCCCTGGGTAGAAAATTGTCATACATGGGCAGATTCGCAAATGACTGCCAACCTAGTGGGCCCTGCCATTACAGAAAATATGCAATACTGAAGGACCCAATTATGGCACTACATAACCATTTATTTACAGAAAAATCAATTTTACAGTTGAAACAGCCCAGATAAAAATGGTAAATTAAACTTTCCTAGCTCCTTACTTTACATCAAGGGTCTAACGGAAACAGCCTCTCTATTATCAGTATTAGACAGTGGTAAGGTTGCATACATCTTGACCCCTAGACCACAACGTAGTTGAGATTATATTGGGTTTGTTGTAGTTGTTGTATACATTTACAGTAAAAACACTGACATGCATTAACAAACTAAAACACTAGACGTTTAAGCACTGGGTATAATAATGATGATGCAAATCTCCCAGCGACCAGTGCAAGATATTACTGACAAAGATCCATGCTCTAGGAAAATACGTTACAGACATGTATGGATGGATCATAGAAACTCTATAAATATGGTGAACCAAAAGAAAAAAACTATCCAACATGTGTATTTCAATTTCTGCACTGAGTTACATTTCCTCCAAAGCATCTTCTGTTTATTGATGTTATTCACGGAAAAGCAAAGTGCAATGCTTACAAAAGGCTTTATTATTACTCCCTCCGTCCCAAATTAAACATGTTTACTATTCATAAGGTCAAACTTTATTCACTTTCTTTATCAATTTTGGTTAGTCATTTGATAAAAAAAACTCAAGTCACCACTTGTTTAGATGTAGTTTTGAAATATGTAAATTTAATTTTTTAATTCCACCCCAATTCTCATATAAATTAAATTGAAAATAACTTCTGTCAAACATTGTGAACCAAAACAAGCATTTTAAAATGGGACAGAAGGACTATATATCATACAACAAATAACTTCCATACTTTATCACTCTTTTAAACCTTGCATTGACGGGTTTTCCTTTTATTTATCTCCTCCATTTTTCCTTCTCTTCTAACCAGCAAATTATATAACCACAAAAAATTGCATTCACTCATTGATGGTTCCCGTGAATCTAGTACTCCCTCCGTTTCTTAAAACACTTCCTCTTTCATTTTTTGTTTTTCCCAAAACACTTCCACTTTCTATTTAAAAACCACTTTTACCCCTATTTTTTCTTACCCTACCTATCACATCATACTTTTTCACTAATAATCTATCCATCACATCAAGGGCAAAATTGGAAAGTCAACCACAAATATACACTTCTTATTTCTCCTAAAAGTCAAGATAGGAACCGTTTTATGAAACGGAGGGAGTACATGAAACGGAGTTGAATAACTAACTGCAGCAAGTAACCTGGATATAAAGCTGAACCAATCTGCGAACAGACTTAGGGAACCAGAATGGAAGCATCTGTAAAAGTGAGGTATCACGCCCTGAAGAGAAGAAGACATCCTCACGCCAAGCCAAATAGTCTAATAACTCAGAACATTCAAAGGCTGCAACAAATTTAATATACATAAATACATAATCAGGAAAAGGTATGGTGTGTAGACAGTGTAATATAATGTAGATAATTATCCAGACACGAGGATAAACGTAAGCTGCTGCGAACTCACATTTGAGCCTAGGGACCTGAACATTGCAAGTTGGGTCTTGCCCAAAGCATGCTGCGACAAGTGCACGCCACAATGTAGGGAAGCACTGGAGGACAGGCCTCAGATTTTCTAATGTGACCTGAGCAGATTTATGGTTTCTGCTAACACTCCCACTGCTAAGACAATCTTGAATTGGTACCGGGGAATACATCAATGTTGCTAAAGCAGCCATTTCACATCCTCCTTCCGCAATGTCATCAACTGTTTTTATAATGTCGCGTACTTCCATGACACTGAGACTGTTACTAGGAACTATACTATTGGAGGCAACTGCACGGGCATTAGAGAATGATGCTTCAAACTCTTTCCCTTTAACCCTTTGTAACAATAACCACCTTGCATGTTGATTATCTCCCTAAACAAGCATAAGAAACAGAAAAGAATGGTGGAAAATTAAACTAAATGCAGTAACTAAAAGCCATCCAAACATTATAGTCAAAAAGGCTAGCAGCTCTCATAAAGGCCATCCCAATGTCTTAACAGGTGTAGGTAGAAAATTCCATGGGGAAGCCAGGAGGGAGAGAGAAGTAGAACCTGTGCAAAAAAAGAGTACATGTAGAAAAATCGCCGTGCTGATTTAACTTGAAACATTCAAAAATCCACTGAAAGCCAGTGAAATAAACCACAAAGTAACCGTTTTTAATGGATTTAATATTTGAGTAGACTTAGTTGAGTATGTTTGGTACAAGCATTGCCAAAAGGATATATCCTGCATCCATAGAGAAGCCCATCATATCTGCTTTCTGATAACTGACCATTCATTCTTAATTTAAATGCAACAATTACTTATATGCATTTTTTTCAATTACTTTAAATCAAATAAAGAATCCTTTTATTCTTAAATAGTTTTGCCTGTCTCAAAGCATAATTAAAGAAAAACCAAGCGCCAAATGCAACATAGTGATAGTAGTTATAACTTAGCAAGTTAGAGAATAACAGCCTAACACCCATATACTTACAAAAGAAGAAGACGATTAGTCAGCAATGACCCATGCAGAAGAGGGCTAAGAAATTGGGCCAAGTAATATGTATCAAAAACAAAAACAGTTTTGTATTCTATTTAGCAATCTAGGTTAATTACTTCTCCCCTTCAAATCTTATTTTTCTTTATTCCTTTTGAAAATCCTTTGCTCTTTAATAGAACACTCACATGAGATAATCAATAACACTGATAGAAATTAAGATTGGGTTAGGGGTGACTCCATAAGGTAATAAGACACTTGGCCCAAACCACATCATAAGATTAATTCCTATCAGTTAGTTAATTTAACTCAAAATTTTTATTAATACTCTCTGTTCCTAATTAAAAGTTAGGGATAGATTTACGAAGTAAAATAAAAACAACCAAGTATAATCCCACGAATGAAGGGTCTGGGGAGAGTGTGTGTTTCCACACTAATAGAGAGGTTGTTTCCAAGAGACCCCCAACTCGAGCAAAATAGAAAGCACAGAGCACGAATAAAAAAGAGCAAGCTAAAAAAGCACAAAGAAAAATAAGGAAAGGACAAGAGCACCAAACGTAGAAAGCACACAACGGAAAGAGCAAAAAACTGCCATTGATGCCCAAAAGAGCAAAAGAAACTACCTTTGAGACCCAAAAGACTACCCAAGTACCCTAATCTTAGAACTCCAAACCGAACGGCTCCGGGTACTTCCGAGTATATTCGAGTTCCTGAGGTACACTGCCCCCAGTACTTTGTCCGAGTATATATATTTTGGGTTCTACTACTCGGCTCTTACTCGAAGCTCAACCCTTTTCTCTTTTTTTTTTTTTTTACATTTTTGTGTACTAAATGGCCACTATTTTAATTAAAAAAATATTTTTAAATTTAATATAAAAAGTTTTAATTATGTGTTATGTTAAATAAATGGAATGTGATTTTTTAAAATAAAAAAAAGATATTGAGTACTTGAGTAGTTTGATTAAGGTGCCGCAACCAAATCTGAGTATTTTGAGTAGTTTTGAGGTGGCTCTATAGGTAGTTACAGTGAGTAGTTTGAGTAAAGGGTGGAGGCACCCCCTCCCCCCTAAGGTCATATCCTCAGTTCGGTCAAGAAAATCTAGATCATGTCAAATCACTTCCTTCCAATTCTTTCTAGGTCTACCCTTCCTCCACCCCTGCCCACTATCGTAAGCATCTCACATCTCCGCACCAGAGCCTCAACGCTTCACCACTTTATGTGCCCAAACAACCTCAACCTGACTTCCCGCAACTTATCCTGCACATGTGACTCCTAGACGTCCCTTGATACCCTCGCTCCGAATCTTCTCCAACCTTGATTGCCCACACATCCACCTGAACATTTGCATCTCTGCTACATGTAGTTGGCGACTGTGAGTTTTTTTAACCGCCAAACATTCTGCTCTGTAAAGCATAGCCAGTCTAACTACACTAACTACAGACAAAATTTTCACTCATCTTTGCCGAAATATTCTTGTCGCAAAGGACCCCTGAAGCGAGCTTCCACTTTGCCCAAGCGATTCCTATACGATGAACAATGTCCACGTCTATCTCTCCATCTGCCTAAAGGATCAAACCAAGATACCAAAACCTATCTCTCTTTGGCATTGGGTAAAAATCAATCCTAACTTCCACTTCTGATTCAGTCTTAGCCCTGCTCAGTTTGAAGCCTTTGGATTCTAGGGACTGACACTCAACTCTAACATCTCCCTATCGTGTCTCATTGACGAGTAGAATATCGTCAGCAAAAAACATGCACCACGAAACTTCTCTTTTGACATCGACATTCTGTGACAGAACATCCATCACCAAAGCAAAGAAGAATGGATTTAGGGCAGACCCAGACCCCTAATGTAATCCCACTTTAATAGGGAAGGGATAAGAGTAGCCCCAATAGTCTTCACCCTAGTTTTTGCTCCAACATATATATCTCTAATTGCGCGAATGCACACAACTTAAACCCCTCTAAACTGTAAACTCAAGACACCTCCACAAGATCTCCTTGGCACCCTATCGTATGCCTTCATAATATCAATAAACACCATGTGAAGGTCCTTCTTAGCCCTATAAGCTTCCATCAACCTATGCGGGACCTTTGTGGTTGACCCAGGCATGAAACCAAACTGATTCTCGGAAATGCACACTGCTTTTTGCAACCTAGCCCCTATGATACGCTTCAAAATCTCCATGATGTGGCTAAGGAGAGTTTAATGCATCTATAAGTATCGCAACTCTAATATCACCCTTACCTCTGCAAGGGTGGGATCACCACACTCTCCCTCCACTCGTCAGGTATCTTAGCCGTCCAAAAAATAATATTGAAGAACTTGGTTACCTAAACCAACCCACTGCTGCCCGCGGCCTTCCAAAATTCCACCGCAATCTCATCTGACCCCAAGGCTCTCCCCCTTTTTATCTCGCGGATGGCCCTTGCCACCTCCACAGGACTATGCGCCGATAGTACACTACCCAAAGTCTCGGTGCCTCTCTGACTACCCTGCTCTCCTGCTCAAGTGCCCTTTCTCTCCCCCCATCGGTTAGACACCTCCGTTGCGGTTAGCCGGTTAGACACCTTCGTTTCTTCGAACAAAACCTTGCCATCATTGTCCTTTACACATCTCATATGTTACAGATCTCGGGCCTTCCTCTCACGCGCGGTAGTTAGCCAAAATAACCTTTTAATACCACTGCGCTCCTCTATGTCCTTATAAAGGTGTTTGAAAGCTGAATTCTTCACTCTCGTAACCTCTAACTTAGCTTCCTTAGAGGCAACCTTATACTCCATTCTAAGAGACACCCTAACTTCATCATCATTGAGCCTCTTATACGCTATCTTCTTAGCTTCTACCTTACCTTGGACCATATCACACCACCATCAGTCACTTCTATGTTGGCTCCAAATACCTCTGCTCATAGAGTACTTCTCAGGCAGCCTCCCTGATGCAATTTGCTGTCCTAAACCACGTGTCGTTGGCCTCTCCAGAGGACTCCAATGCACCTTTCTCATGATGTCGAGCAACCAACTCCGGGATTTTATCCTCATCCAAGCTCCCCCAACGAATGTGTGGTGGACCACTTGCCGCTAGCCTCTTCCTCTCCCACCTGATTTTAACATCCATCACTAGCAACTTATGTTGGGTGGTAAGGTTTTCACTTTGGATTACTTTGACGTCCTTACTTATAAGGTAAAATGAAGTTTTTTTTCATTTTATTAGAAAATTGGTATAGATAAAAATTACTTTCATATTTAAAAACTACACCAAAACTACAACAAAACAAAAGGTGACAAGGCTATTATTTTATCAAGTGATCAATGAAAACACATAGGTTAACACAACCTCTATAATATTTCGATGTGAGATTCTAACACACCCTCCCAAGTTGACAGCTAGTCATCTTGAATTCAACAAGTTGGTTGTTTACAAATAGACTGCAATGTGTCTGCAACCCAAGTTCGAAAGCAATGACAACACAAAGGACCATAAGATGCGGGACTGGGTAGCAACAAACCAGGTTAAATAGGACAGATGCTGCTCGAATAGACTTCGAGATGGACATATGAAGCAAGACAAAATTTGCTCTAATAATATAAGGTAGTGTTTGGGGACTAGCATTTCATTTCAATTCATGCATTTCAATTCCAAAATTTGAAATCTTGAATTTCAAATGACAAGGGGAGGTGCATAGATTTCAAATTAAGATTTGTTATGAATGAGAGGAATTTGACTCAAATCCAAATCCAAAATTTTCAAGTTTCCCAAACATGGAATTTGAGCCAAATCCGGATTTGAAATCCAAATCCATGTTCCCAAACATACCCTAAGAGAATTTAAAATTTAGTTGGGGTCACTCAATTGTCTAATGAAAGAATTGTTGAGACTAAAAGATTGAACCCAATTGATTAGCTTATTCAACTCAAGATTTTATTAACTCATCAATTCTTATGCTCCAGTGTGGGGGTCCGACGCAAATACTAAGTACATGGTGCTAAGAGCAAAGAGAAAAAAGTATTGATCAACATGATTAATTGTTCTTCAAATTCCCTCAAGAATTTCATAAGAGTAAGACATCATACACACAAAATGAAAACATGAAACAAAATTTAAAAATATTTTCTATACTTTCAAGTGTTGTGTGTCCATGCAAAATATATATTTCATACACATAGGTCAAGCACCAATGCAAATATTGTCCTTTGATTCCAATGGTTTCTTGTAATGGGAAAAAAATCTTTAAAGAAAATTATAAGCTAATGTCTATGCTAAACTTTCTTTTTTTGACATTAGAAATATTCATCAGCCATTCTAGTGTAGTATAAAATAAAATATTACAAATAATATGCTGAAACTAGTCATCTGACATTTAAATGAACAATTTCTCCCAAATTAGCATAAAAGGGAGTAATGCACTGAAATAATTGCGATTGAGACACATGTTATGTGTCCAAAAGATTGAAGATTCACAACTCATTCAATCAATATAATTCAGATTTATGTAGATACTGGAAACTAATGCATTAAAGAAATCCAATAATGATGATTCTAGGAAAAAAAATATTTATACTTAGTGCACAAATAAAGTATAGTATGAGTTAGATGAGTAAGCAAAAATTGACTTACTACTGCATGTTCTAATAAGGAAAGTGCCTCGTCATCCATGCCCAACTTGTGGTGATCAAGATAAAGATCCAATAAGTTCAGTAAGTTGTGTTGAGCGCAATAGTAGACCATGAGTTTATGAAAGGCTTGGATGGTATGTGTCTGACTTCTAGAGTCATTCATAGACAAGAATGGGTCAGAATATTTCTCAAACAACCCCTCCTCTAGCACAAAAGAATTGTGTGTGTCACCAACAAAACCAGACCGAGCTAACAGAGTTACCATTTCCTCCAGAGAACCCCAAAAGTCCTTAATAAATATTAACTCCTTGGCAAGTTGTTGTTCCATAAGTCCACCTAACCACATTGAGGAATTGATGTACGCAGGGAACCTTAATATTTTCACATTTGGTACATTCAGAGACATGGCATCGAGTTCTTCAACGAAATACTCATAGTTCCCAGCATCAGGGGTCTCTGGCTCTTGAGGATATTCAATAGTTGGTGCAGAATGTAAACTCTCTAAACTGATGTTCAGACTTCCATGGGACAATGCATAAGATGGGATGACCTCCAAAAGTCTTGAAACTTGCAACCAGTCATTGTGGCGCATCTGGTACTCAAGTTGAGATTCCCACAATACATCAATCCCCATAACGAATGGTTGATCAAGTACTATCTGTGCAGAAAGAGAATTCAAAAGTGGTTGATAAGAATGCAAGTTCATGAAAAATAGAGGAAAAAATCAATAGCATACTCGTTACATCTCATTACATTAGGAACGGTTTCTTTGTGTGATTCTTAGTTCTAAATAAACAAAAGAAAAGTATTGTGTTATTTCAAATCACTAAAATAATCAAATATAAACCACTAGTAAGATCATTCTAAAATGTTAAAAAGATAGCTAAGGGGAATAAAAAAAGTAGAATTTTGTGTTTAAATTAAGAAAATGAAAACTATCTTTGGATTGATAAAAGAAAAATTAGATAAGTAAAATAGGATAAGAACATCAGGGTTCTGATTTTAAGTCTTTAAAAATTATGAGGTTCTAACTCCTAAGTTGTCAGTTTTATGTAGAAATTAGAGTCATATTATTTTTGCAATAAAAAAGTCATATCATTTTAAGAGCTATAATCCTAAAATGTTTCACGATAACCCTAGCCTCTATTTATTCTCCTTATGAACTACCTCTAAACATGTATGATGCCATCATTTAAGGCATGTCATGTCATCATCTTCTCTAAACATCTCATGCCAGTTGGTCACTGTTGGACAAAACCAGCCACACCAAGCCCACGAGAAGCATGTCCCTTCCATGCACCACCACTTCACAATTCACATGCCAGTGCAAAGACGCCCATTCTGGTGAGACTTTTAGATGAAAATTTCCAGTTCAACTCATGTGCCTCTAGCGATCCTTGTGCAATTGTTTATGGAATTCTGGTGACTTATGTTTTCAAATTATTTTGAAGAGAGAGGCAGACGTTGAGCTCTGGTATGATGCTCTTGTGCTACAAACTAAGGAAAAAAACTAGGCTTTTATTTCATCCTCAAAGGAGAAGACAAGGAAAAAAGCAAAGAAGAAGAAGAAATAAAGTTAAATGTGTACTCAATCACAACTGATAAGCTAAGCACAAGTAGAACTTAGTAGAGTACTAGAGTTTGGTCAATTAAGTAGAGCTTAGGGGCTAGGTAAAGTAAATTAGAACTCAGCAGAGTTCGGTACAAGGAAGCTCAATAGAGTTTGGAAATTTTGCTGAACTATCACACAATTATTTACGTGCATTTTTTCAATTATACAGAGTATTGTTGATATTACTCTTATTATTATTATTATTATTATTATTATTATTATTATTATTATTATTATTACATTTATTATTTGAAAAAAGCTCAAAAGGGTGTCCGTTTGTAGTGAATGTTTTTTAGGAAGATCTATGTGTTTGTATCTTTTGATCCTAACCGTGGGTTTTACATGAATGGTGTCAAATAAAAGTGATGTCGATATATCATTCATCAATAAAAGTATAATTTGTAGTAATATGTATTTCAACTTTTTCTAACTCCTTCCAATTTATTCCAACTCCTTCCAGTTTCTTCCAACTCCTTCCAATTTCTTCAAACACCCTTAAAATATCTAACTCTAGTTGGTCAATGCCTAAGGGATAGGGCCTTGGTAGAGTTCAGTTCATGTTGAAGATGCTAGTGTGAACACCAATGTTTAAGGTCATTTTTTGCCAACAAAAGCCCACTCCATGCCAACAAACAATTCTCAAGGCCCCACTCAATACACCCAATGATTCAAGGCAATCATGAAAAGGGCAATTGCGGAGAGAGAGAGAGAGAGAGAGAGAGAGAGAATTAACGCTAAACAGACTTTAATAAAAATGCATGATAGACAAGAAAATTTTGCCGGAACTATCACACTAGAATACGAATGCCTGTAAACTTTAACCCCATATTAGAATTTTTCCAATTCGTCCACATTTTCTCACATGGATGTGAAACTGTGATTTTATACTTTTAAGTTTTAACAAAAAATGAGAAAAGGAATAAAAGCAAAAGAATATTCTAGTGCATCCTGACAGTGACTTACACAATCAACAATATGCTGATCCCACGCGTCAGACCATGCTGCAGCAGCTGTCCAATAACTTCTGTGAATACTAACATCATCAGTTTCAGAATGAGTTGCATGTTGAGCGATTTCTGTCCACGGACCCATCACAACTCCATCAAGCTCTCCGCATTTGATAACAAGATCCCTAGCCAATGGATGGAGTATTTGCAAACTTATTTCACCCGGCGCATTACCATTGAATTCCCCATTTAGCTCTTGAAGCCGGTTACAAAAAGTGCCTGTGAAACTGCTGCATGGATACACCCTCTTGAAGCAAAAAGCAAAACAAAGAAAGAGTCAGCTAGAATGCTAGATAGGAGCATATATTAAGTGCTTATTAAAAAGTTGGAAGGAAAAAAACAAGAGTAGTGCACCTCAATAAGGGCTATCATCTCTAATGTCTTCCACTCACGTGCTCCAAGATATCCATATTTTTTCATAAAGTCAACTATTTGTGCCCGAAGAGATCTCCTAACAGTTCCAAAAGCCAACTCCTTAAGGCTGATTTCAATATCTTCACCAAGCTTTTGCAGCGTTGCCACTGCAATTCCAGTCTCACCCTGATAATTAAATAACATAAACTGTTAGTAAAAACAAAACAAAAAAAGAGATTTAACTGAGGCAACAGCAAATATCAAGAACCTACCTTCAGGAATAAGTCATAAGCTATTGCTCTTCCAACTTCACGAACTTCGCTGAATGTGTCCTGAGCTTCCAGATTTGGTATGTCTTGTAAACGATGAAGATGCAACTTAAGAACTGCCAAAGGAAGACGGCCAGAAAGTATAGCATCTTTTACAATTGATTTGAGATCCAAATTGTCCGATTCCCATCGAGCAATCATGTCTTTTGGATTCTCCAGAGCAAATTTGGCCTTGGCATCCATGCTATCCGCAGGCATTAAAGCAAGAGTTTCATCATTAGTTGACTCCAATTCTGCTACACGCACTACTGTTTCTCTTTGGTAATCAAATGGTAAGACATCTCTAGAAAGATCAAGAATCTTCGAGTCTTCCAATGAAAACTCTGTATTATTAAAGAGGCCACCACGATCCACCTGTAACACAATGCTATAAGGTATTTATTAGATCCAAGGATTACTTTCAAGCAGCCGGACCAAACAAAAAACGCTTACCAATCCTTGGCCTGGCCTCTTGAACTTAGAATTTAGCTGCCGCTGCAACCTCCGAGTTATCTCCAGGAAACGTGCCATCTTCTGAATATTTATAGAACTCCCCATTTTTTCAGCCCTCATATCTATTAGCTCCAACACGTGAAGAGGGTACTGGCCATTTTGACTAGTCCATGACTTTGAATTATCTCCTTTGTGAAGTGACAAACCACACATGTGTATTATCTTTGTTGCAAAACTAGTGGCCAAAGCAAGCAGCCTGTATATTAAATTGAAGCAAAGAAATTAAATGTGACAGCCATAAGTTTCAGTATGACATGGATAAACAATGACCAAACATTTAAATTAAAGGTTATACTTAAATAGTTCATTGTTTAGAACGTGATCTTAAATCAGCAACAGCTGCCAAAACTAAACTTTACCAAAAAAAGAGCACATTTATAAAAAATACATGACAGTCTAAAACATAAAAAGATGAGGCAAACATGCACAATTTATGTACAGAACACTGCTATGGAACACAAATTGATTAGCTGACATGACTGTAAACGTAGAGTTATTGAAAATAAATACTGTTAGCCTTGGTTTGCTAAGCCTCGTGTTTTGATCTTAACAAACAATATAAGAACTAAACGTTTATTTAAGTCTTTCAAGTATAACAAGAATTCATTAAGATTTGGTTCTCAAGAATGAATTCGAAACACTAAACTAGCGTAGAATATAGGTAGAATCAAATGTAAGGATATGATTTTATATACATATATTCACAAGCTCAAATGCACTTACAAAATATGTTTAAACCATCCTATAAACATTTTCAAACATCCAAAAGATTTTAAACTCAAACAAGAAGGATTGAGGGAATTTTGGAAAAACCAAGACAATGGTACGGTACCCCTAACGGTACACCCTACCGCCTCAACGGTAGACCCTACCGTCAACACGGTACCCTGGTACCGTTAGAGCCTAGGTTCCGCCAGAGAGGTTTGTTTTTTGAGGGAACACGTTACCCACATACCGCCACTCACGGTACCCCCTACCGTGACCTACGGTACCTCCCTACCGTGACCGTTGGAGGAAAATTCAAATTTTGGATTTCAAATTTAATCACATTTAATTAGTCAAAATCCTTCCAAATTACTCTCCAACGGCTAAATGACTTTTCCCACTATAAATATAACTTTAATCCTTCATATTTAAACAACAATCCAAGCTCCAAATATAACATTTCATAATTTTAGTGTGTTATTATTCTTGTTCTTCATTTTTATTATTTTGGCTATTTTCAAAATCCTTATTCTCCTGATTTTATACACACACATTGAGCTTGTGGTTATACGTATATACTATCATTTACATTAGGTTAATCTTGCACTATTTTTTAGAGTATAATCTTCCTTCTTCACCAGCCAAGGATTGATCCTTATATTTATCATAAGCCAAGAGGTTTTGAACATTTTTCTGTGTTGTTAGACGCATCTTCCACTCATTGTAACGGTGGAGGATAGCCGTATAAATCCTTGGGTAAAGGTTCAAGGATAGCCTTTGAAATCCTTGGGGGGAACGGTTGAAGATAGCCGTGAAATCTTCATTGTAAGTGGATTGAGATAGCCGTTGTAAAATCTCGGGGTGAATCCTATTGGCAAGGATTGTTTGCCAAACTAGTGCGGTGCTTTGACGGAGTTCAAGAGACCTAGACTTAGTGGATTCGGAAATCCTTAAGGAGGAGCTTTAAGGTACTGGAGTAGGGGTTTCCCAAACAAGTCTAAAATTTGGTGTATTCTTGTTTTACGATTTAATCTCTGCATTTATTTATTGCTTCCGCATTTACCAACACCGTTTTTATCTAACTCCGAAAAGTTTTCAAATGCCGTATTCACCCCCCTCTAAGACGTGGGCACAGCGACTAACAAATACTACAAGTTTTGCTAAGATACAGTAAAATTCTTATGCGTTTATAAGGCTGGACTTGTTTAGTTCCTTCATGTCGTCCCTCTGTCCATAAATTAACTTCCCACTTTCCTTTTTGGGACGTCCACAAATAAACTTCCCATTTACATTAGAATGTCTATTTTGCCTCTCGCCTATTCTTTCTCTCTCCAATCTTCTGTATCTTCACGCATTTTTCCTTTTTTTCTTCTTCCTTTATCATTTGCATAATTCTCCGCCCATCTTCTTTCTTTTTCTTCCTTGTCCTCACCATCTTCTTCATCCTCCACCGCTGCTGTGCAATTTTCACTGTTACCTACGGATGTATGTCAGATCCTTCGTTGCTGAGCATGGGGTGCAGATTAAAGAGCTTGGAAGGCAAGGCAGATGGAGATCCAACCGGACACAGATTATCTTGAAGCTCATCTCGCGATGCAGACTAATGTTGGAATTTGCCGCACGCAACGGTGTTGGGGAAGAGTGAATCTTGATATTGTGATTGTGGAAGACGATTCTTAGCAAACCCGTCTAGAAATTCAAGGTTATATTCCTTCAGGATTTGATTTTAAGATTTTTTTAAGGGGATGTCGAACTCTTGTTAGATTTAATCGGGTTTGTTCACATATTACATATAACCGAATGGGTAATAAGTCAATGTTCGGGTCAGTTACTATGGGTGTCTGTTAGCGTGTTTTAAATTTTTAATTAACTTAAAAAAACAGTTGGGTAGTTTCTAAAAGCAGTTATGGGTAGTTTCTAACATAGTTTGTAAGGCGTCATCTAGGCGTGCCTAGGCGATAAGGCGCTGTCACTGGGACGCCTTGTCTACTCGCCTCGCCTAGAAAACCTTAAGGCGACCAGGGCTCGCCTAGGCATCGCCTTACCTCGCATTGATGCCTTGGGCCCCATTAAAATTTTGAAAAAAAACCATTTTTTAGTGCAGCCCACTTTCTTTTAGTGTAGCCTAATAGACTTAAACTTATCTTCTCTCTCTCGGTCTTCTCTGTCAAGCTTCCTTAAAATGTATACGACCTCTATACATACATACATACATACATACATACATACATATATTATATATATATATGTAGCTATGTATGTCGCCTAGGCACGCGCCTAGTCGCCTAGGCGATATGAAGGTACATTGGCGCCTCGCCTCGCCTCCCCTTGCCGCCTTACAAACTATGGTTTCTAATGTTAATAGTTGTGTTGGTTAGTAAAAGTTGTGTTGGTTTGTTCTCTATTTATATTTAGAGAACACAATGAATCCAGTAATAGTTCACAACAAAAAAATATTCTACTTTGCTTTGATCTGGTCCTGTCTATCAATTGGTATCGGAGGAGGAGGGCTGCCAGATCATAATACAAAGTGTTAAAGACTTCCTCGACAACAAATCAAGAATCTTCGACAAGATTCTTCCTCCCCTAGGACAAAAATAGCAGGTGGCTAGTTTTTTCCTTTGGCAGAAGCCAACGTTCCAACCAAACAGCGCGGGAAAAACGAATGAGCGGGGTAGCTTTCGTTTAGTGGCTTGGAAGACAAAAAAGCAGGGGCTTGTCTTCTGGTTGATGGTCGATTGCAGGTCCAGGAAGGAATCAAAGTCTAAGAATTTTGTGAAAATTGTCAAAGGAATTAAAGTCGTGCAATGGAATACAACAAACAGATTGTGACTACAAGGGAAAATAGTTCACTATCTTTTAAGGTTCCAATTCTAACTGCTACAAACTACACTATTTGGGCTGTGAAGATCAAAGCAATTTTTAATTTTAATGGAATTTGGGAGGTGATGAACCAGGAACAGATATCGATTAAAAGAAGAACAATTTGGAAATAGCATATACTCCCTCCGTCCAAAATTAAACTTCCCGCTTTGACTCGGTGCGCAAATTTATGTGGAATGAAAATTGTGTTGACTTTCCTATTATGCCCCTCAGCCTTTCTACCCTGTCCACCCCCACTAGCATCTATGACGCCAATTACCACTTTCGAGGCCGACGCCGAAACTTCCATACCACCGCCGCCGATGTTTCGGCACCACCACTGATGCTTCCACAACCCCCGCCGTTGAAACCCCTCGCCATCGCAGTGCCCCGACGTTGTTGTACCCGAGACCCGGGGTCTTATCGAATAGCTAATTTGTGGCGGATTTGCAGAAGGAAATGGATGATGGAATTGAAGGGGTGAAGTATGGAATGTGGGAAAGAGTTCTTTTTGGTGTTTTTAATGAGAGAAAAGAATAAGTTTAGGAAAAAGAAATGGTGAGGAATGAAATGGGCAGAAAAGTGAAGGGATAAACCAAGTTGGTGTTAAGAGATATGACACACTCTTATCTTAACTTGGGGCTTTTATCTTCTTTTACACATTAATAATCACTACTAATGTATAAAATTAGACTCCTAACACGCACTCAAAAGTAGCCAACTTTAGAGATATTTCATNATGATGCTTCTCCTGATTTTGAGCTGATCTTCTTTGGGTTTATTTGGGTAGAAATTTCGTGCATATAAGGAAGAAAACAAAGGGGAATCAAGCTTTAGACTTTTGTGAATAAAATGCCAAAACAGCACTATTCATTCAATGACTTTGTTTCTGATTTTGTTCCTTTGTTTCAAAAGTGATTATGCTTTTGTTTTGTGGAAGAAAAGGCTTTTTTCTTTGTTGAAAATCAGGACATAATTTTAGCCTTATACCCAATCTTAGGATGAGCAAACAGGAACAGATTCACTCAGGATTCAGAGCTATGGAATAATCGATTAGCACATTTGGTAAATCGATTATTAGGCTTTAGCTCAACTGGAAATGTTCAGAGGAACCAGATAGTTGATTGACACTGAAAGACAATCGATTATGTGATGTTGCAGATTTTGAAGAAGAATCAGAGGGCTACAATAGTCGATTATCAAACAATGATAATCGATAATTTATAGGTTCAGAATCAGTATTAGAAGAAAAGAAGGGAAGGAATTATTTGGGTAAAAAAAAAGGATTTGAAAAGAAACAAAGGTTTTAAAAGATAATAAGAAACTAAGGTTTGACTTGTCTTCCTTTGATTTCATTTTTGACTAAAAATTGATGGGAAAGACTTTATTTTGAATTAAAGAAAAGAAAGAATACTTTTGGATATGTGGGGAGAGTTGGGGTTTTGGTGGAGCCATCCAGGGGTACATCATACTCCCCTTCTTCGAAGAAAGTTTGTCCTCAAACTTTCGCACCACCGTGACTGATTGGGGTTTCATAAAAGAATTCCCGGATCAAATGGGAAATTCAATGAACCACCAATAATGAGTTTCCTTCCGGAATTAGTGGGCACCTCGTTGTGTAATTTCCAGAACATGATGTCATTCCTTGTAAGAACCTGCTTCAAATATATCTCGGAGATGAGATAAGATTTTTCTTTACCAAAAGGAGGATAATA